TACATATAATTAAAAAGCTAGAATTAAAACAGTGATTGTTCCTATTCAAACATAGATGTTCATCCACCACCAAACTCTTATACATTAATTTGTTGTTTAAACTAAACCTTTCTTCTTGGAGTTTCTAGATTTTGACTCAGAATATTTCTTTACCTTAGAATGTTAGAGTCAAGGGGGTACGTTGAATCCCTCCCAAATATAATTATATATAATGTTTGAGTTTATGGTGTATTATTGTTAGTTATTGTCACTAAACTGATGTCACTATCGAACACATCTTTTTTCAGACATGGCGTAATTAATGGGATGTGCTAAATTCTCAATTGAGATATCACTATATTTTCAAGTGATGTTAAAATACCTCATGCTGAGCCTTGTCAAATATCGCAAGTCTATGTTACACTACAACCTCCTCCTGATTCGCACCAACACACTATATCTATCATACGTAATATATATATATAGCTTAGTCGTTTATGATCATCGATATGAATCTAATACCCGTACTAATCATCACTCACACTAATCATCACTCATAAGTCAATTGATTATCTACCCTTTTTAGTTTATGGCATATTTTTGTGATATTTTAGTTTTTAAAATTTAATGTTGTTTGTTTTTAATATTAATATGATTAACTAGGAAGTTATTATACGTCAATTTTTATGCCATATAATGATAATTTGTCAAGTTACGTCATTAATAAAAATTTAAAAATGAAATATTGTAGAGATATAACTGAATCGATGATAAAATAAACAAGAATGAAACATTTCTTATTGATAGCATGGACGACCAAATTCTAAAATTGCAGATGCTTTGGCACTTTGAGTTATGGAAATAGGGAATCTATATTTAGCTTTCACTTTGCTCCTGAAAGAAGAAACTTTCTTGAGAAAACTACAAGTTGGTCCAATGTGTCTCGTCCAAAAGTGAACTTAAAATTCCAATAAATTTAATGATTCAGCAGTTCATAATTAGGATTACATGATTATATTTTTACGTAGTTTTATTTTATTTCTCGAGAAAATAATGTTTCTTGCACAACAAAGTATTACACCAATATGCTACTCTGTTTTGCCTTAAGGAGCAATAGAATCGATTTTGGTTGTGACATGGAAGAACTGTGTTTCATTTTGGACTCGTTCCTCAAATAACTTGACACACCACCTAGCAAGTATATGAGTATTTCTAACAAGCTAGTAACTTCAACCTTTTGGTCCACTACTCATTATTTAGTAAAGACACAAGGATATACATAAAGTTTTGTGAGATAGGTGAATTAAACTATGTAGGACAAAAAGAATATTAACTAACTTATCATTATCTAACAAATAAATCTACAATCAAAATTATATATAAAAAAAAAAGTAATTTAAGGAGCTACTTAGTAACTTATAGCTTATTTATGAGTTTATAATTTTTTTTAATAAATTAGTAAAACTGTTTGATAAGCAAAATATAAAGGGTTCATATTTTTAAAAAACTAACTTATAAAATGTATTTTAAGACCCAATTTTAATAAATTTTGGACGATACATACTTATAAAAATAAAAAAAATAGGTAATAAAATGAATCAAATTTTTTATGTTAAAATTATTTTGTATATTTCTCTATTTTTAGAAAATTTTCTTCTTTAAAACTTAAATAATATAAATTATTTTTAACTTGTCAAGTGAATTTTTATTTATTTTTATATTATTTTTATATATGTAAATTATCCAGAAACAAATTAAAATTTAGCTTTAAGTAACATTTAACTTATTGGAAGTCAGTCTTCTTAACATGAATGTTCTTGCACATTATACAATAAGTAAGTAGTAACTAATAAATTACTTGCCTGTTTTGCCGTCAGGAGCAAAAGAGTCGATTTTAGGTTGCCAAGTCAACGGTCAAAACTAAAAAAAAATGATTTATAGAATATGTTAAGTGGTACATTTTTTTATTATGGACCTTAACTAATCAAACAATTTCATAACTTATTTAAAAACTTATAGTTTTTTTTCAATAAACTAATAAACCTGTTTCATAAAAAAAAAATAGAGTTTGTACTTTAAAAAACTAACTTATAAAAATATATTTTAAGTAGCATTTAATTTAATAAAAGTTAGTTTTTAATAATTCTTTACTTTTATTTTTAAAATATTTTATACTCACGCAAAATAATTGTATAATTACTTTTATCAAATGACTCTAATATAACCAATTACTTATATATTATAAGATCTCAACTAAAATATAAATTATAAACTTTTACAAAGTCTTGCTCATTAATTTGAACACTCAATGTCCACCATTATCAACCAACAAAAACAGTTGATCATTTTTTCCTGTGGTACCACTGGCTTTGAGGAGATAATGGTCTCTTCCCTTCTAAAATTTCATTATTTTATTATTTTGTATGATGATATATACTTGACCTTTGCCCTAAAAGAAAATACACCTTTCTTAACAGCTGGCCATTATATCTTTATAATATGTCCAATTGTCCTATATATACTTCTATACCCTTCTTTGAAGAAAATATCACATGCAAAGAGATGACCAACAATGCCTAATTATTTTGCATATGCTGCAAAAGACAATTATTTCCCAGGATTTAATACACATTGTTTTGTCATTACTGGTCTACTTCCTATGAACGAAGTAAAGTATACGTCGCAATAATATAGTTAAAACGTTTTTAAAAATATTAAAAGAGTAGTTATCAAAATTTATTTTAAGAAAATCTTAAAAAAAACTTTAAAATAATATAATTTTTGAAACTAAAAATAAGTTCAGGAGTTATTTGGTATTAATACTCTCTAACGTCTGTTTAAAAAAAATAGTTACTTTAAATTAATTGTACAAATTTATTTTAATTTTTAAAAATATTTATTTAACTCCTAAATAATAATAATAATAATTTTTTATTTTCAAAAAATAAATTATTTATTAAAATGTTGGTGGATAACTTAAAAAAATATTTAAAAATTATTTTGATTTGACGAATCTGGTTCCTGCTCTTACATGTCCTTAGGTGCAATAGAACTCAAAACTAGGTAGTTCTATTTAAAAATTACAAAGTTGGTTGATTAAAATTGAATTTAGTAAGAGAAAATTTATTTTGAAATTAAAATTATTTTTGTATAGTTATAGTATTTTGGATACAAGATAATACGGTTATACATGTACCTTACGAGAAATAATACAGAAAGTAAAGAAAGATCACACAATTATATTGCAAATCATTAAAATAAATAAATAAACAAATAAAAAAATTATTCATAAATAAAGTATTTAAATTTAAATTTTGATTATGATTAATGTTGAAAGAAAATTTAAGATAGCGTAAGCTATACTTAATCTCTTATAACTTTTAAACGATTGAAGGTAATGTAAATCACACATCGATATTGCAAAAATTTATATAATATAATAAAAATGGAGAAATGATTGGTTATTTAATTTACTAAAATTTGAATTAAAATATAGAATTAATAAATTTAATAAAAAAAAAATATTTTAATAAAGAATTTATTATTGTTTAATAAAAAGATTAAATTTCTTTTGATAGATTTACATTACATAGAACCTAAGGTAATGTTGGTACACAAATGTTTTATTAATTTATAACACATAGCAATAGAGTAGCTACACGTTAATATTATAAATTGATACAATTATATTATCATTCATTCATTAATTATATAAAAATTATAATGTGAAAAACAAATTATAAATATTAAATCACTATCTATACTCTACAAATATACTACAATAACAACAACAATAATAATAATTCTAAGTGGTAAATGACTAACATAATAATTAGAGCGTAAACAATAAGATAATATAAAAAGTTAGAGAAAATTTGTTGCCAATGAAATAAATTTTATAAATAACAACACAATTTAAATATAATAAATAAATGAATAAAAATATTATGTTTGAATAATTTATTATTATTATTACTGTTGCTTAGAAAATAAATAAATATACAAAATTAAAAAGACCAAATTAAGAAATAAAAGATATTTTATTAAAAATAAATACAATATAAAAATAATAAAAATAGATAATGAATAAATAAATTATAAAGCTAAAATAATTTTAAAAAAGGGGAACAAACAAAAAAAAATAGTTAAATTTAATCGGTCAAAAACAGAAAAAAAAAAAGAGAAAAAAAATATGTTAATAGAAAAAGAAGAAAAAATAATAATATTAATATGAAAGAGTTTATGTGCAAGGACTGCAAAACTCTCGAGCCACAGATTTTGTAATGGTCAAATCAATTCACATCTAATAATTATATTAAAAAAAAAAACGAGAAATGATTTCAACGTAACCAATATCTTCCAACAATCCAACTTCACGGATCCTCAAATCAAATTGAATAAATTAATAAAATAACAGTGAATCACAATAACTCTATATATGACAAAACAGTAAAATAAAAGTGATTCAAAAACTCAGTCTTAACTTTCATTCATCAGTGGAAGTTTAGAAAGATAACAGAAGAAAAAAAATAACATAGCTTACCAACAGAGTAATTCCACCACTGATCGACGGTATAGTATTTTTTACTTTTTGCTTTCTTTTACACTTGTCTTTCTTTGATGTTGTGCACACTTCCCTTCTTTAGTCAAAGTCCTTCCTCCTATAAATTTTGCTCTTCTTTTTTGTTTGTTCTTTTCTAAAATTTTCTTTAAAAAAATTGTTTTTCTTTTTTCAGATCTCTCAAACTTTTTCTTTTAAAAAATTTTGTTGCTTCCTAATCTCTTTCCTCCAAAAAGCTTCCCTCTCAAATCCCTTACTTATGTATTTATATGGATTGTTTAGAATTTTCTTGCAAAGAGTAAAAAATTATGAATATTTTCATTTCCATGCTTAAAACTCAATTTTTGATGTTGAAGTATAAGTCCACATAATGCAGGATTTTTGTTTCCGGAACCAAACTCTTTTCTAAAAATTTTTCTATTTTTTGTAAATTTTTTTTTTTTTTTAAATTTAGAGACAATTGGGGAGGAGGCAAAAATTAATATTCACAGTATAAAGCTAATTTTTAAAAAAAATGACAAAAGCAGCTAAAAGTTCAAACTAATTTATATTCTGCTTTATATCTAACTAATGCTTATGCATGATTATCATGTGAAGAACTTATAAGGTTTGAGAAATAGGTTTGGAAGGTTGTAACTATATTCAATTTAGCATAAACGTTTAAATATAATATATATTATTTGTGTACAATTTGTTTTACCATTGTCATTAAATTAGAAAATTCCATATCAATGTAGTAAGAAAGAGTAAAATTAAAATCTACACAACTGATCAAATTATCTTATTTTAAAACCGAAATACATTAAACCAGTGGAAATGACCCTTACAACAGGTAAAATGACATGGGGCAGAAAATTTATTCAATGTTATCAAAACTTTTTGGTAAAGGAGAAGAAAAGCGAAGGTTGTAGTGTAGAGGCCTCAAACATCCAAAAGCACATAATCAACCGAATATTCTATAACCCAAAATACTCTAGTGGCCACATGCAAAGGCAAGTGCCAATACCACTCAAAAGGGTAGCTTTAACAATATGAGTGTGGGCAATCTCAATTAAGAAAGGTTGGATTTGGAGTGAATTTACAAGAATGTAAGTTGGTGACAAAAGGATCTCAATATAATTTGTATTAAAATTAATAATACACTATTAAATGCACAAAAAAGCATGTACTTTTTAAAAAAGAGTGCCCTCTAGATTTGTATAAAATCGCAAGCACTTTTGATACTTATTTGAATTATTCAAACTCATCATAAGTTCACAACAACCAATTCTTTTACATATGGTGCAAAATCTTCACCACGTTACTTGCTAAGCAATTCACTATTAAAGTCGTTTGGATTATGATGAACGTTGCTAACCTGTGAAATTATTATGCCTAATGTAAGACCCCTACCCCAACCCCACCCCTATAAAATTATGATGCCTAGTGCTAATATCACGAGCAATGTTTTTGTAGCTTTGGGAATTCCCCAACCAAGCCTTTTGGACTTGGCAAACCGAATGTAATTACATTTCAAAGCCAATTCTCCCGTTGTGACCTTCACATTTCTAAAACCAATAAAGTATGTTTGGTAAACCTATAAGTCAAATATTTTGACAAAATACAGCATGAAGCTTTGGGTCTCGTATTTTGAATTTCAAGTTGGTTTATTAAGTGCATGTTTAGATTCATGTCAGAATATCCATGGACCCTTATTCAATATCCACGGATTTTTAATGTGCTTTTAAACATACACTAAGTAGCATGATAGAAGTTACAAAAAGAGTACAACAGTAACAACGTATAAGCTTTTGATTAATACATTTATAATCATAGGTTTAAAAGCAACCAAGTTTTAAGAACAATCCATAATCATTAGTTAGTCTTTGACATTATGGAAAAAAAATAATCTTTAAAATTAGACAACTATACTCTAATTCTTGATATTATGAAAATTTTATTTACTTCTTTAATTTCAGTCAATTAATGTATTCTCTATCAACCAATTTATTTTCTGATGTTAAAGATTAAATTAACTGATTCGACGGGGTTAAAGACTAAGTAGACATACTGTGTCAATTTTAAAGATTAAATTGATTGATAATAATTAAAATTAAGAACTAAATGAGCTTTTTTTGTAATATCAGAAAATAAATTAACCAAAGATGCGAATTTCGTGGACTATGCCTTGTGAAGAGTGCCAGGAATACGCGAGAGGAATTCTCAGTTATTTGGGTTAGTTTGCGGGCCACTGAGGTTGAATTCAATAGGTAATCCAATTGATGTTCCCAAAGGCTCAAGAAAGATGGTTTTGTAGGACCTTTTAACGTGTGCTTTAAAATAATCAATAAATAATAATTTAGTAAAAAATTATTATATATAAATTCTTATTACGTATCGTTGAGCAAATAATAGAAAAATGGTAATATACACTGACTCGGGCCTGTACTCCCTGTGTAGGCTTCGATATAGTTGGGCTTCCCTCGCTAGCCTCTTGATCTTTGGGTTCTTAGCACCAACGAAACTTTGTTTTGAAATAACGCTATGGTGCAGTTCTATTTATACTTTAGAAATTAACTAAATGTAGATACGCCATCACGAGACTGATATATGCACCGCTCTCAATCCTAATACTCAATATTCGTTTGTTTATATATATATATACACCCCTTTGTTTTTCAAGCTCACTTTGGCATTAACCTTGGCAAAACTGGTTCCTAATTGAAAAATAGTTTGGAAATAAGCTCATAAGAGTACATTTTAACATGGAAAATGTTTGGACCACTAACATGGGAGGGCTTCGTAGGTATTTGGAGTGTATTTTTAGAATGCGTGTATGTAGAATAGATGAAAATAATGATATGCAATATCCATAACAGAACCATTTAAAGAAAAAAAATTAATTTTGATACGTTATCAGTGTAAACAAATTTACACTACTAATATAACAATCTATGATTGGATGACAGTATAAAAGTATATTTAAATCAATTTCTTAAAAAATACCCGAGAGGTTATAAAAAATGATCAACGATCAGCTAAAAACATCACTGAATTCACAACCTGTGATGAGTACATAATCTCTTGTAGTACTAAAATGTTACTTTGGCACAAGACACTAACATGAATCTAGAGACACACTCTAAGAAACCATAGATAATAAGAAGTTAACACTAGCAACTTGTTAGAGGCAACTTCCAATATATTCAAAAAGGTAATTCATGACCCTTGTACAGTGATTATCAAGTATAACTGTACTGATCAACATAAACAATATTGGATTTGCTCGAGGTTAAGACATACATTCAATACGCGGGCCTTCAACTGTTAGATACATGACATAGGGGAATGCAATCAATATTCATAACCCCCTATAGTTAATTCAGTTATCCTAAACAAGAAGCCATTAGCTCTAGTTTAAACTATTCATTAATTTATAACACTACAAAATATTTTTTTTTTTTTAAATCAAAGAAATGCATACATGTTGAGATATCCAGAGCGCCAAAAAACTGGGAAAAGGAAGATCAAAGTTTTGCAAATTACTGTCTACTATATAAGATAATTGTTATTATACAAAAGGAAAAAGTTTGTCTCCAGCAAATTTTACCTGCATACTTTTCCTTCATCAGGTGAATTCACCGTCATGATAATATCTAGTCAGACCACTAGCTACCCTGCAAGAAAACGGAAGACATTATGCATATTATGCCATAAAAATGCTTAGTTTTCCTACCATGAAACAGAGATAGATGAGCCTTTCTAACTATGAAAAAAAAAAAAATTGTACAGATAGGCATGAAAGGGTCATGAAATTAACAGAAATGAGAAGCTTCCCAGTCATTCCGTAATGCAGTTACTAAAATTTTATGGAAAAAAACATATAAATCATATAAGACTTAAGTTTTTAGCGCAGCACATTACTACACAAATTATGGTACATCTGAGGTGTCGAAAATAGTCGTAAATTTAGTAACTAAAAGACAATGAAAGGCATTGTGGTCCTGGCTATCCAAGAACACCACTACATATCATGTCTGATGATCAAACTATAAAATCACACTAGCCAAGGTTAGATTTGTTTTAGAATTCTTTACAAACAATAGAAAAAGACTCCCTGTCATCCCAACTACATTTGAATTGACAATAGAGATTTGCTGCTCAATTAGGGAATTATTTTTTTTTAACTAGTGGATGATGGCTAGCTGACACAACTAGGAATCAAATGGATAACTGAAGAATTCAGCAAATAAAAGGAATTAAAGGCGCATCATTGATTATTTATCATATAAAAGAAACTCCAGAACAGAATGAAGCATGTATACAGCAGAAGATAATTAAAGATTGTGGAAAGTATAATGAAGTAATGAAGTACCTCAAGAACTCTGATAATGTCAAGTGAAAAACTCCTCCAAACTTTGACAAATGACAATAACCAATTGAGGAAAAGAAGTGAACTAAACTATGAAATCATTTTAGCCTGCAACCTTAATTGCTCCCAATTCATCAATTTTTGAGCTCTTATGCTGCAATTAAATTAAGATATTGAACAAAGAAGTTCGTTAAAAAATGGGCATACCACAGAAAATGTAGACAATAGAATGTATAGCAGAGAGAGAGAGAGATATGGTAGAAAATTATTTCAAGACAAAGCTTCTTCCTTTATTACCTTACTCTTTTTGTGTTTGTGCATATCATTAACATCGTCATCTCCGTCATGCTTCCTTTTCTGAAATATATTTAGTAAAACAGAAGATTAAGAAACATAACTATATGTCTGTAAAATGTTTAAATGATATATAGAAGCAAAGCCCCTATAAAATGATAGCATCAAATGAACAGATGTCTGTCGTTGGATCATAAATTGCAACCATCAACACAACTGCTATGAACCCATGAAGAGAAACGGGAATGAAAAGAATGATCCTATTGAAATGAATGGAAAGAACAGAAAATAAGAGAGGGACCTCTCCTCCATGGGTCTCCCCTTCACAAAAAATTTCTCCTTTCACAAAGAGCTAAAGCTAAATTTACAAATGATAACAAATCTGAATGTCTTTCCCTTACATCTACATCCTATTATTTACATCACAAACCCTCTCTAACTAACTAATCCCTTCCACTAACTAACCACAATAACTACCTCAACCATCTTTCTCTTCCCTCTCTCCTAACTCCAAACACCACAAATGAAAATTTCATAAAGCCATGATATTGAATTAACACTTTTTTACCCTCCATGTGAATAATGAATGTAGATGCAGTAATCTAAAACTCCTCAACCTTTTCATGATGTTTCTTTGAGTGATCAGCACTGGAATCTCGATGCCCGCTTTTATCTTTCTTTTTGTCCTTGTCCTTGTCTTTGTCTTTGCTTCGGTCTTTATGACGATGCTTGTGCTTCTTGTGCTCCTTGTCCTTGTCCTTATCCCTATCTTTGTGCTTTTTATGCTTCTTTTCCTTGTCTTTATACTCACCTTTTGATTTCCCCGCAATAGTTGGAATCCCTTTCTCTGCCTGTTAAGGGAAAAAAAAGGAGTAATCACATATATAAGGGGTGAAAAAGCATGGGAAACTATATTTTTAAGGAGAAAAAAATTAAGATAGCATGTCAATTAATTTCAGCAAGAACAGCAAATTAAGATAGATGAAAATCATTGTAAGTTTTCTTACAGCTGGTAAATCAATGGGAGCTGTTTCTCTTAATTGAAAAGCCTCCTTAAGAACATCTAGGTCAAAAGGCTGTATACGGGCACTTGTATCTCTGGAGAAAGATGTATTCTGAATAAGTTGATCCAATTGCATTCCGTCTCCTTTTCTTATTTCTGTGTCTCCAACAACATTGTGAAGATAGTGTGTGTCTGCAATTGAAACGGGAAGAGGCCTCTTGCAGAAAAACTCATAGTGGGGTAGTAATTTGAAATGACTTATAAGATCCACAGCACCTGTCAACTCCCTTGGTCCTAAGGGTTCAAATAACACAGTATGAATATTAACTGAAAATAAAATAAAACAAAAACTTTTTGTAAAATTTTGATAGGGGTGGTTGAACAGTAATTTTTCATGTACCAAGAAAGAATTATATTTTAAGAACTTTATAAAAAAATAAATACAAAACTATGAGATCCTGGAAACATAAGTTACATAACAAGTTTTGCCATGTCGGTTCACATACCAAGCTTAAAAATGTTGAGTAAAATACATGGTTTGAGATCATCCTTGTATAAAAATATATAATCAACATATGTTGATATCAATATTCAGGTCAGAAGAGCCAGGCTTATAGCATATCTAAATTCATGCCAATAGTATAAAACCAAAAAGCAAAAGGAAACACCAATGTCACAAATTAAAGCTGAAAAAAAAAAATCATCTTTGTGCTTTCAGATGACCAACAAGTCTGTCATCTCAGCAACCTAGTCCTAAAGATTAGTATTGCAACTATAAGGTTAGTATGTTATAACTTATAACATAATAATTCAGAGTCTCATGACTCTCATCACTTAAATATTCTGTTTTTTCTTTTCCATTCAATTCCAAAAATTTCACCAGGAACTAATCGACATAGTTTAAATTCATCGATATAGTTTAAATTCTGCCAAAGGGACAAATAAAGATATCATTCAGGTCAAAATACTAACTGATTGAAAATTTAATGAAGTATTGTTAATTGATAACAGGTGCAGCCAGTGCCATGCAGATAGGAAATCAAGACCAGCATATATGATAATACAATAATTAGACAATAAACAGATTTGTAGAAAATACTGTACAGTGTACACAATGTAGAGCATTAACTTTTACCTCCTCCAAACTTTTTGCCTTCAGGATCCATGAATCAATCTTTCATGAGTGGTTGAACCATTACCAACTGCAATATATAATATAATGATGTATCAAATCCATGAATGTCAAATCTGGCTTCAATTGCAAGATTTCAATATGAATGGAGGTTCAGCATGCACGAGCTAAGATTTTTTTTGAAAATAAAAAAGAAACTATATTAAAGCAAAAATAAATTACAATGACAGTGAGCTAAGGTATCCACAAAAGCATTTTAAGAACACACTAAAAGAAATGAAGAACACAACAAAGCTACCCCATCTCTCTGCAGTCAAGGTAAACACTGCAGTTTTACATTTGTAACAGGAAGTGGTCAAGCGGCCTCTTGCAGAAAAAATCTTAGTTAGGTTATAATTTGAAATGACTTGTAATATTCACAGCACCTATTAAAAATTCAGTTATTGGACTTGCTCTTTTTTCTAATATCATGTTCAAAGTTATTTTTCATAGCCAAAAAATAATCTATTAACACTCCATCTATCCCTTCAGGCAGTCCCAAAACAAATTACATCTCCTCTAGAGCCTATTTCTGTTGCTTTTGTGTATAGCCTATGGAGGCGAACACAACCATGAACCTAGCTAGTTTCCACTTACTATCACAACACTCTAAAGCAGAGATCAGCATTATAAGTATTACAACTTGTCATGAAGTAAAACTAAAATATCCGTCAAAAACTCATTAGGGCACAGAATGAAGCAGGCAATGCCACGTCTCATCAGTCACCATTCATTACATGCAAACCTATTAGATTTATATAAATCAACTTTTTTCAAAATATCCTCTGTGAAATTACCGTGAAGGATGCTTCAAAGACATTTAAGAAACCTTAGTATTCAAACAACATTTACTTGTGTCACAAACTCTAAAACTTAAATAAGGCTAGCTGACCAGAAACATTTCCAGCAAATGTTTAACAGGAAAGATTAGTCTCTATGCCCACAACCATTAATGTGTGACCAAAAAACTTTGAAAGAGGCTAGTGAGATATTTAGGAAGCCCTAGCATTCTGACAAAACATCATTTAGCCTGAGTCACAAACCCTAAACAAGAGCATAAGACCAATTGACAAAGCATCCATAGTCCAACAGGAAATGTTAATCTATTCCAACGTCCAATAATCTGCAACTAGAAAATGCACCCACAGAATTCGTTCTCTTCATTTTATTTTTCCCATGAGAGCGAGCCCAAGCACAGCGGTAAGGTTGCTACTTAGCAAACTGAATGTCATGTGTTCAAATCCTGGCAACAGTCTCTCCACTTCCTAGAGTAAGACTGCATACATCTACCCTCCCCACCAAAGTTCCAAAAATGATTCTAGAAAATCACATACCATGCATGAAATCATTGTCCAAATGATACGGTTGATATATTAAACTTAAACAGGGTGATAGACAAAGAATGCAAATGCATGGAAACACACAAGCATAACTATAAAAGATATGGCTTGTGTGATCATAGGTAGACTAAAAAACAAAATTTACATGACCCAAATTAACTAATATTAAGAGAAGCATTGATTTGGATAATATGGCTTATTTAGTTGATTTTATATAATTCAATTCTGAAAGGGAGGAAAAATAAAGTATTAACAACTAAAGCTTAGGAGTTATCCAGAAGGCCATACTTAAGTTGCCAAATGAGGAGCCGATATTTTCAAAGATGATTTGTAGATATCCTTTCACTCATTTCATGGAAATAAATAAAAAGTTATACAATTTGATTTGTTACAAGTTACAACTTTCGTTTTGCTTATACAAAGTATCTCAATTTCATTTTTCCCCTCTTAAATTCGACAGGAAACAGGAACGGACATGGTTGCGAATTTTAACCCTAGCCACCTCTGACCTCAGATTAACTTCACCTACAATTTCAAGAATTCAAATCATGCAGTTTCCACTCTGGTGAAGGCTTTACCTAACCACCACCCCGAGCTCGAAGGCTAGGTTCATAAGTTCATAATTATAGCAGCAAGATACCAAACTACAATTCAACAAAAGAAAAATAGGGGGAAAATAAAGAAAGAAAGCAACTTACACAAACCCATATAAATCTTGAAACACTATTTTCACACAGTTTTCCGACAATTTGCATGGTTTCAGCTAAAATTTGTTCCTTGATTCCCATTAGTCTAAGTTTTCAGCTTCAAGATCATTAAATATTCAAACTTAACGTTAAAAAAAAAAAAAAAAAAAAAAAACTCAATAGCTTCTCAAAAAGTGCCGTAGAGCATAATACTCAAACTCTACACCAAACACACCCCAAAAGACAGAAAAATCTTCTTTAAATTGGATTTTAAATTAATACAACATCTTCAAGAATCGAAACAGTGAAGAAAACCCACCTGAAGTGTGACAAATTCTGTGTTTCCAAGCAAACAACAACAAACCCTTTCAGAATTTACATGAACCAAAGTCCGGTCAATCTAGAAACTTCTCAACCTTTAACCACCCAACAATTTTTTTCCACAAAAGCTTAACAAAATTGAAATTGTTTCACCAAAGAAAGCCAAAATCCACGTAAGGGTACTCGAGATTGTGAAGAAAAGAGGAAGCTTTATCGTGCAGGAAAGGCTGCTAGAAAATCGTTTTTGACTGACAGAGCTTCTGTGCACGATAATGAAAAGTGCAGATCCAAACACTGGGGTAAGAATAACAAGAATTGGGTCCTCACAGAAGCATATAAAGAGAAGATCTCTGCAGCGAGGGGTTCAGTTCTCGAACAAAGTATTTTCTTTCCTTAGCAGCTGGTGTTGTGTCTGTGTTCCTCTGTTCTTCTCTTCTCTCTCTCTCTCTCTCTGAGTGTTAAACAAAACAGCATAACCCAAAATTCTCTTTCTTATTGCCGAGTTTTCCCGATGCTAGTTGCCTCCTCTAATTTTATATTGAGCCCTAATTTCCAGTTAATTATCTGTTTTACCCCTTTCTAATGGTATTGCTATTGGATCAGGTGTCAATTTAGGGCAATACCCAAGCGTGGACTATTTCAGACAGAAGTAGAATTCATAAGAGGTTTTTTTTTTTTTCCTTTTTTTAAGAGGAGACAGGTGAAAATTGGGGCATTCTCACATCCAATTTTGAATGAAGTTTAAAGTACAATATACAACCCATCTTGTTAAGGCAGAGATCATTTCACACAAAAGTACATGACCAAACAAGATAGAATTATGACATGTCAAAAATATAAGAATGAGACAATCTTGCTACTAACCCAAAAGAAATAGTCCATCTGTGTTTTGATCTTTTTTATATTACAATAGAATTATGAAAATTTGAATGGTTTAATATGGATAGGGAATAAATAAACCAATAATAATAAATAATTTTTATTTTTGTTAAAAATTAAATTAAACTAATCAATCCATATATGTTGATTCTATTTAGATCATTAGCTTTGTCATTTGTTTATATCCTGCTCACACAAATTAAATTAAACTAAACAAGTGCTGTCATTACCATTTAGTGGTGCTAAATATCAATGTTCAAGTAATGAAAAAATAACATCATAGTGTATTATTGTTGCTTTTGAAAGACTCATTATTATTGATATAATTATCATTAATATTAAATATTGTATTATTGTATAAATTATGGGTATATGTAGAATTAAATATATGTTTTTGGATTAAAAGTTATAGTTACTAGTAAGATGTAATTTTATTTCTTTTAAAATCTTAAAACCACGTATAACTCAAGAGTTGCACCACTACTAACATATCCTAGATTAAAAATTTGAAACGTTAACTCTGTCAATTTGTCAAATCATAAAAGTTACGTTAATTAAATAAAACCGAAAAATTGGGATGAGGACAAAAAAAATTATGAGCAAACAAAGCAAATTAAAATTCTAAAGTATTTAATGTGAGATAATATGAGAGTATAATAAAGAGTCCAGTTACAAAATGAATCAAACATTCACTTCTAGCATAAAATATAATAAGACAAAAAAAAAATGACATTTAAAATAAAAGACTGAACTTGCGACTCTCAAATCAAAATAGAAAATAATATAAAGACTTGCTTTATTCTTTTAACCATCAAAACATTGATGTCTAAAACTGATAATTAAAAAAAAAGATTTAGGTCAACAAAAAAATATTTAATCAGATTAAAATTAATCATAATTAGGTTGAACTGTTTAGTTTAATTCATCATTTTTAAAGTCATATAAAATTTTCAACCTAATAAATATCATAACTTTAAACATATTTTAAAAGTATTTTTTATTAAATTTTTTAACATGTATACAAGATAATATATTATACATCATAAATTTTTATTAAAAATTATAATGTTTAATATTTTTAATGTATTAAATTATATTAATTTATGTAGTTTTTAATGAAATTTTACTAAATATAATTTATTGTCTTGTGCAAATCATATATGTTAGAAAAATTTGTTATTTAATTTAATTTTAGAAAAATAGCTTATTTTATTAATATTTTAAATATGTAAATTATAATATATATTTCTATAATTTTTAAATAATAACAAGTTTAAGAGAATGTGTATTTGTATGATAGAGTTATATGTATAATAAAAATATATAAAAAGAAAAAATACATGACAAGATTATTTATGTAAAATAAAGTGTTATAAAAGATATTATAAAAAAAATGATGCAGATAATTTGATTGCTAGACTAAAATATTTTTTCTAAAATTAAACTCTAGTTGTAATAATAATTATAAAGTGTAGATTTATTTGAATTAAGGATGTTGATATGATTATAATTTCAAATAAATTTTTTCGATAATAATAAATATGAAAAAAATGAAATAAAAGATATTACATAATTTTAGAATTGACATAGAAAGCAAAAAATATAAAACAATAAAAAAAAGTGAAGAAAATATTGAAATTTTGAAAAAGAATTTTGTCTAAACTCTAGTCAAGTGTTTTGTTTTCATAATTCTTAAAAATTATATAAAATAAATATATAATTTGTATACATTAAAATTTTATGCCAAAAATTATGTTTCTTCAAAATTTATTATTATAAAAATAAAAAATTACATAACTTTTTACGTTAGTCTAAATAACTGTAAAAAGTATTTTTTATATCAATTAATTTTTAAATCAATATTAAAAATACAATTATAAAGATACAAAATTACATAACTTTGTTATTAGTTATTTTTTGAATTGATGTAAAAAATATTTCATACGTTAATTATTTTTAAAATTAATATAAAATCAATTTAAAATTTTTATATTTTAGAGACATACACCAATAAAATAACATAAATTATAAATGATGAATACAATTTTTTACTTACATATTGCAATTGAAGTAACAACGACGACTGCATAAATGAAAAAAAAATATAGCAAATGGTTGCAATTAGCTTAAGAAAAAGCTAATAACATATCATTTTAATTTAGAATTCCAAAATATTTTTTTATGTATATTTTCAAAATTTAAAAATATTTTTTTTTCTCTTTATACCTAATAAAACATGTAAGAAAAATTACATAACAATGATACAAAAGATACAATATTTTATTTTTATTATTTAACACTGATAAAGAACTGAAAAAAATAAAGAGTAAATAAAAAAATGATTCTCTAAATTTTTGTATGGTTTATCTCAATATTAATTTTTTTTTTGTATAAAGAAATATGAAAAAAAAATCATGAAGAGTAACTGAATTATTATTTTTTTACTTTTTAAGGATTATCACAATGATATATTATTAATTAGTAAAAAACGATGAACAAAAAAAGAATTTGATTTTTTTAGGATTTAAAAAGATTAGATCTTGAAGATTTAGCAAGGTTAGAATTTTATTTAGTAAAAAACAATAAATAAAAGGAACTTCGATTTTTAAGGTCTAACGTATTATATTTGTAAGGTTTATAAATATTAAATTTTTATTTAGTAAAAAGAAATTTAATTTTTTAGGATTTATTATTTCATTTAAAAAAATATATAAATAAAATAAAATAAATAAAATAAAATAATATTAACTATATGATCAAAAGTATAAAAAGCATAAAAAGACAAAGAAAACTTACTTGATGTGCTTTTGTTAGGATTTTTTATTCACTTTTAAACTTTTATAAAGAATATGTACTTCATTAATGATGAATTTTCTCAAGAGTATTTTTAAAACTTTCTTCCTCTTTTCTAAAGATATTTGCCTCCTATTCATAGCGCGTGTTCTTGCTCTTTAAACCTATTTAATATATATATATATATAAAGGCTCTATTATTTTTATTGTTCTTTATTTATTTTTTCAACTTTTTTAAAAATTTACATACTACTTTGACCATTTTAAATTATTTTTTAAATTATATTTTATTCACTAATTCACTATCTATTAAAAAAAATTAAAAATTTAATTTTTAAAATTTTAAATTATTTTTATATATTATCTTAACCTACTACAAAATTTAATAATAATTTTTTAAAAATTTGATTTTTTTTTATTTTAAAAAGAGACCTAAATAAAATTGGTTATTCACATTATATTTTCAAATTTTTGTTAGAATTTTTACCTTAAACATAAATTTTTATTTATATTATTAAACTTTTATTAACCTCGTTACATACGTTATTATTGAGCACAAACTCTAATTTAATATAGAAATAATTTTATATTACTTTATTTTGTGTTTTCTTTTGTATTAATCAATTGATATATAACATTGATAAATATTACGTATTTTCTTTTTACAGACTTAAAAAATATTAAATCTCAAGTCAATGTTAATAAATATTACATATTTTTTATTTAAGACCTAACGAATATTAAATCTAAAAATATTAATAAATATTGATAACAAATATTAATGCAATTGACAATAATGAATATTGATATAATTAAAAATTATTTATTAAATAATAAAAATATTAACATAATTAACGATTATTAAAAAAATAACACTTTTAATATTGGTTAAAGAATTAATATAAAATAAATATATTTTTTTATATCAATTGATTAATTGATATAAAATAATTTTTAGTTACTACATTACTTAAATCTACGTCAATTTCACTAACTAATGTAAACAAAATTATTTTTAACTCATATAAATGTTTTTTTTACTAAGAAAGCAACAATAATAATCAAAGAGATAACTTGATTTTTTTAAGTATATAAATCGTGAAAATTTAAATTCTCACTACAAATTAACTCTCTATTTTAATTTTGTTGGTAACATCCTTTAAGCCTTGCCCTACCTCAAGAATCAAATTGTTTTATAAGTTTGTTTTTCCTTTTTTTTTTAAAATATTTGCTACCATCTTAAAAAAATAATATTGAACAAACATCATAGTAAATTTCTAATAAAACAATAGCTTTTCAATCCACTTATTGTCATTTGTTTAATCATCGCTATTACAATCATTAAATATCTATTTTTCTTATTATTGTTTTCCATAGCAGAGAAATAAGTTGAATTTGAAAAATTAACAAGTAAGAAAATTCATTACCCAAATAATACAAAACATTTATCCATAACTATATGTTTTTAGATGTTGATTAAATTGGCGTATCCTTTACTCTTCTTAATTAAAAATTTGAATTTAAATTTTATAAATAAAATATCATTAAAAAAATTCGTCCTATCATGTTTAAATGTTTCTGACTTAAACAAAATTATTTCATATAATTTTTTTTTATATTTTAATACTTTTTTTCACACAAAATAAATTATAATTAATCTTAAACCATTCACGTAAATTTCCTTGTCACGACATTATTTTTACCTTATGAAACATAATTATTAGTCCTTTGAATTTGGTCAAGGCATAACATAACTTCTTTTTTCATTAAAATAACAAACATTGGGTTTAATTTTGAGAAAAAAACAAAGATGATGTATAAAAAATATTTTAAATTCAATTTCAATTTACATCCTTTACTTCCCCCAAACCCACCACGGCACAAACAGAACATTGTCCCTCTTCGCCGCACCCTCCTCCTCTTCTACTTCTTCTCTCTGCAAGTGTGTGGCATTGATAGGTTCGCTTCAATGGCAGCCTTTGATCACTTCAGGAACATGTACGATGTTGCACTCAAACCTCGCTTGCTTCATTCCCTTATCAGAGACCACCTTCCCAATGAAAAGCACCCCTTTTCAAACCCTTCGGAACTGTCCAAGGTTGTCTCTTTGGTCAAAACGCACTCTCTTCTCTCTGAGTCTTTTACAGAATCCATGGACCCCAAGCTTATTCAAGCATGGAAATCTGAAGTTACTTCCTGGGTCAACCACATTCTGTCCCTCCTTTCTACTACTATGGTAAATTTCATTACTTTGCACTTGCATTTTTCTGGGTTTTCAACAGAACTCAAACAAAAAAAAAAAAACATTTTCGTACTAATTTTGATTTTAATGATTTTTACATTTATTTTAAATTTTTTTTCCCATGTGGGTTAAAACCAGTTTTGTGCCCAATTTATTTGTCACAAACAATTTTTTTTACGTACCAGTTGCTGCTGCTTGATACTGATTGCTTTCGCTTGAATATTGGAGCCTGAAGATTGTTTTGTTTTGTTTATTTTACTCTATTTTTCACAGAGTTAATTTAGTGCATTTTTCTTTTCTAGCCAGATAAATGCTGGGCGGGTATCTCTCTGTTGGGTGTTACTTGTGAAGAGTGTAGCTCTGATCGTTTCCTAGAATCTTACTCTCTGTGGTTCCAGAAATTGCTGTCTTTTCTACAGGTACCTAGTTGTTTTGCCATTCATGCAGATAATTCTTTTGTTAGCTTTTTAGAATTTTCCCATTTGGAGTATAAAATACTGTTCAATGCAGATTTGATTGTTGTTTCGGGTTGTAGATGAACTTAGGCCCGAGTAATATCACCTTTGTGCTCTAAAATTGATACTTTCTTGCCTATTATATTGCATATGTATTTCTGTGTGCCTTTAACAAACAACCAAGCTGGTACGCTAAAGAGAACTTTATGTAACAAACAGTGCTTGAAGAAACTTAATAATACCACTCAGTTTGTTGTTTATGAAAATCTATATATTCACCTTTACAGGTTTAAGGCATCCCTCCTGTAATTTGTAAATCAGCAATCTGTCTCTGGCTGATGCCTTTTAGAATTACTCATTGTGCTTGTTCTTCCTGTAAGTCATTCTAGAGTACACGAAGCTTCATTTCCTGTATAGGAGATGGACCCTATATTTTCTACATGTTATGTTATTGAATTGAATGATGTTAAACATTATTTATCTGATACAATGTCTTTGTCTCTCTTCTTGGACTCTGTGTTTGAATCTTCTAAAATACACATGCACTCATGTCTCAAAGTTAGATACCTAGGTTTTCATGCATCTTTGACGAATAATGTTCAAATCTCTGAAATGAATTTTTCACTTTTGTTATGCACTGTTGTGATGTGTTCTTTGATCTTTATTTAAAACAGTCACCATCAGATTCTCATTTAGTGAGGGTAGCTTCTTGCGCTTCCATATCTGATTTATTTGCAAGGTTAGATATTTCTTTTCCTACTAAAGAAATCCCTATCAATTTGTACAATTATTAATGTGTGATGTCAATTTACACACGTTTGATTTTTATGCTGCTTAATTGAATCCTTGCTAGATTTCTCTCTCTGCTTATCTGCAAGCTCGTGTGGTTGCCACATACATTGCTAGTAATTATACTCAATAGGATATGAGCATCTGTAAAAAAATATTAGATAAACTAGAAATGTGGATTTGTACTATTCTATTAAATATTACAAAAATGTTCCTTTCAAATTGATTAAATTTGACATTCCATCTGCTAATGCATTTAGTTTTAATGTTTAAATGAATCCAACATATATTTTGAGGAATATTTTTTGTCACTTGTTGGTGTTATTCTGAATCAAATTAGTATCTTTGAGCCATTGTCTTAGTCACGTTGCTGGCAATATCTGTCTTCATTAAAATAGCTGACAGCTATACCTTTCCTAACTCTCTGTTGTAAAAATAGGTTAAGTGGATTTCCTAAGATCAAGAGAGATTCGTCTTCCTGTGCTGTGAAAGTTGTTCAGCCTGTTTTGAAGATGTTACAAGATGACAACTCAGAGGCAATATGGGTGGGTGCTGAATAATAATTGAGGGACAAATTCTTGTATTGAAGTTGGTTTGTGAAGTTTTTCTTAGAATTGCATTTGATATGAACATATGTAAAGCATTATATATTTAAAGTATATGTTGAAATTTTTTTTTAATATCTACTCATTCGTTATTATTATCAGTTACTAATCCTAGTGATGGGATTTATATATATATATTGATAGTAATTGACAGAATCATTTAATTTATAACATATTGCATAAATGATGTAATAAGGAAGAATATACAAACTATTGTAAGTATGGAACAGTTCCCTCAGGACCTCTCTCGCATACCTGTGCATAGGGTATATGCTAAGAGATGATAATATCTTGTGTTAAACTTAGCAAATGTTGAAGTCACAAGTTTCATTATTTGGTCCATACTTGCAGTGAAATGCAGACACATCGCTAAAAATAAGATAGTTCACATTCTTTGCATGCTCTTGACAGTCTTTTATTTGTCGGTTCTCATATACATGCTATTTCTTTGGTCAGGAATTATTTGCTTTCTTTGCTTACACCTTTTTTTTATTGTTCAAATTGTGGTGAATGCAGGAATCCGCAGTTCATTTGTTATGCACCATAATTACTTCATTTCCATTTTCTATTCGTAATCATTATGATAGTGTAAGCTTCTCCTTCCCTTGTTGGAACATTTGTTACATTCTTAATTTCTGTGTGTGTGTATAATTGGAACTTTGTTTCTCAGATAAAGTCCACTACTTCCCTTAATACTTGTTTTACCTGAACAAGAACTTCAAACTTGAATAGTAATTTTGATAACAATGTCTATTTAGAAGCTAGATAAAACAAGAGATTGAACATTCCTATCCGGTTAGCTGGAAAATATCTATATAATTCATTTGACAGCTTGTGTATGTAAGGCATGTGTTCATAATTACTAAGGTAGCATTTGGTAGACATGATAGAATTGGGACAAAACAATGGTTTCTATTTTATGTTCGATGCATTTTAAATGAATAGAATAGAACAAAACATGGTAAAAAGTGATAAATTTTGGTTCACTACTAAAAAGGTGGAAACAAAGAGAAGAGAACAAAATGTTTTATTCTGTTTTGTCCATGTGCCAAATGCTACCTAAAAGCCACCTGGACATTCACCTAGATGCAAAGGTCCTCAATAGCCGCTTAATCAGGTTTTATTTCCCTAATTTATTTATTTATATTTACTTTAATAACCTAATAATTAATCACAAAAAATACAAAGGATGCACGTGGTTAGATTTGTATCATTGGTATATTGATGCTTTCGCAGTTTGTATCTGCATATGCACTTGTATCAACACTTACTTTCTTATTCTACTATTCTAGTCAATACTCTCTGGTGTGTCTCTATCTCTGCATGATTGGGTACTTGCTACTTTTATGAGGGAAATTTTAAAGGCAAATATTTGAGTTCCCTTGCTGCTGTATTCACATTTTGATGATTGTTTTGAATTTATACAGGTTGAATCTGTTATTGCCATAAAGCTTTTCTCTGGAGGGTGCAGTCTTAATATGTTGAAGGTAACATGTTTCATCAAATTTCAAATAGCTTCTTACTAGGGTATGTTTGGATTGTTGCTACATGAAGGGATGGAAGGGGACTGTTTGGGAGGGAATGGATTCCTACATTTGGAAATGAAATCAGCAAGCAAAGGCAGGGACTGAGCATTATTTGTTCTGCCTCTGCATACCTGCAGCAGCCACATTTTGCTGAAAATATAATTTCATTATTGTACTTTTATTTTGTCGTACAGATTTATTTGAAATCTTATAAATTTATAATTCTATCCTTTCCTTTCCATTTTTTATACAACTTCCAAACAAGGAAAGAAAAATTCATATCTCTTTCATTTGATTTCTTGTATTAAACCATTCCATTTCATTTTGCACTAAAATTCCAAACTTAGCCTTACACATTCTACTTGACAGTGTGAAAATAAATAGCTGTCACTGTCCAACTTACTGAAACACGTAATGCACATGTAATGTTATGAAGGTTGTTTATTGCCATTTCTACATTTTCAGTAAATGATTAGTTTTCATCCGGTTATTAATCAATAATCACTGGCCAAATTTGTCTACTTTTAGAGTGCCTTAGTTTTCAAAAGATGAACAAAAGGGTATTTCTCAGACTCAGAATCCAAAGAAAGATATATTAGTATAAAGATTTGAAAATGATTCATGCATTCATTTGGTTTGTAATTTGTTCTTTGCTAAATTTTTATTCCTAATTTTCATTCTTTTCTGTGATGTTTTCATATCAAAGACAGAAATAATCTACGGTTACTGAAAATTTCAAGAAAGATTAATGATAAAATCTACTAGGTCTAATATAGGGATAAAACCTACTGAAAATTGGAGAAAGGGGTACTCCTGACCTGCGGTTGCAGACCATCCCTAACCTTGTTTGTGAACCATGAGGGCATTATCATGTATTGATGATTTCTTTTATTCTTATCCTTAACTTTGAATTCTCAATTTTATATGGAATTTTTTTTCCACTCCCACTTGGTCTTAATCTGATGTTTTCTGTTGGCTGCTTGATATTGTACATCCAGAAACTTGCACATTGCCTTGCACTGCTACCAAAATCAAAAGGAGATGAAGAAAGCTGGTCTGTGATGATGCAGAAAATTTTGGTCTTAATAAACGATCAATTAAATTTGGCCTTTCAAGGTCTAGAAGAAGGTAGGTATTGGTTTTTTGTATTTCATAACAGCAACTATTAAAAGCTGTATGTGACCATCTTTTTCCACATATTGCAGAAACTATCCGTAACGAGGTTAATAGGTTGTTGGTTCTGTCTGGAAAACACCCTCCACCTACATTAAGAGGCTATATGTTGTCAGAAGAAGCTAGTAACAAAGCATCAAAGAGGTCTGAGCAATCATTAATGTCTAATGTCTCCACACTTATGTTTGGCTGTTGCTTGATGCTTACAAACTCATATCCTGTTAAGGTATTGTTTAGTGAATCCAATTTATGTTCCTACAATTGATTGTCAGTTCTGTATTTTCTTAGTTTGGGAGAACAATGACGTAAAGCAACATGACATTAATTGTTAGGTAAATGTGCCTGTTCGCCTGCTATTGGCCCTTGTTGAGAGAATTCTGATGGTTAATGGATCTTTGCCACAAATATCACTGCCATTCATGACTGCTAAGCAGCAAGAGAACATTTGTTCAGAGCTTCCGGTTTTGCACTTGAGCAGCCTGGAATTGCTTACAGCAATCATAAAGGCCATGGGCAGGTATGACTGCATATATCCTTACTCTCTCCCTCCAAAAGAAAAATAGGCTAAACAGGAAAAAAGGAAATGAGGAAGTGGGCTTTGTAAATTTAATGTTAAATTCTTGGAACCTTGACATTTTAGAAATAGAATAGTGTGTTTGCTCTTTTATTTTAATTCGGTTATGATTTATTGCTGTTATGTCTTCAATCATCTAAGAGCTTAGCTTGCATTGTTATGGTATTCTGATTCCTGTTTCAATGCATAACTTCCATGTATTTTCCTCTGATATATCTTGTGTATTTATTTCATGCATGGATGCTGATTTCTAGTTATTGCCAAAATTTGTATTGCAGTCAACTATTACCACATGCTGCATATATCGTACGTATCATTACAAAGTACTTCAAGACATGTCAGCTGCCAGAATTAAGGATTAAGGTCTATTCAGTCACAAGGACTTTGCTCATATCCATGGGTGTCGGTACATGATTTCTGATTTTAGTTGCTTTTCTGCTTACAGTTGTTATTATCTTGTCGCAAAGAAGTTTGAGAATCTGAATGTGTTTATATTATTTTTTTCATATTTGTAATTTTTTTTGTAAATATTCGGGGGAAGATTCTGCTCTTCTTGAGCCTTGGCACAATGGTAAAGGAATAGCCTTGTGGCTTAGGCTTTGTTTAGATTTTATGTGAGGTGAGGAAAGGGGAAGGAGGGAGTTATTGATCACTAATCCTTATTTAGAAGTTAATTAAATATGAGGGGAAGAGTCAGAGATTTTTTTTAACTCCCAAAACCCTTATAATTTTGTGTTTCTCCATTTTGGGAGTTTTAATGACTCATGTAGTGAAATTTATTATTTATATTTTGATTTGTTATATTAAATATTTAGTATTGTCTAGAGTTAAAATAACAAGAAAATAAAATATAAAAAAATATTTTTTAAAAAAAAAATTAGTTTTTAGAGTGAGAATTTTTTAAAAAATTATAAAAAATAAAAATAGAAATAGACAAATTTTTAGAGAGAGAAAAATATTTAATTTGTATTTTTTGAAAAAATAAAATAGACAAAAAAATATAAAAGGATAACAATATCATTTACATGTTAAACTTTTTATTACCCTTTCTTCTCAATATTAAGCATTCAAATGAAAGAGAGGTTTATTCTTCCTTCTCCTCTTTTGAGCCCTTAAAACCTTTTCTTTTCCTCTTCCTCCAAACTCTCAAACAAAGTTTTAAAAGTCACTCATTCAAACCCTGGAAACAGTCTCTTTACTTGTGTGGGCAAGTGTCAAGACTGTGTACATCTATCCTTTTCATACCCTACTAAGTGGGAGCCTCATGCATATATATGAGGCATTGCTTGGGCCAGTTTTTTTGGCCCTCTTCTTAAAAGGAGAAACTCCTCCAATTAGCTTTTGTAAAAAATATTTTTTTGCACCTTTTTCTTCATTAAAAGAAATCTACTTTTAAGATTTAGAGCTTTTTGGAAATTTGTTTGGTCTAACTCCTTTTAAGAAGTGAAGCCCAAAAAGAGTTGAGCCAAACACTACCTAACTTCTATTACAATCTTTCTTTTCAGATAAATTTTTTCAATCATAAATCATTGCACTTCAAACATAATTTTAAACAAAAGCAAGATATCAAAAATCAAGTTTGCAACACACATTAACTAGTTGAGTGGTTAATTTGTCCTCAAGTGGAAATGTTTTTTCCTAGAATTCCTTTGTGCAATTTTCCCATTTATTTTTATCAAATCCAAAACAAAAATGCAGATAGAGAAAAAGAGGTAAAGAGGGAAAAGGAAAGGAAGGAAATAGAAATGCACAAGGTTAATTGTATTTAATTTTAGTTCTGCATATTGTTTCTGCTGTCATCATCATCTGATTTCATTTAATAACTGCCTATTTTTTTTTTTTTCGTTAGATTATTTCAACAACTTTATATATATAGATTGCATGGGTGTTTCTTTCCTTTGCAAGCTTCTCTATGCCTGAATGGTTCTTACTAATTAGTCATCTTGAACAGGAATGGCTTTATGCCTTGCACAGGAAGTTATCAACAACGTGTTTGCTGATTTAAGTACTGTTGAGAATAAGAATGGTGGCACGTTGAATGGTTCAAATTCAAATGCCTCTGCTGGAGCACTCCTACCCCCAAGTCATAGAAAAAGGAAGCACAGCAGTACAACTGGTTCTCTCCAAGATCTTGAAAAAAGTGGTGATTTGAGAGTGGAAGTTCCAAAGAATCATTCATTGACTCCAATTTCTCTGAGGATAGCTGCACTTGAGGCGTTAGAAGCTCTTGTTACTGTGGTACGTATGTATCGTTAATGGTAAACGATATGTTTGTGACTTCGTTAAGCTCTTGTTACCTTCAATGGCTATTCTTATACATGTTGTAATTGAAATTGAAAGGGTTGAATGAAAAGGGAAAAAAATAATATATTTTAAGTGAGACGACTGAATAATTGTGATACAAAGATTGTGCCTGAAAATTTTATTATTTTTCCCAGGCTGGTGCTTTAAAATCTGAGCAATGGAGATCAAAAGTTGATAGCCTTTTGATAGTCATAGCAACGGAGTCTTTCAAGGAAGGATCAGTAAATGAAGAAACAAGTGCATTTCAGCAAAAAGAACCTACAGAAAATGGCACACATTTGCAGCTTGCTGCATTGCGTGCTCTATTGGCATCTTTTCTTTCATTTGCTCGGGTACGGCCACCATATTTAGTCCAGGGTCTCGAACTTTTCCGTAGAGGTACTTCTATTTATCAATTTGAACTTCTTTTGTTCTTTTACTTTTTTTGGTATCCCCGATGGTATTTTAGCGGTGGTAAAATACTGTGTTTTATGTGTCGAAGTAAGAGATTTTAACGATGCTTTTTGCAGGGAGTATTGATGGTTCTCTATTATATGAAATATGGTGATTATGGTTACAAAATGCTCAAGTATTTTCTAACTTGCACAGTTTGGTGCGGATTTTGCTGGAAAGCATCTCCTATGTGGGGGCTGTATATTTGCTGTTTTGGATTTGATTTGTATATATCAATGTATTTCCTGTTTTTCTAGACTTACAGAGGGAGAAAATTTTTCTGAATTGCTTTAGGAAATCCTTGGCACGGTTGAGTGTGTGTATACAAATTTTAATTTAAATAAAGTAGAAAAACAGGAAAATAGTTATATGCAAATCACATCCTAACTATTAACAGCAAGTAGACAGCCCTACAGTAGGAGACATGTTTTGTTTATAGTGTTTTGCAATGCATGTTTCAAATAGAACAATTTCCTGTCAATATAATTTTCACTTTCATTTCTTTTAATTTTATTATCCAATAGATAATTATCAAATATAAAACAGCATTTTAGGTTACTGTTTTGTTTCCACAGTTACATAAAATTTTATTTTATTCTTACTTCCTGTTTGTTGAACAACATGGAATCTTTATCTGTAGGGAAGCAACAAACAGGAACAAAACTTGCTGACTTCTGTGCCCATGCTCTGTTAACCTTGGAAGTGCTTATACATCCTAGGGCACTTCCATTAGCTGATTTCGCCTATGCAAATAACAATTCTTTTGAGGAAGCTCAGTGTAACTTCCGAGATGAATATGTCGGCCGGAACAACAGTACCGCATCATATGGTTTACCAAAAGCAGTTCCTCCTGACTATGATGACGATTTGTGCGCTAGATGGTTTGAAAATGGCAATGAAGCCGATGCGTCATTGGCTAAAACCACAAAATACACCCAAGAGCCTTCTGAAGCTTGTAGAGCTAATGACCCCAAAGTGCTTTCCATGCCTCTATCTCCTATCACCAATATACAAGAGAGGACTCAGAAGGTATCTGTGACTACCACTTGTGCAGATGTTGAAATGAGAACTGTTGTGGATGAAGTCATGATCAAGACAGATCAATCTGGAGAATCGGTGGCACAATTTCAGGAACCTGTCAGTTGCACCACGAACATCCCCGTGGCTGAAGCTCACGGCGATGTAGCAACTGATGTAGTGTCTGAGGGGATAGTTTCTGAAAGCACTATGCCTCATAATGAAGCCAGTGTTATGGAATCAGGACAAGGAAGCTTGGTTAATATCGACTTTGAATTAGCTTCCCAGAGCAACAGTTCAATGCAGAGAACATCAGATTCTAAAATGAGTCAAGAATTTGATTTTAAATTGGATTATGGCAATTCACTGGCTGATGAAGAAGCTTTTCCTGATATTGTGGATGCAGACCCAGATTCTGATTCTGATTAATGGGAAGATTTTGTAGCTTATTTATTCAATGAAACATACATATTCAATGTCATTCTCTTTTTCTATCAGTTTTCCAAAGGTAATGCCGCATGTAACTTTTGAATCACCAACAAGTATTTTATAGGTTTTTTTTTAAACTGTGTTGTGAAACAAGTATATGTAGTCTCTGGTACAATTAGATTATATTTTATAGTTTTTTTTTAATCAAAATGATTTTTGAAATATTTTTTAGTATTAATTAGATTATATCAGGTGAATTACAATTACGAAGAGAAACATTGTAAAATATTACTTTAAATGTAAAAGTTATGTTATCATAATTTTTTATAAGATCATAATTCACGAAGAAATATATAAATTATTATCTATATTCATGCATGTGCGTGTACATTCAATTCCAAGTAAATTAGATATTTAAATCTTAAGTTTATATAGCTTAAGTTTGACTTATTCAAATTGAGCTTATTTAGTTAAATAACATAATTTTTATATCTATATACATAATTTTTTTTATTGTATTATGACAGGATATTTTGTATGATAATAACTATTGAGTCTTAAAGGAAAAAATATGAAAAAATAGAAATAATAAAACGGTAATGCTATGATAGATATACAGTGACTAATAAGTTAAGAAATAATTGTATATGTAATAATATTATAGTATCACGTATATTAAAAAGATGATTAAAAATTATTTAGAATAATTTGATTATGTACAAAGAAAATTACTTGATTAAATTTAATAATATTATAAAATTTACTTAGTATTTCAACAAATGAGATAAAACTTGGTTGTTTAATATTATTATTATTGTTGATTTTTTTAAAAATGAGAATAAGTTACCGAGTGGATCAATGGATCCAGATTGTATCATGCTTAAAAAAATTGAACACTCTCAAATGTGTAAATCTTAACATTTATGCATTTAATTTTTTATTTAAAATAAATATATTATATTAATATAGCATATATTAAAGAGTTAGAATCTGGTAGAGTGGAGAGTGGAAGTCATCGTAGAGAATCGATTCCCTTCACACAATTCATTCCTTTATTATCTATTTTTAGTGACATCTATTTATGATCCCCTTTCACAGTTTCACTTCTCACCTTTCTCATCAAACCACATCTCTTTCACCACAGCCAACTGAAAAATTATTCCACCGGTTTCCCTGGTTAGAGCATAAAACAACATTAAAAAGTGGCTTTTTCATATTTTTATATGATGTTTAAAAATAATGTATATCAAAATATGAGATTTAGAAAAAAACTTACATAAAAATGAAATATAAAATAATTTTTTATGCAGGCGCATAAATTTAAAGATGAAACATTTTAAGATATCAGATGATTTTTCAAAAAAATTATTATCAATTTTTAAACTATAAAAAATTGTCAATAATATTTTTTAAAAATTATAAAAATTTTGAAGTACTAAACTTAGAAATTTTTTATATTCTTGTAATTTTTTTTCTAAAATCTCATTTTAGTATTTTTTCCATATAAAAAAAAAGCTTTAAAAAGTACAGAATAGTAGATGCGGTTGCGGTTTTCAAATTATAGCCCAAAAACGTTGGTCAATATGAATGAAAAATCCACCGGTAAATATAAAATAAGTTATCATTACAGTACCGCCCACAGTCTTTGTTAAATAATTACATATATCATTAATTTTAAATTATCTTAATCAATTAAATAAAATGAAAAAAGGACATTTTAATTAAAATATAATAAATTTGTATAATATTTTTAGAAAAGTTTTTATTAGTCTAAATATAAAATTATTTTTGTTAATGAGAATGTTTAAAGAGTATAATAAGAGCAGATTTTATAGTCTATTAAAAATAAAGATGAAAATTAATTTAAGAAAATTTTTGAGTTTATTAATATTTATAATAATATTCAAAGTATGATGATATTTTAGGTTTAAGTTTAGAATTTAAATATCAAATATTTCTTGTATTATTCTAATACTATAACGTAAGTCATAAATTTTATAATAAAAATTATTCTACCTTTTCACAAATATGTCAATTTCATTTGAAATAGAAAAAAAATATTTAAAAAAAATATTTACAAATCAATATCAGACACATAATAATAAATGTGCTTATTTTTATTTAAGTTGAGAGCTTTTTTAAACTGTGAGTTTAAAGATTAAGTTTTACATTTTATCATATTTAAACTTATGTTTTTAAAAATTTAATATTTAAAATTATAATTTTTTTTATTTTTTTTATTTCTTTGCTCTCTTTTATAAAAAAAAAATATTTACAAAATTATAAAAATATTTATTATTTTTTACATATTTATCTTTCATATTAATTTTTTAAAAACTTTAATGATAAAAAATGTTAGCTTAAGACTTGATTAAATTCATAAAAAATATGTATTTAATAAATTCATAAATATTAATTTAAATTTAAAAGATTTTAATTTAGACAACAAATTTTAAGTTTAAATATTTATATATTTTAATAACTTTTTTTTTAAAAGTAAGATTAATTGATATGCGTTTTGAATTATTTTATATTATTTTCATGATATTTATTAATTTTTATATAATTTAGATATTTATTTATATGTTATTAATATATTTAAAAATATAATATCTGTTAAAATAAAGTATGTAATAATGTTTTTATTAATTTTATAATATTAATATATTTAAATTAATAAGTAAATTAATTAATTTTACATTTTATAAAAATTATTAAGTTGTATAAGTGTTTACAATAATCTTGACTCTATTTATAAATGTCTAAATTATATAAAATTTAATATATATAATTATAAAAATAATATAAAATTATCTAATTATTATATTAATTAATTTTTATTTATAAATAATTATTAAATTTCACACATATATAAGTTAAAATGTATTGATTAATAAATCTTTTTAATATTTTTAACTCTTTAATCATCTTATATTATATTTATATAATATATATTATTATTTTATATTATTTTTACAATCAAATATGATATTAAATATTAAAAAAATTTATGTTTACATAACTTAACTTTTCTTATGAAATGCAAAATCAATTAATTTAATTATTTATTTAAAGATTTTTAAAATATAAATTAACTTTATAAATTTTTTATAAAAAAATTAATAAATACTTCATTATATTAATTTATTTTAACTTATATTTTTAAAATATAAATAAATATTTAATTTTAAACAACATACTTGTAAATATATAAATTATATAAAATCTAATATAGATAATCATAAAATTAATATAAAAAATACAAAAATAAATTAATCAATCCAAACGTTATATAAAAAATTATTAATCGTATAAATATATAAATATAATACACATTTTAATGAATCTCTATTGATTGTGTGGTCTTGAAAAAACCATTAGAATGGAGAGAGTATGAAGTAGTGAACCAGACAATTCACGTAAAATTAGCCATATATTAAAGAATATATTCAAATTGCTATAAAATAACTGAATTGAGTTGATTGTTCTTTGTGCATGAGTTTCTAATACACTCACTATCAACGATTGAGCCAACAATGCCGACGGGGGAACTCCGCTACGCGCCGCCGCAGCCACCGCCGGCGAACTCGACGGTCGGGTACGAAGACGAGGCGTGGGTGTGGGCGCAGATAAAGGCCGAGGCACGGCGCGACGCGGAGTCGGAACCGGCACTTGCCAGTTACCTGTACTCGACGATTCTCTCACACTCCTCTCTGGAACGTTCCCTGTCCTTTCACCTCGGCAACAAGCTCTGTTCCTCCACTCTCCTTTCCACCCTCCTCTACGACCTCTTCCTCAACGCCTTCTCCTCCGACTCCTCACTCCGCTCCGCTGCCGTCGCCGACCTCCGCGCCGCCCGTGAACGTGATCCTGCCTGTGTCTCCTACTCTCACTGCCTCCTCAATTACAAGGGATTCCTTGCCTGCCAGGTCATCTATCAAATTAATTCCCCAAATCCTAGGTTTTTTTCATTAATTAATTAATTAATCCTTCAATTCTTCAATTTCTAGGGGTTTTGGTCAATTAATCCCTCATTTTTTTAATTTCTAAGGGTTTTTTATTCATTAATTAACTAATCCTTCAATCGCTCACTTTCTAAGGGTGAATCTCTCAATTTCTCTTGTTTTTCTTTCATCAATTAACTAATCCTTCAATTTGCTCAATTCCTAGGGGTTTTAATCGTTTTTGGGTTTGAGGTTGATTTTGTGTGAGTGATTGCAATTTGCAGGCGCACCGTGTGGCGCACCTGTTGTGGCAGCAATCGCGGCGACCGTTGGCATTGGCACTGCACTCGCGCATCGCCGATGTCTTCGCGGTGGACATTCACCCGGCAGCGAGGATCGGAAAGGGGATTCTGTTCGACCATGCCACCGGGGTGGTGGTGGGGGAGACGGCAGTGATAGGAAACAACGTGTCAATCTTGCACCATGTCACACTTGGTGGAACCGGCAAAGTTGGTGGGGACCGCCACCCCAAGATTGGGGATGGGGTGCTCATTGGTGCTGGTGCTACCATTCTGGGGAATGTTAAGATTGGGGAAGGTGCAAAGATCGGTGCTGGATCGGTGGTTTTGATCGATGTGCCGCCACGGACTACTGCAGTTGGGAACCCGGCGAGATTGGTGGGTGGGAAGGAGAAGCCTTCTAAACATGAGGATGTGCCTGGGGAGTCTATGGATCATACCTCCTTCATATCTGAGTGGTCAGATTATATCATCTGAATTTTAAAGATGACTGAGTGGATATTTCAAATCAATCGCTTGCTGTTGGAGTTGCATGGATTTAGAAGCTAATTTGATTTGATATTTCACTCCTATGTTATTTGCTGTCAAAAGTTTTGTAATTATATGTTTGTATTCCCATTTTGCAGTGACTAGTCTCTGTTTAAAGCCACAGGGAAAGTTCTAGTTACTACTCACTACTATACTGTATTATGAGTGGAAATTGCGGCAGCATGCAGTGTAATAAGATATGGTGCAGATTACATAAGAAGATAAACTGGTTTCCAAATATTGCGTTGGCATGTCCATGTTGGATTTTGTTGTCGTCTTGGTATCCATAGCACTTTACCATCAGGAGTAAAATTAGAAGAGAAAAAGAAAGTGAAAATAAATAAAAAGAAAAGGAAAGGCTGATATCACAAATGAAAAGAAGACCTACTATCTTGATGTGATTCGGAAAGAGTCTGCAGAATTGTTTGCTTTTAACGTTCCAATCCAAGATTAGGAAGGATTGATGCAATCTACGGGGAAGTTGATGAAGTGATTTGATTTGAAATTTTATGGTGGTATTTGTGCAATATAGTTATTATTACTTGCTATTACTGTAGTTTCACCGCAGAGGATACTGTCACGAATTTCTCTAGACAAATGTCTTCACGGTTAACTTACACATGCTCTCTCTCTTTGCCTTTCTCTAGCTTGGACGTAAAGGCTGTTTTGGTTTGGTAATCAATAGAACAAGGTTGGTCTCTCAGTAATTTCACAAATCAATTCCATGTTCTTTGAAGGATTTAGATTTGACGCTGGTCTTACATGTATCTAGCTGTTGAGGGCAATTTGATGATCCAATTGCCTATCACCGTGAGTTTGGCATTAAAATTGATCTAAGGCTGTAATTATTAATAATTACCGGTTAAATAAGTTAAACTGTAAGAAATAAGAATTTGAAATTGAATAGATTTTTTCACACTAATTTAAAATGAAAAATAAGCACCACACACATAATTATTTAAAATTGAATTGGTTTTTTAAATTCATTTAAGTCCATTGGAATGCTTTCTCCTAGCTTCTATTCTCCTCAGTGTCTGCAACTGCTTCCTCTTCCTCCACTCCTCTGTCTCCGTTGGGACAGAGCAACTCCTCTTGAGCTGCATTACACATACCATGTTATCTTCACCATCTCTCGCCTCACAAACTCTACTATTGAAGATGTAGGCTTGTTCTTCTTTGCTCCACCCTAAATTTTTATTTTTATATTTATGAATGTTTTTCTTTTATTATACCGTGCCTCGAATTGATCTTTCTTCAATCAATTTTATTTTGGAAGCAAAAATGATTTTTGAAATATGTTTGCAAAACACATCATAGAATCAATAATTTGAAAGCAAACGTGATTTTTGTTAATAAACCAAACAAGCACTTGGTTTCATTTAAGTAGCAAGTCATGGTAATATTATGCGGTGAAATACTGGTTTATATTTAGTCTCCATATCTAGCGATCTGTTTTGTTTATTTTTATTAAAGATTTAATTATAACTTTGGTCCTGAAAATGTTATTCATTTAAGTCCTATACGAAAATAATTTATATTTTAATCTTTATATGAAAGTTATTCACAAATTAATTTCTGCTATTTATCAAAATTAGAGTAATGTCTCTATACTTAATAATATTATTTTTTATTTTAATCTCTATACTTGCATTTCATTTTAGTTTCTATACATAAAATCTTTACATTTTAGTTCTTACACATCACATATCGCATGAACATATTCATATGCAAACGAGGAAAGTCTTTAGTCAAGGTTTGGATTTTACTCTTTACAGGGGTTGAGAGGGAAGGTGGCAACATGATTCTCATTCATTACCGATAAAATTAACACGGAGCATCGCAAGCTACTGGTCAGCGTAGGTATGTTTAAAAACGTAATATTTTTACCAAAAATAAAGAGCAAGAATATATATACCCTAAACCCTAAACCCTAAACGTAATATTTAAAAACGTAATATTATATACTCAATGGGATGAGAAGTTATTGCTTAATTGTGCTAACTCAACTTGTAACAATATCTCATCATTTTTTGCCTTCATTCACCGATACGAGAATCCAAAACGGCCTCAAAATATCGAATCAAATTAGCTGAATTTACTATATCCAAAATATAGCATTTTTTGGCATAAAAATAGGTCCCCCCAAAAGAACACACTACAAATATAGCATGCGGTGTGCATGCACAAACACACACCCCTCAATTCTAGATATCATTGCACTAAATTTTCTCCATCTTCTTCTCCTACGTAACCCAAACAAGATCAAAGATAATAATATATCAACCCCAACAACAACATCACCATGACCAAGGCTATTATCATCCCATAACTGCATGCAACATGAGCACTCAGTCACAACAACAACAACCACCACAACAACAACATAACAAAAGAGAATTCAAAGAAGAAGAAAACCGGTTGCTACCATCAGAATGCGAGACAATACCATTGTCCTCAGCCTCTTCATCACCCTCAAAGTGGGAACTTGGAAACCAAGAAGAAGAAGAAGAAAATACGGTGTATGCAGCCAAGGACAAGGTGCAGATATTTGACTTAGAGTCCACAGGCGCGGCGGGATCCACGGCGGTGCCACCGTTTTCATGGAAGAAGCTGTGGTTGTTCACAGGGCCAGGGTTGTTGATGAGTGTGGCTTTTTTGGACCCAGGAAACCTTGAAGGTGATCTTCAAGCTGGTGCAATTGCTGGGTATTCTTTGCTTTGGTTGTTGATGTGGTCAACGATAATGGGTTTGGTGATTCAACTTCTGTCCGCAAGGCTTGGGGTGGCCACAGGGCGCCACCTGGCAGAGCTGTGTAGGGAGGAGTATTCCAATTGGGCCAGGTTGACTCTTTGGTTCTTGGCTGAGTTGGCTCTCATTGCTGCTGATATTCAAGAAGTTATTGGTAGTGCTATTGCTTTTAAGATTCTTAGCCATGGGCTTCTCCCCATTTGGGCAGGTGTGGTTATCACTGCCATGGATTGGTAAGTAAGTTTAACAAATTTAATTTATATATTATAAAACTTATTTGGTATCTCATCTCCGTTTAATCTCAACTTGATTCAGATTACACACTTAAATTACATACTTGAATGTGATAAATAAACTTATTATTAAATTTTTTTTATATATATAAGAATTTAAATATAAGATCTTGCTTAACCGATATTAAATTGCTTGTCACTCAAACTAATTTTTGGTAATAACTTAAAATAGTATTTATTTGATAAGTTTTTATTGTTAAAAATATTTATATAAGAAATTAGATCAAGAAATTTAATGACTTTGAAAAAGACCTAATTTGATAAGTTATATAAAGAAGTTTGTTAAAATAAGTTGGAAAAAAATTGTAAGCTTTTCTAAATGCATCTTAGTGCTAACTTCTCCGATCGTAAAATAATATAGGAATTTCTTTTTAAAGTTCCACGACAAATTTTGTATTGGAGGCTATTTTAAAGGGTGACGTAATACATGAGGCTTCCATTTAATAAGATATGGATAGGATAATTATATGCACTCTCACTTTCACATATGAAAAATTTGTTTTTGAGAGTTGAACTTGTAATCGTCATGTCACATGGCATAACATTACCATTGGGTTAAGGCTAGCTTTTCTTAATGGAGGTTATTTAATGTTGGAAAAAATTAACATATTATATTGTTTAGTTTGAGAATTTGATGATGAGAGTGTAAATAATTTAATCCGAATTTTGTCCTTATTTCTACATCAATTTGAGTTGGATATAAAAAAAAAAACAATTTACCATGTATTATTTTGATGATAAGTATGGTAAAATAAATAAATAGGTCTTCTGGTTCACCATTTTTAATCCTACTTTTTGTCTCTTGTTGAACAGTTTCTTCTTTCTATTTCTTGAGAATTATGGAGTGAGGAAGTTAGAAGGAGTTTTCGCAGTTTTCATTGGAACTATGGCCTTTTCCTTTGCGTGGATGTTCTTTGACACAAAGCCCAGTAAAGAAGAATTAATGATGGGTATAAATTTATCTAATTATCTACTTTGAAATATAAAAATATATTACTGTTTATTATTATTGTTATTATTATGATTATTTATCAGCAACAAAAATATACTAGTGTTTATTATTATCCATTCCCATATGTTCAGAGATAGTATATGTTATTAATATTATCACATTCCCTTCAATGTTGGTGCTTATAGTTAACAGAAGTTGATGCTTCTTCCAGGTCTTTTGATCCCAAGAGTTAGTTCAAAAACACTTCGGCAGGCAGTGGAAATTGTGGGTTGTGTTATAACGCCACATAATGTGTTCCTCCATTCTGCATTGGTGCAATCAAGGGACATTGATATCCGTAACAAAGGGCAGGTTCAAGAGGCTCTCAACTACTACTCAATTGAGTCCTCAGTTGCACTTTTAATCACCTTGGTGATCAATCTATCTGTGATAACTGTTTTTGCTAGGGTGTTCTATGGAACAGAACAAGCCAACGGCATAGGATTGGTAAATGCAGGACAATATCTTGAGGAGAGGTATGGGGGAGGGTTGTTTCCAATTCTTTATATATGGGGTATCGGTTTGTTAGCAGCTGGACAAAGTAGCACTATCACTGGCACATATGCTGGACAGTTTATCACTGAGGGTTTTCTTAAACTCAATATAAAGAAGTGGTTGAGAGCATTGATCACTAGAAGTTGTGCAATTGTTCCAACTATGGTTGTTGCAATTGTCTTTAATACATCAGAAGGTTCATTGGATACCTTGAATGAATGGCTTAATGTGCTCCAAGCTATACAGATTCCCTTTGCACTTATCCCCCTTCTTACTTTGGTGTCCAAAGAGGAGGTCATGGGGACCTTTAGAATAGGGCCTATAGTTCAGGTAAGCTTTCTATCTAACCTTTTAGCTAATTTTTTTCAATCCAAAAAAGTAAATTACACTCCACGAGGTTTGTCAAAATACTTAATAAGCAGATTATTACAATGATATGAAGTTAAACTTGAATTATAATTTATTTGAAAGAAATTATAGATTATTTATGGAAATAACTTATAATTTTTATAAATTTATTTTAATAGTTTTTTTATAACTTATCAAAATAAGTAGATTATCTTATTTTAATAAATTTCATGATTAAATTTATGCTATAAGTTATCTGTTAAAAAAGAATTTATTAAATAATTACTTAATTAAGTTGTGTATTCAAATATGTGTTTAAAAAATATTTTAATTTTACTTCAATGACGTGAAATTTAACATGAAGTATAGCTGTTTTTTTCCCCCTAATTTAATTAGGTTTTGAAATGCACATAGGTAAAACTAAAAGCTAACTTTCGTTACTATTGAAAAGTTATTAACATTTAAAGCAGACTAACACATCAATGTTTATCTATAACTTTGTCCATTTTATGATGTAGAGAGTGGCTTGGACTGTGGCTGTGCTGGTAATAATGGTTTATGGATATATGTTGTTAGATTTCTTCCTAGAGGAAGTGCATGGACTATTGTTTGGTTTTCTAGTCTTCCTTGGCGCTTCAGCATGGATTTCATTTATTATATATCTACTTCAGCATAGTGGTGCAATTCCTTTCTTGATGAGGTCCCCTAATTCTAGAGGATTTTTTTCTCTTGCTGGGAACTAAACTTGGAAATTCATGCATATCATTTTGGGGGGCCAAAATGAAAACACTGAATTATGTTGCTGCAATTTCCAAGTTGCCAATTTTGCAAGAGGGTCTTTGATACCGTTCCAAAAGGTAGCATTGTTTGAATAGAACCTCACTGAACTTGGAAAAGGAATGCAAACCCACATAGTTGAAACTTGAAAGCATACTTTAGCATTGTCTTCTTTTGCAACTGAAAACTTATTCTTCATGCACAAGATCATGAACGTCGTGGTGAAAAGATCGCTAGAGGAGCATCATTATGTCTAAATCATCTAAGAAACTTTTTTACTAATTAGCTGTTAGCTTTACGTTGAAACAGAAATAAACTACTTTTATACGTTGAAACAGCTTAGGATGTAATGTATAGTCCAATAGAATTATTTTGAGGTATCATTAATGGTCACTCTCGAGTTGTAACCTAAGAAATACTGTTCTGCTGTGCCATATACACTGCAAAATGGTTTTAATTTTGCAACTAAACTATTATCCCCTTATTGATTATTGTTGTTGGTTATTATTTATAAATATTTTTAATGTATATTTATCAAATGTTAAGAAGATAAAAATAAAATAAAAAATTAAATATTAAAACATTTATTCTCTCAAAATTATAAATAAAACATTCAATACTTACTCTAAATATATTTTAAACGTTCAATAAAATATATTGAATAATTCTTAACATGTATTTTTAATACACAATAAAAAAATTGATTAATTATTTATATCAAAGATTTAATACCATATATCTTTCTTTTTATATATTTTCATATATACTTTTGCGTTAATCGATAATAAAGTCATTTTGGATTATTTAAGGGCAGAAGTGCCTGAGTAGCATTACTTAATACAAGGAAGAAAATGCATAAACACTCCATTTGAGATTCAAGTAAAGGTCCAAAAACTTTCACAAACTTAAAAAAAGGCCTCTTGTTGACTTGTCTATGTGGATTAAAACACATGATAGTTCTATTTTTATATTGTTAGCATGATACTTTGATTTATTTTTATTTTCATAAAATTTGAAATCAATAATAATATAAAAGAAATCAAATGAAAAGAGATTTTTTTTAAAATTAATTGGAAATATTACGTGGGTGTGAACTATGCTAATTATTATACATATACTATCTAAAAATATTTGAGACCAAATTATATATACTATCGATCGTTAATTTATCCGAAATATATATATATATATATATATATATATATATATATATATTAAAACAATGCATAAAAAATAGCACATGGCACTAGTAGCATCAATACTTTTCAAAACCACTGGCGACATCTCTAACTGAAGAAATGCACAAATTAATGAAAAAAACACTAAAATAAATAAAATGCACAAATTATGATTACGCCTAAAAGAATGAATGTGCTTGTTTAATGTTGTTTATATAAATGATGATTTCTCTTTATTCAAGGATCTTTATAGTGTTTTTTTTTATATATATTTTTTAAGAAATAGGATAGATTATTCAAACCACATACTATTTTTCTTTGGTCCTTGAGTTTTGTTATATCTTTTTATATATTTTTAATAATTCTCTAATTATTTTTTAAAGTTAGTATTATTTAATAAAAATTATATATTTATTATTTTAAAAATCTAAAAAATATGTAATATTTTTATTCAATAATTAAGAAATTATAAACATAACTAATAGAAAAATTACAATTATTTCTTGATCTAACATAGAATTAAACATCATACATGTACATTGTTGAAAGTTGAAATCTTGTGTCCCCTATTCACACATATGCAAGCATGTTGTTCCCTTTTGCTTCAATGTCTCATCCCCAACTTGTAGAAGAACAAAGCAACTGCTATGAAAGTTAGTGCGGTCATCATGGAACCCTAATTTACAACACTCCAAAGGCCTATGGAGCATCCACATTTCATATAAAATAGGGGAATTAAGATAATGTAAAAGGGCTTAAAATTGTTGTCATTATTTTAGAAAGTAATTACCTAAAAATTTCTGAGTTTATTTTTGGAATATTATAAAAAATATCTAAAATTTATTTCCAATTCCATCTTCTATTATTTCAAATTTCTTTTTAACGAATCCTGATCATCAAAGTCTTGACCTACTATAACACCTTATTAATCTGTTTGCTTATTCGTTGATAAAATAAAATAAGTATTTACCGATTTAACATTAAATTAGCTTTCATTAATATATATTTTTTAAAATAAAAATTAAACTATCAATATAAACATTATAGGTTTATATTAATAGTAAGATATATTATATTAATAAAAAATTTATTTATCTAAATAATATTAATATATTTATCAATACATTAAATATTAGTATAAACATTATATGTTAGTCATAAACCTTTGACATTTGTAATAATAACATCGCAAGATTTAGCTTCAGACAAATTTTTGGTGTAGTGTAGCTTTTTAAATGTTTTCTTGTACTGTTTATTAACAAAAATTGAAATTTTACCTGTATAAAAATTTTGTATTTAATATTATTATAAATTATTAAAATATAATTTTAATTTTAAATAATAAAAAATAGTTAAAAAGTGCATCTAAATATTTTCTAACAGTCTTCCGACACAAATGTAGGTAGAATTAAATTCTTATTCACTAATAGTCTTCGGAAAGCAACAGTCGGCAACTGCCCAACTGCAAAATTAAAATTTATTATTTGCCAACAACTTCATGTTCATGTGTTAAGGTTACTTGTACCAATTTTTAATGGATTTCGTTGAATTTAAGTAATTATAAATATATATATATATTAAAGTTATAAAAATAAAATAAATATTTTAAATAAATTATTATTTATTTATTTTCTGTTTAAAATACATATTAAAAATTTTAAAAATTATTATTTCAAAATTATAAAAGTATTTTATACATTTTTTTGTGATAATTCAAATTACTTAATAAAATATATTTAATATATATCTTCAAGGACATATTAAAAAATCAGTATTTGTATCATTTAATAAGAGTTTTAATTTAATAAGTAACTTGGCTATGAGTTCATGAAAAATTTATGAAAATAACAGGTGTGCAAATACTATTTTCTTTAAACATTTAATTTTAGTAATGTAGATAGACTTTGCAAATGAGACAAATTTGGGTGTACACGTGACACCTTCTTTCACGTTTTAGCTGGCAATCATTAATTGGTGGGGAAAAAGATGTTTGAACAAACAATATATGATGTATATGTATAATTTTGAAAATGCTTTTATAGAAAATTATTATGGAGTTAAGAGTGCTATTTAATAATTCATTTGTATTTGTCTAGTTAATTCCTAATTTATAGTTTTCTTAATTAGAAGGAATTGTCTACATAAAATAAAACTATTATTCTTTAATTATGTTAACCATAATTGATTTCACATTTTGTTCATCATAATATGTAAATAGATAAGTGTGTATATATGTCATAAATTAAGCCTTAATTTTTGTAAATATCTAAGAAATTATTGAACGCCAGTTACACTTTTTAAAATTTTTGTGATACTAAAAATAATATATTTTTTAAAACTTTAAAAATACCAATTTGATATTGCGGTTTTTTTTATATAAAAATAATTTCAAGTTTCTGTTTATTATTTTTAAAAGGTTGAATTTACCTAACTTGTGGAATTAATATATAATAATAAAAACTATCAACCTAACTAATTTTACTGTTAAGAAATTTTAAATAATTAATATCATAAAAATAGAAAAAATAATTTCAAAAACATAAAAAATACTACAGGAGTAAAATATGAGCGCAAAATTGAATATAGATACAATCTTCATATTTAAAATATAATGTAAAAAAAATAAAAAGAAATAAAATAGATTAACTAAGAATGCTTAATTTGCCTATGAAAGAGGAATTTAGAGAACTTGGGAGTTATGAAATAAATTGACTCAAAGAGGAGAATTTATCGCACCACGTTTTGAGTATAAAACACAATTTAAGAATTTATCTGTGTTTAGAAAGAAGGAAGAGTGATGTCACCCTTTGTTCCTTTTATATTCATTCATGAATATATAATTAGTAAGTGTTTTGTATGTTATAAGGTATTTATAAATAGAGTTTGGTTAATTTTAACTCTTATATTATATTATGACGAGTAATTAATAATAATAAAATTTTATTAATTTTTTAGAGTTAAATTTTATTAACTCTTATTTTTTTTATTTTTCTAAACTTTCAAATAAAATTTAAGAAAATAAGTATTTATTATATTTTTTATAATTTTATTAAAATAAAATATGTATTATATAATATAATATAAATTTTACTCTCTTTAGTTTTTTTATAAATAAAATAAAATATTTTTTGTCTTATTATAAAAAAATAAATAATAAATTTAAGATGCATTAATTATTAAATTTTTTATATTTTTTTATTAGTATCATTAAATATACAAATTATTAATTATACTATTTAATATTATAAATATTTTTAAAATAAAATTTATATTTATAAAAAATATAACTGACTTAATTACTTTTTCTAATTTTAATGATTTAGTCTTTTGTTTTTTTATAAAAAAACTCGAGAAAGTATGTTTTAATGATGATAAAAATATAAATTAACAAGAATAAAGTTATTTTTAAAAAAAGTCTACCGTAGTGACAATTTCAAATCTTTTTTCAGTTTTGAAGTACTCTCTCATTTAAAGTTAACATCCGTGCTGATTTTAAAGTAAATTTTTTAAAAGGTAATTAAATTCAACATTCATCCTTAAAGGTTTAAAATAAAAAAAATTTAAAAAAATTTGCTGTCTTCTAGTCGCTCTCAGTCATCTCTAAAAACTCATCAGCCATATGTAATCCTTACATCTTTATGAAAGCCTTTTAGATATTTTATTTTATAAAATCTCATTATCAAATATATGAAACTATCAAGAATGAGCCATAATAACTTGTATTCATTTCATGATTATCAAACGATACTACTCTTTTACATTAGAGAAGAGCCAGTTTCCTTAATTCTAATTAATGTCTTTTTTTTAGGTTACTAACGAAGTGGGGTGGATTGTAGCGAATTGTTCCACTTTATCATTTTAAAACTAGTTATGAACAATTCTAAAAGTTTAGAAAATATATTTATATGAAAATATGTTAAGACAAATTACACTGGTGTTTAATAAAATTTTACTTAATATTTTTTTCAACAAAAAGTCTCTTTAAATTATGTAATAATATGACAATTTAACTTAAGCATGTCTTAAAAATTTATAACAGATGGCGGCTATAAATACCCTCCAAGTGATACTCCTTTTCCATGTTTCCAAAAAAGGGAAATGATGAATACAATGAATCAGAACCCTCAAAGTGACTCACCAAGTATCATAAACACTCTAGACCCCGAAGAATTCAAGAGGCAAGGCTACATGATGATTGATTTTCTAGCTGATTATATCAGAAATGTTAACAATTATCCAGTTTTAAGTAGAGTAGAACCTGGTTATCTTAGAAAAAAATTACCAGCTTCTGCTCCATCTAGTGCTGAACCAATTGAATCCATACTTAAAGATGTGCAAGAGCATATCATCCCTGGCATCACACATTGGCTAAGTCCTAATTATTATGGCTACTTCCCTAGTAGTGGTAGCATAGCAGGGTTCATAGGTGAGATGCTAAGCACTGGATTCAATGTGGTTGGATTCAATTGGTTGTCATCACCAGCTGCAACTGAGCTTGAAACTATTGTCATGGATTGGCTTGGACAAGTCTTAATGCTCCCCAAAACGTTTCTTTTCTCTAGTAGTGGTGGAGGGGTTATATTAGGGACTACTTGTGAGGCCATTTTGTGCACTTTAGTGGCTGCAAGAGAGAAAAAGCTTTGTCAAGTTGGGAGGGAAAACATTGGAAAACTTGTTGTGTATGGCTCTGATCAAACACACAGTGCACTTCAAAAAGCGGCTCAAATTGCTGGCATCCATCCAAGAAATTTCAGAGCCATCAAAACCAAGAGGTCAAATTGTTTTGCTCTGTCTCCTGATTCTCTTCTCTCCACCGTTCTTTTGGATGTGGAAAAAGGGTTGATTCCTTGTTTCCTATGTGCCACTGTTGGCACAACTGCAATAGCAGCCATTGATCCTATAGGGTCATTGTGTAATGTGGCAAAGGACTATGGAATTTGGGTCCATGTTGATGCTGCTTATGCTGGTTCAGTTTGTATTTGCCCTGAGTTTAGATATTGCATTAATGGGGTTGAAGAGGCAAACTCTTTTAGCCTCAATGCTCATAAATGGTTTTTGACTAATTTAGCATGTTGTTGCCTTTGGGTGAAAGATCACACTGCCCTTACAAAATCCTTGTCAGCAAATCCTCAATTTTTGAGGAACAAAGCTTCTGAATCAAAGCAAGTTATTGATTACAAGGATTGGCAGATACCCTTGAGTAGGAAATTTAATTCCCTTAAATTATGGCTTGTTCTTAGAAGCTATGGTGTTAACAACCTTAGGAACTTTTTGAGAAATCATGTGCAGATGGCCAAAACCTTTGAAAGGCTTGTGAGGTTGGATAAGAGGTTTGAGATTTTTGTGCCAAGAAAATTCTCTTTGGTTTGCTTTAGGATTTCACCATCAGCAATTGCTAATGGAGTGTCCAATGCTACTGAAGCTTGCTATAATGGGAAACTAATGAATGATCAACATTGGGTTAATGCTGTTAATCTTAAATTGCTTGATTCAATTAATAGTTCTGGCAAAGCATACATGACCCATGGTGAAGTTGAGGGGGCTTTTGTGATTAGATGTGCTATTGGTGCAACCTTAACAGAGGAACACCATGTGATTATGGCATGGAAGTTGGTGCAGGAGCATGCAAATTCCCTGTTTGGTAGCTTCTATAATTAATTGTACTTCCACATAGTTTATCTTATCTCCTATTACAAATTTAATTTAATTTAATAACACAGTGCTACTTGGCATGAAAGCACTTGGTAAACATTTTTGTTTCTTCTAGCATTGTTCCATGTAATTCTTTGATCTTTGATGACTTAACGAGCTTGACACATCCTATGCCACCAATTCACCTAATATCTTTGGCTTATGTGTTCTATGAGAACTCCACTAATATCATATGAATTTCATTTAGATAAAATTTAGGTATATATATATATATGGATCGGATCTTTTTATACCTAAGTCTAAAACTTTTATACATAATTTTAACTATTCATCTAACTTATATCTAACGGCTACATTTTATAACACCATTTGACTTATACTCAATTTTTCTCTCCTACTAACCTTATTCTGCTTCAAACAACACAAGTTAACACTTTTATAATAAATTTACACAAATAGTATAACTTATTAATTTATTGGTATTTTATTTTATAAAAAATATATAAATAATTTAATAATCAAAAAATAAAATTTTATATTCTATAAATAATTATATATAATAAAATTATTTAAATAATAATTTAAAAATAATTTAATATAGTTTTGTAATTACAAATAGTATATTTAAAATTTAAAACTTTTTCGTTTAAAATCATTCTTTGATATATAAATTTTTAATTGTTCTCTTAGATTAAAAACATACTATTTGTAATTACAAAACTATATTAAATTATTTTTAAATTATTATTTAAAATAATTTAATTATATATAATTATTTATAGAATATAAAATTTTATTTTTTGATTATTAAATGATTTGTGTATTTTTATAAAATAAAATACCAATAAATTAATAAGTCATTACTATTTGTGTAGGTTTATTACAAAGGTATTAGCTTGTGTTATTTAAAGCAAAATACTAGTAATAGAAAGAAATAAAGTGTCAGAAGAGAGAAATAAGAAGTGAGAGTAGTAAATTAATAAATTATAGCACATTAAATAAGGTTAGTGAGAGAGAGAAGTTGAGTATAAGTCAAATAGTGTTATAAAATGTAGTCATTAGATGTAAGTTAGATGAATGATTAAGATTAAATGTAAGAGTTTTGAATTTACACTACTAGTGTAAAAAGATCCTGTCTTATATACATATTTTAATTAATTAACAATATAAAAACTCTTACACTTAATTTGAGCATTTTATTTTACTTAAATCTAACAGCTAGTGAAGTAATAAATTATAACTAACTATTAGATTTAATTTAAATAAAAGACTTAAATTAAGTGTAAGAATTTTTAGACTTACACTTATGTAAAAAGATCATGCCCATATATATATTTTAATTAATTAACAGTATAAAAACTTTTATATTAAGAGTGCGTCAAAATTAAAGGCTTAAAAAAATTATAAACTTTTGTTGGATATATTTTTTCTGCTTAAATAAAGGTATAGCTAGATAACAACCTCTATTGGAATTGGTGACTGAATTACTTATTGAAAGAGATTTAGCACATTCGAAGCCAAAACATTTTCTAACCAAATAAATGAAGTATTTCCCATAAATTTGTCATTACAGATGTGGATGAACAAAAGTGAGAATAGGACAGCTTTCTAATCAGTGCAACAACTACAAGTAATATCCGATCTATAATGATACGCCCTGCTATTTTTCTTTTTTCATTTATTGCATCTACACCATGAAACATGTCTGTCATCAAGTCCAAAAATGCATCTGTTCAAGTCAGATTTTCACATTGCAAGTTTATATTAAATATTTATATTTCTTTCTTTTATAATAGACATTAAATAAGCATGATTTTACCTAAATGTCTAACATATAAGGATTAATTTACACGTTAAAATTATGTAAAAATCTAACGCAGAAGGATTAATTTCCCAATATTAATAATTCCACTGTCAAATACATATATCTATGGGTACATTTGAATAAGTTTTGAAAAAAGAAATCTATCTATATATGGACTGTGTCCATATCTGTATCTATGTCTAGATATATAGATTGTAGGACAAATTGTTGGCTTAGTTTATCCTTATGCTATTTATCCATTCCTGAAATGCAGTTCGTATGAAATATTGTTGCCTTAACCCACTTTATGTGGGCTGCAAGATATTCCTATTATAGTCCATGTATTTGAAATTTCATTTACATATTTCTATAATTAAATGTTGAAATATTAATTTTAAATAATTTAATTTACTTACATTAAGCAACTTAAATTGTTTTCATTAGAATATTCAAAATTATTTGCTGCTTAAAATAATGTTTAAATAGATTATAGTAGTTGATTATGATAATTTTATATGTGTGGGTTAATTTGACATGTATAAGCTGGGTTAAATCGAGTCAAATCAAGTGATCATTTTTTAAACCTTCTTTTGTTGGCCTAACCTATATGCTACATTGAGTTATTTAAATTGACCTAAAAAGAATGGACCTTTTTAATCTCCTCTTTTCAAAAGTTCTAATCTGTCTTTGCGTTCCATATTTTGTTGAATGAAAAATATTTATTAATGAGAACTTTTATGTCTCTCTATTTTTAATGAATATATACAATCCTTTTAAGTGTCAAACAATCCCCAAAGATACATTGAATATATACTCATTGTATCGTAATTAAAGCATAAGAACTTCCTCCCTACATTGAATTTAGAAAATAAGAAAATGTATAAGGAAAACATAGAGAGGTACTTTATTTTTATTTGAAGCATGTGAATTTAATTTATATTAAGGATGCATATACTTTTATTTTCTTACAATATCAAACATTTTCATTTGAATAATTGTCTATAAATTGGAAATGCAAGTGGTCCCCCCAAAGTATAAAATTTTCTTTGTCGGGTTTAATTCCGTGCGTGATAAATATCAATTATAAACTTATTGTAGTTAGTGTTTATATATGACTGTGTTATTTTTCAAACATAATGTGTTAGTATCCAACTTATCTAATATAATGTAACCTCTAAATACTTGTCTTTGTTTGGCAAAAAAGGGGGGAGGGGGGGACCACAATAGAAAAACGAAATAAAGAATATTGTTCCATAAACAAATTTAAAATTTACAAATAACTTTTATCCAAACAAGAAAAAAAATTATTAAAAAAGTGATTTTTTATTGTATGTATATATGTGCTTCTTTTTTTCTTCTTTTTCTTCACAAAGCTCAAGTTAAAAAGACTTTTCAGTTGTTGAATGGTTTAATCAAAATAAAAATAAAAATACATCTATTTTGGGTCTCACCCATATAGTCAAACTCATAAATTAGATGTTATTATTATTATTTTTTATCTTCTATTCATCTATTGGGACCATTCAGCAACCATAGATGATTTCTTTATTCTACAAACTTCACAATAAGTTTATCCTATTGCAAATATATATGGAGCTGCATTATTCAAGATTGAAAACTTGTAAACTTGTATTAGATGCATGTGGTAAGTGTTGCAAATACTTCATAGCTGGAACTGATTATATTAGAAATTACAAATGATTTTGGGTTAAAACTAAAATTAATATGTTAATAAGCCAACTCCATGGATTGAGGAAATGATGAAGTCTTTCTGGACTGATGAGTATCTTTTCTTGCAATAATCCGCATTCTTATCTCCATAATGACAGCAATAGTAACTAAGATTGATAGAGTAACCCCATATGCAAGAAACCACTTTGATCCTTCCCCTCCTAAATGGAGTCCATAAAAGCTATTAATCACTGCAAATATAATCAAAATCCTCCCCACATTATGATGATACCAATTCCAGTACTTCCGTATCTTCGATTCCGGTCCTGGACGTAATATTATGGCTAATACCTATGAAATCAAATCATAAGCATTAGTGAAAATTAATATACTGTTATCAAATTACAAGCTGTAAAAATAGTCGTTCTAAAGACAAATTAACCTGGAGGAATCCAAGGACGATGATGAAGATTGCTATATTTTTGTGAAGAGTCACTTTGGCATTGAGTTTCTTAGATAAGGCCAAGCCACAAAAAATTCCAATTACGCCGGCAACAAAGCCGAATGCTTGAATGGAAGCATGTAAATAAAACCAAATGGGGTCCCATTGCTTGAAGTAGCGAGCAATTATGGATCCTATCATCATTAGAATGCTCAATCCCGCAATGTTCAGAACACCATGGCTTCTTCGAAGTTTTAGGTTAGAAATTTCACTAATTGTTCCTGTTGCAAAATTACTCGGTTCAGATTCAATCACGTTACACATGATGTCACAGGATAAATTAATGAAATAAACTTATTAAATAAATAACTTGTGATTTTATTTTATTTTGTTTAATTCAGCAACAAAGTTTTAATGGAAATTATTTGTTTTAATTTGATTCGATAGCCTCATGAAAAGAATATAAAATTTTTATGCAAGTTTTATCCTAAACAGATATAGAGAGATAATTAATCATATATGGCCGGTCGTTCAATTTGTAATTAACAATTCCAACTTCCCAATTGCACCAAGTCCATAAGTGCTCTCCCTGTATAATATAGGATCTCCCCCTTTGAACATAATCAAATTAATTAATTAATTAATTAGTCTTTATTTATTATAAATTTTCAAACAGGTTCTTGAAGTTCAAAAACTATAAATGAGGTCCCTCACTGAATATTCTTACAATGACACAATTGAAAAAGTTTAAAAAATAATAAGTCCTACGTTAGTGAATTAATAATAAGTTAAAAAATATATATAAATAAGAGGATTACATAGTTAAATTATATATTCAGGTCTGATAAAAAAAAAGTGAGCTTCAAACTTTAGGGTGTGTTTGGAATTAATAACTGATTATTTAAGCAACCATTTATAATTTTTAAACTGTAAATAACTATTTAAACCTTTTGTAAATATGCTAAAACCTGCAGATTTAAACATTTCTGCATATATGGTGTAACGCTTAACTATATATTATGAACAAACTAATTAAAACTTGCTCCACTAACCTTTTGAATAATCTATAGTGATGGATATCTCATCTCTATGTTTGTCCAAGGCATAGTGTGGATCATCAGGATATTGACCGTTGGGTCCAATGGCAAATAAGAGATGAGTAGAAGGTTGGGTGGTTTTCAATTGGAAGATCATGTACACTAGTGAAGTAGCAGCTGGAACAAGTGATGCATTCATGACATAAAGGTCACCTTCATCTGGAATCACTTGGTCTTGTGATGTTCCCTTCAGATCATACATTTTCATGCCCCCAGCACCTGGTGAAGGCATCCACCCCACAATTGCAGAAGAACCCTTCATGCCTCCATCTTTGGAGAACCCAATAGCCGCATAAGCATTTATGTTGGAAGGGAATGACAATATAAAGCTCCACACATCTGATGAAGCCTTAGCATACTGTTCGCCATTCACATAATGATAATAATATTATTAATAATCAATAGTCAGAAACAATCAGTTAATTAGTTCTTCATTAACACATTATAATTCAGCTTATAAATCAAATGATCAAATTAGTGTGAAGTGTACGTACTTCACAAAATACATGCTATGGATTTTGGAAATTTTTATTCTGTCTTTTAGAGGAGTTAATTGCATTTTTTTTTTCATCAAGACAGTGAAATACAGTTTTTGTGGGCAATCCTTAACCATGTGCAACAGTTAAGTTGCTACTTTCATAATTTTATTTTTTTTAAAGTTATTTCAATAAATTATTCGTTGCAGCATATTAGACAGCTTTTTTCAAGTTATTCGTCCAAGAAGTCAAATATGTGGTATATTTCATTTTTTTAATAAAAAAAACTATTTGTATATACTTGAACTCAGTTTTAAAAGATGGAATTAACCACAATATTGAGCGTAAAAATAATCTCTACTTAAGATTACTTAAATTTATCCTCTTTAACTAGACAAGAACCACATGCATTGGATTGCCCATTTGATGAAATACAGAGTTTTTTCAAAGTGCACTTAAGCTATCATACACAAAAAAAAAAAAAAAAAAAACCACACACACACGCATACTCTAAGGATGAAATTGTGAGTGCCCCAAACAGAACTGCACAGAAGTGAAGTGGTATCAAAAGGAATAGGTTGTTGAAGTTGCACCAAATTAGAGGCACACGAATCTTGAGAAGTTGCAAGTGTTGAAGAACTATAGAGGATAATGAGCAACACTATTCGGCAAAGGTGCGTTAGCTTCATTTTTTGTGTGGAAAGCGATGAAATCTAAAGATAGTGCAAGTAGCTAGATAAGAAGTACAATTAATTATCTTCAGTTTTATAGAGAAAAATAATTAATGTTTAATTATCCTTGGAATTAACGTGCTGGTTTTGGCAATTGGCATTGCCGGATAGAAAAGAACATGGCCAACCCAACAAACTGCGTACGATGTTTCCTTCTAGAAAATTAATAAAAAAATATTAGCACTTATGAGTTAAAAGAAAGTTACTCTGTTGTAACTAATGTCTGCTAGCAAACTACTTCACTGTATGTTAATTAAGTAAAAATATTAAGGAAACATAAGCCAGAGAGACCTGAATCAATGTGACTTGAATTTCTGCCGTTGAATTGATATAAAATAATAGTTTTGACTTTTGTATATCACTTTTTTAATAATATTTTTACATAATTTTAATTATCTTTATGTATAATAGTGTGACTCATTCATAATTTTTGCATGGAAGATCCATAGCTATGTGAATTTTGCATACGAACTAATTGTATTGTGCAGAAAATATGATGTAAAAAGAATATAGGAACAATGTTTGAAACTGATATGTTCTAAAATATAAGTTGATTATAATTTATCTAACATGTTACATTTAACTACTTCAACAAAAATGTTTGGATTTTAATTTTTACTGACAATTCTTTATTGGTAAGTTATTTACAAAGCAGTGAAAATTTTAACTTAATCTTATGACGTTAATTAAAATGCCACAATTTTCTGCCAAAAAGACAATCCTGAAACAAAAGCTTTGGTTTCACAGTGACAGGATCAGCCTGGAATGTTTTGCCATGTAATTGTAAAAAATGGCAATTTTTTTCTTGTTTGTACCACAGGTTTTCGTTACCAAAAAAAATTCTTCTTTCGAATATCTAATGAGAAAAATCCCTCTTGCTTGTATTCAAAACTATCGTTTAAGTTAGAACAATCCTGCATCAGATAATTCAAGCACTTGATGGTCAGCAAAAATTTCAAATACGTAGACAGGGCTTGTTACTTATTAACTGAATTGCTTATGCTCTCTCCACTTCTTTCTTTGGCTACTTCTCTCAATATGTCATTTACCTGTCTTTCTATTTTTGTATGCAAACATGCATCAAATATATCTCTAAACTGTTAGTAAGAGTAATCTTTTTCAATATAACAAGATTACTGAGTTGGATACAATTCTTTCCAATATTTCGATAAAACTTTTTCTATGCACATTTGATCCAATATAACGTGTCTTACTAAGTTTCATTTTCTCAGGATCAGCTCTTCAGTGTTTGATTCTCTTTTGTTCTCCAGACATTCCCTGCTTCATGTGAATCTTGATCATAAAGATTAGGGAAACTATAATGGGTTAGATGTAATTACCAAAATCATGAATGGCAGTGTGTGCCCAAATCACAAGTGGGCTAGATATGGTACTTTAAAATATAGATTCATGCAGTTTTCTTGACCAAAGTGCTGCTTACTGAATACCATGGTCGAATTGACAAGAAAATTACTATCCACTATTTGCTTCACACTTCTTTGCACTTATTTTATGATAGGCATGATCTCATTCTCTTCATCGTCAAAACTATTGTCCCATAAGTGAGTTCATGTTCATTTAGCATAGAACATGAGTTTGATGTGAAAGAATATGTAACCAGAGTATTAATTCGCATTTTTATTACATTTCCATGAGGATTCCCATTAACTTGATAATGGTTGTTTCATTCTTTTCATTTTTAGTACTTGTATATGGCTAGAAATATCTTATTTTTCTCTTTTGCGTTTATTGTTTCACATCAATTTCAACATGTATCAGGACACATGCTTAATGATTGTGAAGTGGCATAAAGGAGACAAAAACAAAACAATTTGTTGAAGCCTTGTCTTCAAAGGAAAGAGGCATAATTAAGATATATGTTTAATATAAAATTAATTCATTTCCAATCCTTTGTGGCACAATAAGTTTACAAATAAAATTGAAGAGCTTCCAAAAATAAAAAGCAGAGATGAAACAAAACAATTTCTATAAGGGAAAGAATTTAGTCTGTACTGCACAGTCTAGTCTCAAAAATAACAGCGATGGAGAGTAATATGGCAAGAACAATTCCATAACCTATATTCCAACCCCTTCCTTCCTTTCCTAATTGGATTCCGTAGAAAATGTTAGCTATGGCTAATATAATCAAAATTCTCCCCATGCTATGATGGTATAAATTCCAATACTTTCTCTCTTTTGATTCCTTCTTTGGTCGACCAAGTAAAGCCATTATCTACAATACCAAATACACCAAATTAAAGACATTAACAAACTAGGTTGCTCTCGATAAACAGTACCTAAAAGTTATTATATAGGAGTTCGATTATTTTTACCAATTCATCGGTCAATTTAAGTTCTAAAATTGTGAGAAATAAATTTAGCCTCTAATTTTAAGAAACATAAGTTACTTTAGTCCATCTATTTAATTATATTTAAGATTAAAAATGAGTATATGGGTCAGGTCTTTAAATGGACTGGACAAGATTGGCACGCAAAATTAACGGTTCAAGAAATTGGCAGTCTTCGACTGCCTCATTTTGGGTTTCAGGTTACTGGCCCGACTTGTTTAGCTAAAAATAATATAAAAAAGAAAAAGAGAAACTTAAAAAAATAAATAAATATATATATATATATATATAGTTAAATATTTATATCATTTAATAATTTTTTATAAAATATGATGTTAAATAATTAAACTGTTAATTTAAATGTAAATCAACTTTGTAAAATTTTATAGGAAAATTATATTAAAAAATATTTTTTTTTAAATAAAATTGATGAGGGAATTAAACGAAATGAGACAAAAAAATTAAGACTTGCGTTCAAACAAACATTTTTTTTATTAGTGTTAGCCCACTCGATCCGCAAGTTAAACGGACTCACCCACAAATTTGAGCCCAAATACACAGATCTACTCAACATTACAATATATATCAATTGATTTGACTCATGACGCATATCAAACTAGACAAACACTATAAAGTCAAGGAAATATTTTTTTGTGGTGTTGAAAGATTAAATTGATCAATGATGTCAATTTTAATGCTCAATTTTTTTTTTGGTACAAATTTTCAATAATTAATTTGATACTACTTTTAGTATCAAGAACCAATTCAGCCGATCATATACTAATTTTAGGTATACATTATCGATGTTATTTTACTACGTATCATATATACATCAAAAGATAGGGTATATGAAAACGTGTTTTGGATAAAGCGCAAAATGATCAAATTAAAGGTTAGAAAAATACCTGGAGGCAACCAAGAACGAGAATGATGATTCCTAGAGCCTTGTGAAGACTAACATCAATATGAAGTTGATTATTCAAGACAAACCCAGTAATTACACCAATTACTCCGAGAACAAAACCCAAGGATTGAACTGAAGCATGAAAATAAAACCAAAATGGATCCCATTCCTTGAAGTAGCGAGCAACTATTGCTCCCATTATGATTAAGATGCCCCATCCCAAAATATTCAACACTCCATGGATTTTTTTCAGGTTCATGCTTGGGTTTTCTAATGCACCTGAACCTGTTTAAAAAAAAAATCATAAACAAACCTTATGAATGCCCTCCAAAATTATAATTAGAATTATAAATACGACTACTATATATATTCATGATGAATATCCACATGTAGAACAAAATGTCATGCCTTAGGCCAAGTTCAATATTACACTGGGAATGACTAAGCGTGTGTTAGAAATTGCGTTTCATTAATAAAATACGTATGTATGACATGTTACATAGTGTAGTTTTTGCATCAACGTGAATATATATTCAAACACACAATAAAATTGTATCACACATCACAAGAACTATCATATTGGAAATTTTCTTATGCAGCAGTTCTTAATCATTAACCAACTTAGAAAATTACTATGATATGATTATTGTAGCTACCGTATTAGAGATTTTCTAATACTTACATAATTTTATAATCACTGTAAATTTTTATGACTTAATTCGTAAGTTGACTTAAACTGCCACATTATTTAATAAAGAACATTTACTTAAATAAAAGAGAGAGAGAAAAAAAACTATAACATGTGGGTTTGGTTTGGTAGAGGGTCGAGTCAGATTTTACATTTCAACTTAATTATTCTTACTAGCATAAAGATGAGAAAAGAATGTCCTCTCAACAACCACAAACCACTGCCCAGGTCTAGTTTTGATAGTGAGCATGGGCCATATGTTTGGTCATATGATCATGTGCCAAAATCAACAAAACCAAAAGGTCAACAATAGAATAATCCTCATTGGACAACTTGCTTTCGAAATCTCTTGTTTTTCATTGTCCCTTTGTCATGCAGATAGAATCGCAAAGCAATCACCTACTCCATAGGGCTTCAACTTTCTCTAGTCGAGTATACCTTTAAATAGATGTCTATTTTTCATATCTGATTAGTCGGATTTACTTATTTCATGTCTTTTTCTCTCTCACTAAAGAGTAGTAGGAGAGTTTTGAGAGTATATTCCACGCCCAACAAACCAGTCCTTCGTTGAAAATGAATATTTATATCTTTACACAAATTTAGGGCTAGGCGAACGCTTGTGTAAATTTAGCAAATTTTAAGATGAAGTTTTCAATAATAATAATATATTAAAAATTAGTGTAATCATTATTATCTTTCAAGTTTTCAGCATATATAATTATTATATTTTATTTAACAATTTTTCAATCGATAGTAAGGTTTGTCCATTTAATATTGTTTGAAACATTATTGTTGGTCTTAAAGGAATATTTTATCAATTTAGTGTTGAATAATTTAATCAATTAACGATATATAATATGATTAAGTTAATTATGATTTAAATTATGTTTCTTTAATATTCATTCATTTGAATATAAATATTTTTTTCAGTTCATCATAGATATTAAAGTTTTGCATTCAATACTTATTATTTTAAATACACAGTAAGATATATAGGTGAGTAATGATATATATTTTTTAACATTATTATGTATAGAATCAGTTTATGAATTATTAAAAAAAGTGTTATTAAATATTAAGAAAGGATAAGAAGTCATGAAATAAATTTTAATGAAAAGATTCACTTTTTTTTGTTTATTTTATAAAAAAATAAATTCATGTAGAACTAAAAAATTAATACAGACAATGGAAAAAAAAAACAAGACATTCACATAAACTAAACTCTCCAAAGTAAAAACAATGATGCTAACCTAGTAACTTTCTGTTATAACTTTATATAGAAGATTGTTGCTTTATTATCTTTTTCTTGTTTGAAAAAATTAAAGTGTAATACACCATCTTTTAAATTTAAGGTGAACAATTTACTTTATAGATTAAAATAAGAAGTTATAATTATTGATTGAAAAATTACCTACCAATATTTAAATGATTACATAATTTATTATATTAATTGTAAACAATTACAACTATTCATTTTAGATAAATTAAATCATAAGAGGAGAGACTTTTTTAATTAGAACATATTTAATTATTTATAATAAATTGTTCTTATTTATTAAAAAACAAATTTTTAAAATATTTCTAATTAATAAAATTATTTTTTAATAGTCTAAAAGCAAAGGTAAAAATTTAAATAAAATTTTTCCTCTCATTTATTTTTTTTTCCTAGATAATTATACCGAATTATTTAGCACAGATAAAAGGTGAAACACGCACACATGTACATATATGCATGGGTTCATTTGACAAACCTGTAGCGTAATTCAACGTAATGGAAACTTTGTCCTGATGCTGTGTTAATGAAAAACTCGGTGCGGAGGGGAAGATACCGTTAGGACCAAAGGCATAAATCAAGCGAGACAGAGGGTGGTTGGTTTGTAGCTGAAAGGCCATGTACAAACGTGAGGACTGTGATGTAATCAACGTTGACTTTGTGAGAACTTGTAAGTTTCCTCTATCTGGCACTACTTGGTTTGGTGTGGCTCCTGCTAGATAATACTGCTTCATGCCTCCACCAGCTCCACTGGATGAGATCCACCCCACTATGGCACTTGAACCCACCATGCCTCCATTGGGAGAGAACCCCATTGCTATGTAAGAATTTGGATTTGGTGCTGAGAGAATGAAGCTCCATATGTTTGGAGAAGTTTGAGAATACTGCATTGTTATTTTATGGATATATATACGGTTAGTTCGTTTGATGTTAATATATGATAAGGGGGTCATAATTAAACTCTGGTTTTAACTTAGGGAACATTTCGAAAGCTTATTTGAACTTATATAGTGACATATGATCATTTTTTAATGAGTTTCATATGATCAAATTTATAAATAAGTTACTTTGATTAGAAAAACAAGCGTTTAATTAAATTGTCATTTAAATGCGTCGTTAATCTTGAAATGGGATCCAAAGAATAACAAAGTTATAATTCATGCTATTGTGATCCTGCAAGGGTTGATGTTAGAAATGTTAATGAATAAAACTGGTTAAGTTCAAGGAGAGTGCACTTACTCTAAGGATGTATCCTTGTGCATTCCAAACAGGAAGACAAATGAGATTGGCTGTGTCGAAGAGGAGAGGAACACTGAGGTTTAAGTTGGAGCCACAGGAATCTGCTTGTGAACTAGTTCCACCTCCTTGAGAAGAACTTCCATCCCCTTGTGAACTTCCAATGTTGGCTGAAGCATGGAAAGAAATTGTGAAGATGAGGACTGCTACAGATGCCTTCATTTCTCTCTATTGTTTATGCTTGTGTGTTTGCAAACGTATTGTGAGATTTTTTAAATTAAGAAAGACGTATTGTTATTTGATTAATAAAGGAAAGGGAATGATTGTTACTAGCAATGGTATTGTTTGCAGTGTATCAATAATCTTGGCCATGTTCGATTAAGTAGATTAGGTGGAAGGCAGGCTAACTTAAACCATTAGTATATATCCTTTCATGCACAATAAAAGAATTTAATAGGTATCCTTTAATTTAGATAAACCACTAGTATCTGATATTAGAGCATTTAATTTGAGATTTCAAATTTAGAAACCCCCCCCCCCCCCTTCTTAAAGATGTCAACCCTAATTCACTAATTGTTCGACTTTTTTTTTCTTCTCTTGGGTCAGTAACCTAAGTGTACCCAAAAGTTTGAAGTTTATATCATAAATTATTTAAGTGTTTTAGTTTGAGAACAATCCTAATTAAATTGGTATACCCGCAGCGCCGTACATATGTACGTGTGTAAAGCTCTTGAACAAATAAATAAATCCTATTTCATTCCCCTGCATTAGAAGTGGCCGAAGATGATAACAATAATTAGTGTCCTTTTCTGATCAGTCATATAGAATGATGATATGATTTTTTTTAATTAAACTGCATGATAATTTATTAATGGATGCTATCATTGTTATAATCTAAATCTTCTTAGGGGAGCTAAATTACCTCGAAGCAAGTATCATGTACGCTATTTTTTGGTATTATGAAGATGGCCTTTAACTTGGTCTAACGAGAGCATTTTATGATATAAAGTCAGCTATTAACCTTATATAATTAAGTTTATAAATTAAATATATTTTGATTAATAGAATAGGATAATCATTTAATATTTCTGAAAATGTAATTAAATGTAAATTAAATTTTTGTTTTAATTTTGAAAATTTCTTTTATTGAAATTACTATAAAGAAATAGTTAATAATATTTTCAAAGTTACTTCTGTATTTGATAAAACATAATACTTTAAGTAGTGATTTGATTTCTATATTTATAATATTTTAAATTCTAAAAATAAATACTGAAACTAAAGGTTTCAGTATATATAGACCCCATAAAAGTGGGACCCTAAGCTAGAGCAGGCCCTGTTCCAGAATCAGGTTGCTTCAAACGAACTCGATCCGGTTGTTATTCAATAACTTCGAAGTCAGAACATTACAAAAAAGTATGCTCGGAATCTATCTTAGACTAAAGAGTAATGTTACCCAAACCGGTTGTCGGCTGTTTTTCCTCTCTCCGTGTCACAGTCCCGAAAAGACAACTCAGTTTAAAGAAGTGGAAGTGCGTTGGTTCTGTTTTAACTTTTAACTTGTTCTCTGTGTTTGTGCAGTTCAAATTATGCGTGCGCATTGGGATGTAAAATCTACAAGGATCCCTTGTGAACAGTAGGTCCATTCACTATTCATCCTTCTCTGCTTGTTCTTTTGGATTTTATTATTTTTGATAAAAACACCTCACCCTCTTTGTACATGCACAACCAAAAAATTATCTAGGTGAATGAATTCTTAATAGTAAGCCGTCAATATTCAACCACAGACATAATGACCTATAATGATGTGTACTTGACCATTAGCCACTAATCATTTTTATGTTTACCTTGCATTATAGAGAATTGAAAGCAAGAAAAGAAAAACAGATATTCTATCAGTGCTAGTTAACTTCGTTGCTCAAGCTACTCTTTTCTGTTTTTGGTTTACAAAAAAGCCAAACTATAGCTTAGTTATAATTCACCCAGTTGTAATGAAAATAGTCACAACTGTTTTCATCTTCATAGCCAATTAATTATCCAATTGTCTGTCCTTTAAATAGCGAATTACAATCATTTTTATGACTATTAAGAAGGAGGTGAATTCAAGAAACCGCAGCTAAAATAGTAAATTTGTGCTAACCTTTTGAGTAGTCTATTCTTGTGGAAACCTTGTCTAGGTGTTTTGTGAGTGTATAACTTGGGGGTGCGGGGAATAAACCAGTGGATCCAGTCGCAAATATCAGCCAGGACAAAGGTTCGGTAGTTTCTAACTGAAACACCATATACAGTCGAGAGGACTGTAAAGTGATGAAGGTTGAATTGGCTATAACCTGCAGGTTACCTTTATCAGGAACCACCTGATTTGGTGTAATCCCACCAAGATAATACTGCTTTATCCCTCCACTGGCTCCTCTAGATGCCACCCACCCTACCATGGCACTTGAACCCACCATGCCACCGCTAACTGAGAACCCCATAGCTATGTAAGAATTTGTGTCTGGGGTTGAGAGAATGAAGCTCCAAATGTTTGCGGAGGTCTGAACATACTGCAAATGCAAAATTCACGCATATAATTAGTATACAAGGTGCTGTTGGAATAAGAACATATATGTGATGAAATTGAAATATGGTGCGCTTACTCTGAGGATGAATCCTTGAGCATCCCATACAGAAAGACAGTGAAGATCTGTTGTATCAAAGGGGACAGGAACTTTGAGGTTTAGAGTGCTGGTACACGAGTCGGCTTCTGGGCTTGCCAGGAAGAAAGGACCAAGAAAAGCAATTATGAAGAGAAGTCTTAGAGATGCCTTCATTTGTCTCTATTATTAGTGGTGTGGATGTGTCAGTTTGAAAAATGTGATAAGCACGAGAAAGATTTATTGGATGTTTAGTAGTCTTACTGTTCTTAGTGAAACTGGACTTACTATTCTTATTGAAGCTGAAAAGGGCAAAAAGAAAACGATGCAATGATTGTCATATTGTAACTAACATGGTGCAGGGGGGGCATTCTCAATTATGATCACTGATTAAAAAAACGAAGATTGAAGTACATCAAAGATTGAAAAAAAAAAGGGTAAACTGTATAACACAAATGCCGATTTTTTGCTAATGACTGAAGTTGTACTCGTAGTGTTTCACGTACCTAATTAATTAAAGACAATACGTAAGGCAAATATATGTAACGAGCGGAGATGTAGGCATAGTATATAATGATGATATTAAGGAAAAATATATACTCGCAATTCCTTATGATACAACATATCCATTATACAGTTGTACATTCCTTCAATAATAAGGAAAATGATAAAACCCACAAATACATCACTTCAGTTTTCTGGATAAACTTTAGCAGGTCTAGATTTCAACCCAAATGTCTTCTTCACTTACATGTGTGTCTCCAATTGATAAATGGTACAGCATCCAAACAAATTTATTCATGTGGCTTTGTCCAATCGCAAGGTTAAATTTACAAAAGGTACAGTGCCATCACCTTAAAGAGCTGCGTCATCAAAGACCCGCCTTTGAAGTCCATCATGCCCTACAGATGCAGAGATGATTATTAAATTGATAAATTGCAATCGATTCTTCTAATCCAACGTAATGATTATTGTTTCACACAATGTTGGGCGAAATTCAAAAAAAATTTAAAAAATCATATTAAAAACTATGGTCAAACCAAAGAGTTGACAAAAAAAAAAAAAAAAAAACAGAAATTTCATCAACTAAGAAACTTAACAATAAGCAGTAAAATAGACAGCCATAAAATAGCAGCATACTACCAACTACGGACTACCTAGACTGAAGCCAAGTCACCAGCTGCTCCTCCTGCTAAAGGAAAGATCCCCTTACCAATCACCTATAATCGATCTATTTTCCACAATATGATTTTGAATTTAAGGTAAATTTATGTAGCAACTAAGTTAAACACCATCTCAGTATCCCAGACATCTATAAGATGCATCGATATAGGAATCTCCTGTTTGACATATCAATTGTTTGTCCCCTTACACTTCTGGGTTTTTTTTTGCCTGTGTAGGGTTAAATCAAAGACATTTTATTCGTATGGGGTTGTTTGACGAAAAATTTCCTGGCTAGGGTGATTTGTGAGTGTTGTAAAAAATGTTAGCGACACATGATCAAGTATCGGCTGAAAGAATGCCAACACAGGTGGCAGACCCGATTTCTGAAAGCGGTTCGAATTGAACTGCTCTCTTAAATGACTTTTGAGAGCGGTTCGAATTGAACTGCTCTCTTCAATGGACTTTTGAGAGCGGTTCAATTCGAACCGCTCTCTAAAATGGACTTTTGATTATTTTCCTATTTTTCTCTTTCCCTTTTTTTTGTTTTTTACATGCATAAAATTTTAATTTATTATTATTGATTAAAATCATTTAAATAACTACAAACTTTTTAAAATATTCAAATGTCTAAATTAATATTGATTTAATATTTTTATTTTCAGTCATTTATATTTTAAAATAATATTTTCAATTTTATTTAACTTACATTGCTTATATATTCATCTTTATTTCACTTAATTCCGTATATTTGACTCTAATTTTTTTTAATTAATCTAATTTATAATTATTTGATGCATAACTATATTTTAATCTTTCACAATTTTAATTTATTTACTATTTCTTATTTATGTGACATAACATTTGTTGAAATATTATTACAAATTTAACAACTGCAGATTCTTATAATATAAATTTATTAATTAATGTTTTTCATTCTTATTATTTCAATTTTATTTTGTTATTCATAATTTTATATTTTATTAACCTTATAATAATAATCACACATAATTTTTTCTCATATATTTATTCAATTTAATTCTTTTATATTTCTTATTTAATTATTTTTTACATAAGTAACAAGAAAATTATATATTTTAATTCAACTATTTTTTTATTTTCCTATTTTTCTATTTTTCTATATTCCTATTTTTTACATGCATAACAAAATCACTATAAATATAAATTTTTACTAACCTCATTTAAGAGAGCGGTTTGAAAGTAACCGCTCTCAGAAGTCGGGTCTGGCACTTGTCGGCATTCTTTCAGCTGATACTTGATCATGTGTCGCCAACATTTTTTACGACACTCACAAATCACCCTAGCCAGGGAATTTTTCGTCAAACAACCCCATACGGATAAAATGTCTTTGATTTAACCCTACACAGGCAAAAAACCCCACTTCTGGGCACCTGTTTACCATTTACCATAGGCATCCTCCTCAGCACTGAGATTCACACTCAAAGCCACTATGATTGAGCTAGTGGTGAGGGATTAGAGTAGTTTGCGGATGTCATACGTTCAAACCTCCATAATGATATTACACCAACAAAAAAAAATTCCCCATTCTGCTAGTTATTTTCAGCCAGGTGATCTACTAGAGAGGGTAAGGATCCTGGCACAGTTGGAGAGAGACAAACTTGTTTTAAAGTAATATTTTTATCCCCACACAGTTTTTTGGCAACTTAGTGGTTTTATACCCAGGACTGCTTCAAGGTTGTCAATATCCCGGATTTGCAAAGATTGGGAAGCCTTGTTTTATATTTAGTTCACTACATGGTGAATTGAGCCTTATTTGCAGGATTTCTTATCAGTATCGCATTCACAACCCTAGTTGTATTTTTTTTTTATCCCTTTAATGAAATTTCTTCTGTCATACAAAGGCAAAAAATGTTTTCTTTCTCATTATAACACACAGTAGAATGTTGGTGGAAAAGTGATATCAAGCTTCTTGCTTAGATGATCCAAAATAACAAAGGAGCCATATGTATAAATCAGTTCACAATCTGCATGTTGAAGCGTACATGCTACTAGCAATTAAATAAATAAATAATAAGACACAGCCATATGAATAAATCAATCTGCAACCACCTATTGTTTATCAAATGTCAATACTCAGTAGTTAATCAATATTAAATTAATCTAAACAAACCCCATGCCTACGGTCAACCAGTTTCAGATTTACCCACAAAGTTCAAGACTATTTTAACGTTTCTAAAATATCCTTCATTATATGCTAACTAGAATGGACTACAGACCAGTTTCTTACTTCTTCCTTAATCCATCGTTCACTAATATGTAACTTTTAGCAAGTTAGTTTGGTGGTCAAGAGCAACTGAAACAGCAATACAGCTATACTGGCATAAAGATGAAACAGTAGTGAACTTACGTGCTGATACGAGTTCAGGCAAGCGAACATATTTGGGACAAGATCCTTTTGAAGTAACCATGTCAATTTTAATGTTAGGTCCAACAGCGCAATCTCGTGGCTGCAAACAACAGACAATATTCAAGAGTAATAATGGCCAAATAAATAGGATGCCGTGAAATCATAGAACTAATATAGCATTCTAAAGCACAAGGCTGTGGGGATTCACTCACGATGCCCTTGAAAACATATGGATATTCCATCTTATTGCTTATAATTCTATTTTCATATCAACAACATTTCTTCTCTTTTATATATGTTTAAAATTTGTAATTTTTCTTCTTTCATTATCAAAATATGAGAGACGCAAACATGTGTGAATCAATGATTGGGATGTCTCTGCAGATTTTCGTTTGTTTTGTCTTTTTTCTACTTCTGTCTTTTATTTTTTATTCTTTTAATAGGGAATGGTACCACATCAAGGTTGAAGCAATTGGCAATGCAATTTAAACCAAATTTGCTATACCAGTTAGGATTCTCTCATAATGTCCATGAAAAACCAGTGGGGTATTCCTTCATTTTCCAAAAATAAACCAAATTCCCAAACTATTTATAGATTTCAAGTCAAATGCCACAGTCATACAGGTCTAGAACATCTCAGTTATCTCAAATTCTCGATTATTACATAATACGTATAGGTCTTACGCAGTATTATTTCAACTCTGATCTGACCAGAAAGTACAATAGTTGAAAATACCAGCTACAGCAGGCTGAACTAATTAGGTCAATTGATATCTAAATAAAGTCAATCATCTACAGAGAATAAAGACAAATATCTGCAAATATTTTAGTTTCCTATGTGCTGAATATATTAGAGTAGAGAAGATTTCAAACCTTGAAGTCCTTATAAAAGCATAGGCGAAGTTCCTCAATAGAATCTTTTGAGCAAACTATTAAAGGAGATGCATGAAAAGCATTCTCAATGGCAGAGATAATGCCTCCAAGGGGATACTTCTCTGTATTAGACGGAACATATCCAGCATCATTTAGAACACTCTGTAAAAATGTTGAAAAACACAATAATGAGAGTATGTCCCAATGTATGTGCGGGCAAGCATCAGGTCTTTACAAAGGTTTTGCAAATACAATTGGGAGTCAGTAAGAAAATAGAATTATCTCCAAACCAATTTAGCACTTTACAAAGATTGAGAACCCGTCAGCAAGATTTTTAAGCCCTCAATAGATAAGATGGTGTGCCAAGTTAACAACAAAATTTTAGTATAAACTCTCTTAAATGCAGACCTGCTATCACAGGCCAACCTAGAATCCCTATAAAGTTTCACTATCAAGAATATTCGCAAAGCCAAATGAATTACAAGTTGACTAAATCATTAATCAACAGGAGGAAAAATAAAGGTTAACTAATTCCTCAATCAACATACAAATCTTGTCAATTGGAGGGGGAATCACAGGTTGACTAATCAGTTTTATTAGTTTCTTTGGGTGGTGGGAGAGGGCAAGATAATGGTAAAAAAAATAAAGTATCATGGTACAAAAAATTTCTGGTACAAAAAAATTTACGCTCCTACAAACTTACCGTAACATTATATTTGAAGTAGACATTCAGCGTTGTCAGGAAATAATCATATTCATTCCGAATCACAGGATAAGAGCATGTGCCATGTTTCTCTGCAAGTGAAATTGCAATAGTAGAAATTTGGAATATTAGTACAAGAAAACCATAAGATTTGGCCTCAAACAAAATATAAAAATAAAATAAACAATAAGAAATTCTGCAACTAATAAAAATATATTTGAAATTTTGAACACTTCGTTCTTTTCCAATTGCTGAATAGAACCAACTCTATCCACCACATGTACCGGATTTTAGGAAAACATCACTATTACTCTCAAGCAAAGTAATGAACAAACTCATTAAATCATGTAAGCAAGCAAAAGCTAAAAAAGATTATTACCCCACTGCCAATGCGTGCCGGATGATATAGTTCCAGAAGAACAATTGAAAAAAAGAAAGTTAGATTCCATAAAAATTTAAGGTTGAATAAGAAATTAATTAATTTCCAATGACCACCTCGTGAGCCCAAAATGAACCTTTCCCACCATGGCACGTTGATGGCGAGCTACAGCTCAATGACGGCCAATATTGCTCTAAAGCATTAGTCAAAGTCGATATCTACACAGAAGATGAAACAATAGTAGAAATGGATAGCTAATGCAAGTAAGTTAATAGAAGACACAAATTTCGTATAAAAAAAGTAGCAGTAATACAACCAAATTACAAACAAAAACCATTGAAAAAATTAAATATATTGCCATTTTCAACAGCAAAAAGAAAAGTGTTCTGGCTTTCTTCAATTAATTGTTAATATTTTTTCATTAATTATCTAGTAATACAAAAAGGAATTAGTAGAAATTTCCAGTATAACTGTGGAAGGTAATTCACTTTCATTCTTTGCAAAATTTCTCAGTCACAGCATGAAAACCAGTAAATGTGATTTGTCATCGAATGGCTTGCAAATTAATGGTGTGGATTGTGGAATTGTACCTCTTTGGGATTAAAACTAGGCCCAGAGCAACAGGCTGGCCAGGTTCCATCATTATAGTCAGCCCAGAGTCCATCTATTATACAGCAGATAGAACATGTTAAGCCACTTGTTCCAAGAATCTCCATACTCAGAAAAGACAGCAAGGAGATCAATACACCCTTTAACGCCAAAACAGATTTTATTTTCTACAAACAAAACAGTCTAAAAACAAAAATTGAGATGGGAAGAAATGAGAGTTAAAAGGATTGATGAAAGGAAATAAAAACTGAAAAGTCAAGCTTTTAAGCTAACTTCTCAATGAGCTCAAAACAATCAGGCAGAATTTTAAAATACTTTTTTCCTGAACCCGACAATGGCTTCACAACTCAGGAGGAGAGATTAACTCACGGAACAGCCGAGGCATGTTTTAAAATTAATGATAAACATGGAGGAATCTCTTAAGCCTTATACACATAAGGAGTGCCCAACCTAAAAGACCAGTGCATTAAGCAGGAGAACCTCAAGGATTAAGTACCATATTGAACATTTTATTTTACTTAATGTGGGTATTATAACCATTCGACAACCGTAACAACAATAACTCATGCAAAACCGAAACCTCATACTCACGTATAGTGAAAATTGTTGGAGAATTGGAGCTGAAATCAGAAACGCAAATATGTCAGTCTCATAGTCATATATATAAAATATCCATTTCACATTACAAGGATAAAAGATCAGGAAAAAGTTACGGAATCCTTCATTCACATAATCAACGACAACCAACAAAAATGAGATTCCACTTAGGTATGAATAAAATAACTAAACCTAAGAATCAAGTAGGTTCACCGACTAGCACGATCAAATTAACTTGGTAAAAATGAGCTCCAAAATATAAAAATAAAAACAATAATTGAAAAAAATGAAGCATAATGCTATATCATTACCCTCTGCAGCAAGCATTAGAGGAACAGCAATGGCTGGTGCGATGACAGTAAGTGCCAGGCCATTGCAACGCCAACACGAAATAATCAAACTCTCGCTGAGACCTCAATCCTTCTCCTTCCAACTCCACCACCGAGGCACGTGCCGGAGATGGTGTGGCCGTGAACACAATCACGGCCAGCACCAGCCATAGGCATAGCCACGGAGGAAGAGAAGTGAAAGAAGGCATGGTTGGGTTCAATCCAGATTTCAATTGCGTGTGGCGTTTTTGCCTTTGCAGAGTGCAAAATCAATAAATAATAAGGGAATGGAGAAAATTAAGATAGAAGTTAGTTGCAAAAGTACATTTCGAAATTAATTGCATCGATCTCGAGCTAAGCACGTACTAAATTAAACTGCAATCATTATCCGCATAATCAAAAATCTTAGCATATTCTTTAGACCCGTTGTCAAAGTTTATTCGCTTAAATATATTTTTGGATAAATATGCAATTTTTTTGCTATAAATACTAGCATATTCCGATATTCGTTAGACATTTAGACAAGTTGTTATAAATATAGTAGTTAGGTTTGATTTTAGTGTTTTTCAAAGACTAAACCCTCATTTTTTTCAATAATTTCAACCTTTGCTTACGTTATGTTATATCTATTGTTTTAATAATTTGAAAATTGCCAGTAGTTATTTTTTATGTGAAAAAAAATTGGAGAGAGTAATAAAAGAATTAGGAGGATATATATAGAATACAGCAAAATTCTACTTTAAAGAATTATTAGAAAGATAAGTAAAATTATGTAACAAAACTTTGTTCCATAATTGTTGGATGACATTTTTTAAATAATTATTAACTTGACATAGGTAAATATACATGTAATCTTACCATTAAATAGGGACAACGATCAATTTTTACAATTTTTTTTTTAACCAAAACCAAGTGAAAAAGAATAACTAAGAGCAAATTAATTTTATTTATGGAGATATAAAAAAGTATTCAAGCTAAAATAAATTATAAAACCTAAATTATAACCTTTTAAATGAATGATCCAGAGAAAATATATATATTATTTAAAGGGATTAATAATATACTTAAACTCTTATATATATGCTATCAATACACATAAATTAATAAATGTAATTACTCTCCTTGTTTTCATTTAAAATTTAAAGCATCATGTTACACCATTTTATTTATTTTATTTCTCCTTAACGGAGCAGTAATTCATTATTACTTGAGATTTTAGAATATTTAATGTCTAATGTCTTCAGTAAAAGTTATTTTTGTAAGGAAAGTGCTTGGAATAGAACGACGTCGTTAGTTATCTCCGTGTTTGTATGTGTCCATCGCCATGGGCATAGTTCAGTACAGGCACACACCTTTCCTATTCCTTTGTGGTGACTCTGATTTGAGAAGAAAATAGAATGATACGAACTCGATTGTTATGGTTCAGCTTAGGGTTCACGTCTTCTGCTGCTGTCGCTTCCCATTTCGTTTGGAAGGATCTGTGGGTTGATCGTCACGCTCTTAACTCTGAGATGAACCAAAAGTTTAACTCTCTCGAAGCTCGACTCTCCAATGTCGAATCCTCTTTACCCCATCAATCTTCTATTTCCGTTCCCCATCACGATCAGGTGTTTCTCATTATTTTCCCTTCCAATTCTCACAATTTGTCCTAGGGTTGTTTCATTATAATAATAATAATTATTATTATTTTTCAGTTAGGACTAAGAAATTTTTGTGGTTGATTTGTGGATATCGATTGATGTTCTGATACTTACGTATTAAGGGGGTGGTGCAAACAATTTGCATCTTAAACGTAAACAATCATCCTTCAACCATAATGCCTCTAAAGTCTCGTACTGCTTCGCTACCGCCATTGGTTCTTGGTCTTGCTTCTTGGGTATTCTTGGTTCTGGTTCTTTTTTCTTGGTTGTTTGATCTTGGCCTTGGTCTTGCTTCTTGGTTCTGGTTCTTATTTCTTGGCTCCTTCTTCTTGGTTCTTATTTCTTGATTCTTGGTTCTCTTTTTCTTTGTCATCATTCGATATTCAATAGCAAAAGCACTATACTGTCATTTTGTGTATTTTGGTTCTGGTTCTTTGGTCTTGGGTCTTGGCCTTGGCTCTTGCTTCTTGGTTCTGATTCCCATTTCTTGATCTTGCTTCTGGTTCTTTTTCCTTGATTCTTGTTCCTGTTTGTGGTTCTTGGGTATTCTTGCTTCTCTTTTTCTTTGTCATCATTCGATATGCAATAGCAAAAGCACTACATTGTCATTTTGGGTATTTTGGTTCTGGTTTTTTGGTCTTGGGTCTTGGCCTTGGCTCTCTTGCTTCTTGGTTCTGATTCCTATTTCTTGGTCTTGCTTCTGGTTCTTTTTCCTTGATTCTTGTTCCTGTTCGTGGTTCTTGGGTATTCTTGCTTCTCTTTTTCTTTGTTATCATTCGATATTCAATAGCAAAAGCTCTATATTAATCACTGTGTGTATCATAGAGGGAGGTGCATAGTAAGTTGACATTTGCTCTTTCCATCTTTGACTCAACCATATTTTCTGCCGGTTAGAGAGAAATTGAGAGAGAAAGAGATTTCATTTACAGTTATTTTAATTCTTATTCTTATGTTCGTTTGTTCTTTATTGCTCCTATTTATTTGTAAGTGTTTTATTGATAAAATTTTGTTCTCTTTGGCAGGTTGAACAATAGGTGTCTTTTTCAGCTCCATGGAAATGGTTTCTACAAGGTTTTAATTATGCTTGATTCAAAATGTTTGTAGAGGAAATGACTGTAATAAAACAGACGCCAAGGCAACCCTAAACTTCTTACATACTAATGGAAAGAACGAAGCAAAATTTTCTTTGCGATGTTATTGTTAAAATATTATGCCTTAGTTATAAAGCTGTGTAATATTTTTTTTTTGTTGCTATTTTTGTGTGTGTAATATTAAGAACTAACAGTCCAATCCGTTTTATAGTTCTTTTTCTTGTTTCTCGGTTCTTGGGTCTTGGTTTTAGAGTTTTGATGGTCTTGATTCTTGGTATTTGTTCTTTCTTGGTTTTTAGTTTCTGGATCTTATTCTTGGTTCTTGGATACTTTCCGCTCATAGTTTCTTTCTTGGTTCTGGTTCTTTATTCATAGGTCTGGGTTCATCGGCCTTGACCTTGCTTCTCATTCTTGGTTCTTTGGTCTTGTTCTTTCTTGCGTCTTGGTCCTAGTTCTCCTTTTCTTTGTTCTTTTTCTTGTTTCTTGGGTCTCGAGTCTTGAGCTTTTTCTTAGTCTTGGGTCTTGGTTCTCGAATACTCTTGGTTTTGAGTTTTGGTTCTCTTATCTTGGGTCTTTGTTCTTTCTCGTTTTTGTTCTATTTCATGGTTATGTGGTCTTGTTCTCTCTTGGGTCTTGATTTTTGGGTCTTGCCCTTGGACTCCTGGTTCTTGGTTATCCATTTTTATCGTCATTCGATATTCAATAACAAGAGTACTATATTCTCATATTGTTTCTGGGTTCCTAACATACATATTAATATTTTCAACGAAAATTCTATGCCAATGGGTTCTTTATAGATAGCCTAAAGAGAACATATTCAATTTGGCGATATGTTTCATAGCACACACTCGGTTAGCCAATGGAAAATCTGAAATGACGGTGAAAAAAAACAATGTCTTGATACCAAATGATAAAAAAAAACTATGCTCGACAAAATGTTGTATCATAAAGAGATGTACAATGGCATATTGATCAACATAATTACTGTGTATACCATTGTCATTAATCCAAATGAGAAGAGAATATTGAATTGTATGCTACATCATTTGCGTCCAAAATGAAATTTCATTTTTAAAAGATTAATCTTTCCATACAGGTATGATCCCCTGTGCTGCCAAACGTTTTTCAACCCAGAAGACAATGTGTTTTGCAGTAATTTTCTTTTCATCAATCAGAAATGGTTCAACAGTGCTTGCCCCCGAGTTATACGATGACAGAGAAAACCCCTTTGGACCTGTTCAAGACAAGAACAGAATGATGCCGCTGAAACATGTTCTTTGTTTAGTAGTGCATTTAACTCTGATACTACTTTCTCAATGACTCAAAAACGGTACATACCAATGACGTTTCCTGTGGGAAAGAAGGCCCAAAATGAATAGGGATTGCCCTCTTTCAAGAAAGAACCTTCCAACTGTCAATCACAACACAGAAAAATGTTGTTCACCAAAAAATAAAAAAACACAAAAAATATGTTATGAATTGTTCAATAATGTAAAGCTTTATAAGATGAATAATTTATAAATTCTTTTAGAACAGTTTCTTACTATTCTTTCTACTTACTAAATGAATATTTTATAAGATGAATATTTTTTCTTGTTTTAAGGTATTAAATATATTTACTGTTTCATTTTGTACTTTATCATTTAAAAGGATTAATGCAAAGACACTATAAGAGGATATTCCAGTATTTTTATAAAATATGAGCAAACTTAAGAAGAGACACATTATTGCGTTCGCCAGTTTGGGTTTTGCTGCCAAAACTGGCTGAAATTACAGAATGATTGGTAAGTCTACATCGTTATATAACCTAAATTGCAACAATCATCTGAACTGGCATAGGTAGCATAGCTACCTTACTAACCTTATTGTCCTTAAAGACTAGCTCAATATTCGAGAAATCTTCTTGGGCTTCAAATATTGCTTTCAATGAAGGGATAACCTCCTCTTCCATCAACTGTGGCAGAGGCTTAGCTGGAGCTTTAGCAGGAGGCTTCTTTGCTGGTGCAGCTTTTGGAGCTTCCTTTACCTCCTCTTCCTTTGTTTCAGCAGTAGCTAAGAGCAGAAATTGCAATTACACTTTCAATTAGGAGTTTTAATTTTCATATACTATCAATAAAATGAAAAATATCGTAAATATAACTTTACAGTAGATATCATAAGAAATTAATAATTTTCAATAATATGACAATCTTTGAGCGGATGCTAGCATAAAAAATATTACACGATCAATGCATTTAAATTAATTACTTCAATTAGACTCAGTGCAGTGCAAAATTTATCGACAAATAAAATAAAATGAAACCATAGTTGTTATTTTGTTAATGCAAAAACACACCTGCTGTACTAGTAGATGATTCTTGAACAGCAGAGCAGATTATCCGGTTTCGGCTGGCCATTTTAAATTTACTTGCAATCTACAACACAAGAAAAAAAGATATTGAATAGAAACTTAGCAAACCAAGTGAACTTTAAAAGCTGTAACTACTAACTACAGGTAAGCTATTGAATGAAAAGAATAATAAATCATATCATATTATATACATATAACATTAAAATTTCTTTATTGATTAATTAACATTCATAAATAAATTATTTGAGTTGGAGCTGCATAATCAAAGGAGATATACCAAAGGTAGTATTGGTGATGATGATGATGATGATGATGATGATGATGGTGAGGTGGGTAAGACTACATTTTGGGAGACATGCAAAGAAACAGAAGTTGATGTTAATGAACACAAACGAAAGCAAGAATCTCCTAGTACTCCCCCTCTTAACAAAATTGCCATTTGCATGCTTCCTCTCTTAGTGCTTCGTATGTGTTATTTTCTTTTTTTCTATTTAGTCTCCAACCATTTTTTCTGTCACTGGTTTGTTGATGCTTTTAGTGAGAAGTATGCGTGGGAGGAACAAAATGAAAGAACCCTCTGATCCACATGGTGCTTGAGATAATATGTACCACTGGTTTTTCTCCCTTTTATTCTATCTATCTATTGAAGAAAATAAATAAATAAATACACACACTTGGAACACTGGAGTACAAAACTAGTGGCAATGAACGTGTCAATGAGTTTCAACCGTATATAATATATTACATTAGTGTAGACAAATAAAAAACAACTTCAATTTGTTTTCTTACTACTTTTTTCTTACTTGCTTCCCCAATAAATTTCTCAACCTTTTATATATGCGAGTTGCGTAACCATGTTATACATGTCACGAGGAAAATCCTATAAAGAGCTTCTTTGTCTGGGGCACACAAGTTGTGGAGAATCCTTCACGTAATTTTTAATCATACAGTAAAATTTAAAAAACATGTTCAATATAGTGTTGAATAATAACTGATAATAAAAAAAAAATTAAAATTAACATTAAAAAGCTTCTTTCTTTCAGTTTAAGTCAAATTTTATTTTAATGAATTGATTTACGTATACCCATTTCGATGATAATTATTTGTGAAATGTTTCGAATTAAATCATTTTTTAATTAATAAAATTATAAATGAAAAATAATTACAAAAAGAACAGAGGGAAATGAGAAAATAAAAAACATGTTTGTTTTTTTTTTGTTAGTCAAAATATTTTGATTAAGACTCCTGTAAGTGATTGGTTTTTAAAAGCCTTTACATTACACTAGGACAAGAAAAGGGTTAAATAAAATTAATAGGCTATACGAAATAATATTACTTGACTAAGTTGTTCTTAAGTGCTACTGGTATTAGTAAACAATTATTATTGGAACTGTTACTGTCAAAATGTTTGTCATAATTGATAAAGTATAATTGTTTCTTTGACATCTTAAAACCACTGTCAAATTGGAATAAAATAATTCTCAAAGCCACAGCCATTTAAGAATAAGGGGAGTATAATGAAATTATAGTTTATGATGACAAAATAAATTAAATATTAAAATTATGCCATTTAGGTTTGTCCTCTTAATTTCTTGCTAATAGCTCTATCCAATACAAATTTGAGATATATCAGTATGGATTAAATCCTCTCATTTTAGTAACTTAACACTGCTGTGTCATGAGAAAAAGACAAAAACAAAAATTGGTAGGACCTAAACAAATAATGGCGGGTCATACTATAATTATTTTGTATCTTTCCCACATAACATTGTCATGTTCATCTCTAACTAACATGAGAGAATCCAAATGGTACCAATACCTTCCAATGACACAGAAACATAACAGTATAGCAAAGATATTCAAGACCATACATATCACAGATGCTATACATATCATAAGGTAAAAGTACCTTCAACTTCAACAATTAAGAAAAGTATTACACCGTTTTTTAGTTGTACAGAAAACTAATCAGCACAATGCAGCGAATCTGATCCACTAGGCTAGTTTCTCTTGGTTGTTCTCGTTCTCTTCTTGGTTGGCACACAGTTAGAAGGAACACTTTTCTGCTTAAATTTTTGAACCATGTTATACACCTGCAGCAGTGTAACAATTTTAAGACAATAAATCATGGTGCCAAGATATAAGGCAAGAAGAATAAGAAACTTCAAATTTTATCCTTAACTCCATAGAAGCTAAATCTTTAGCATAATGAATTCTCTTACATACAGGTTAAAAAAAAAAGAATGATCAGTTGCTTTCTAGCTTATAATGTTAAATTGTTAAGATTGCAGCATACTATTTTAATGGATTTAACTTCAATGTGGATACACAACAGTACTCATGCATAATAATTTGTGTTTTACATGGCCATTTCAAAGCTGTTCAAGAGTGTAGGAACTTTGTTATGAGGGTATGCCGCATGCCAGTCAAGTTGAACTCCTATTTACGCATTTTCCTGAAAATTCTACAGAAAGAGCCATGCAATATAATTTGCCATATTTTCATGTATTGTAATATTCCAAATTGAGGGAAGTGATTAAGGTCACTGTGTCCTTGAAAATGATATGTTAAGTGCAGGGGTTGCTAAGAGCAGCATACTATACCTTTCTTACACTGGTTGTCAGTCCCATACTAGAAAGCACATTGCCATCAACACATTTCCAAGTTGTAGTTTCTTTGTCCTGGCTTTTGAACAAATCATCAACTCCCCCTTCCAGTAGAAAAAAATTAACATTAATACAAAAAAGTAGCCTTAATGTGCACAATGTGCTCTTGTAAGTTGTAATGCCACATAGAAGGAAGCTCACACCTTTCAATTGTAAAACTTGCAATTCAACATACAACTTGAGACGAATATGACTGAAAATGTGAACAAATTCCCCAATATCTTCCCTCAAAACTATATTGCAAGTTTTCTTGATGTCAATTTTGAGATCCTTTTTCAAGAAGCTATCCATTGCTTTTCTTCTAGCCAATGCAACAGTTTCTCCATCCAGTGAGACTGATGGAAACTCCCAGAGACCAGCAAGCAATCCTTCATCAGGCCGTTTTACAAGAATAAATTTGCTGCTAGACTGGTTTTCATCTAACAATGTTTCAGCTCCAAGTAATTCAACAACACATACAGCAGAAAAATCACTTCTTTGTTTAACCTTCACACCCTTAACAGGGTAATCTGTTACTGCAATTGTACTATCATGTTTAGTAATCGATAGCGCACGACAAAATTCTGATGCTGGACATGAGGAACAACTTGGGTTCAAAGGGGTGCATACAGTTGCCCCAAGTTCCATGAGAGCCTGATTGAAGTCCCCAGGACGAAGAGGATCAACCAACTGAGCTGCTAATTTCCTTAATCTCCATTCCAATCCACATAAGAAAAAAAGTAAATAAAAAAGAAATACAAGATTGATTATAAAATAATTAGATTGTCCTAATAAGAAAGCAGTAAAATAATGGTGTGCTCAAATCCTAGCATATGTACCTTAGACACAACCAATAAAAAGAAGAATTCGTATTTAGAGTACATCATGTCAGATAAGAAACTCAAAGCTCCCACTTGTTACAATTATTCATGTCATGCATGTGTCTCCTCATTAGCTGTGCCTAAGGAATGCAAGAACGAATCAGAAATACTTTTCTAACCAAAACGATAGGCTTATAATGGTATCTTCTGTTACTCTCTTTGCTAGATGTGTTAATTTGATGCATAAAAAGGCTTCCTTTTTCCCAGATTCTTAATCAGGTAAAGCATTTGATGAGAACTGAGATACCAAAATCATTTTAAAAAAAAAAAAACAAGTTTCTGCACTCCAAGTTTATCCATTTGATTATGAATAATTTGTTCTAGAAGTTCACTTAAACTCACCAAAATCTCTTAATGGTTACTGAGTCTTTTGGATTTGCAGAAACGGCCCTTAGTCTAGCAATCACCCTTATCACATTTCCATCAACAACAGGTACCACCTGACAATTTAATGCATGAGCAATAGCCTAGAGTTACTTTTATAAAACCAAAATCAATGAAACTACCAACCTCTTTAAATGCAATAGAAGCAATTGCTCCAGATGTGTAGTCTCCAATTCCTGGAATCTTTCGTAGCATAGAAGCAACTTTAGGAATTCTGCCTCCTTCTGCAACTATTTTCTTAGCCCCCTAAAGAAAATGGAATGAATCTTGTCAAACCATGCAGCATGTATAGCTACAAGCCTACAACTAAAGCCTAATTCTCTCTTATTGATCTATGTCTTTACTTTCTTTAAGTAGGATTTACCTTCTCATTATTCATTACATAACATGAAATTGAGGATCTTTGAACATAGATCAAAAGCAGAAGCAAAATTGTTCAAAAAGACATAGAAGATCATGACATGAAGAAGCTTCTAATACTATATGTTAGTTTGGCAATATCCAGTAACCATTACATGAGATTTTGAAGCATGCATTATTTGGGCTGTTTTTAGCTGCTTTTACTAAGAAGGCAGAAAACGTAAATGAATGTTTAAGTTTAACATAACACCATTATTAGCCGCCAGAAATTCAAACAGTCTCCAATTAGTCACTACTCACTAGGGAGAATTGTAGGGTGTAGTAAACAATATGCATTAGATACATCTGACAGAGGAAACAAGATAAACAGCAGAGGGAGACAAAAAACTGTGTTGAAATGAGAGAGCACCTCTAAAAGAAAACGAGCTCTTCGATAGTAGCCCAAACCTGCCCACATCTCATTTACTTCCTGCACAAAGATGGCAACAATTGCATGGTGAGGATACAATTAGTCTACAAATTACAACAAATGCTTTTAATTTTTAAATACAGGGCACGCAATGAATCCACACTAATCCAATGCACATATTAGAGGCTCTTATGTGTCCTGGAAAATTCTGCAAGCTCAATCCTTAAGTTTAGGCCCCATTTTGCCTTCAGAAATCTTCAACACAGCCTTTCTTGCATAACTAAAATCCATAAATTCCTTTATTTTCTAGTGCAAAGCCCTAAAACCTTGGCTCCAATAACAGTGCAACAATAATTGGAACAAAGACCAATAATCTCGAAGCAGTAGAATGATATCTCCATCATTACCTGCTTATTTGGTGTATTGTCAGATTTTGTAAAACAAGCATTAATCAAACCTCACAAATTATCAATTGGAGCACGAAACCATCGCATCAAATTATCATCAGAAAAGTTCACAGCTTGAGCATGTTATTAACATCACAGCATCAAAGTATAATTAGAACCTCGTCAATTATCATGCTTCATGACCCCCAAAAAAGGAAGGAACTTGAAAACAGATTAAAAAAGCACTTGCACTGAAGTTCACAACTTTATAAACTACCCATCAAAATTGCATAAAATATACATTACAAAAAACAGCTTTTATAAAAATAAAAAAAAGGAAAAAGAGAGAGCAGAAAACCTCAAGAGAAGCTTGTGCAAGATGGTGAATGGTGGGCCATCTTTGCATCCAACGGTTGTAATAGGCAATAACAGTCTGAACCCTCGTTTGCTGCAACATAACCTCAGAGACCCACACGCCATAAGCTCTTCTTTCCACTTTTTCTTCATCATCTTCATGGCCATGTTTGAAGGTGGTCCTCCAAGGAAGGTCCCTTTGGTTGAGATCATACCAATCCAAAAGAGCCACTCTGAGTTCGAGGGTCTCATCTTTGGAGAAGGAGAGTGTGTCTTCTATGTCTTCCACTTCCACCAAAGACTCTTCCTTTTTCCTCACCCCAATAACCTCCTTCATCTGTTTCTTCTTCATCGTCATCTCTGACATGTTGGAAAACAGTGATGATGGTGATGGAAAACACAATAACATAAAACTCTGTACAACGTTGGTTCAAGTCATGTTAACGTTGCTATCACACTCGTTTTGTCAAGAACTAGGAATGGGAATGCAGAGCGGCAGTGTGGCCTGTTCAGCTCAAAATTTGAAAATGTGGAGCAGGTGCAAAAGTTTAGACACTGCTTATTTTTATGTTGAGAAAAAGGGGATAATGAAATTTGTAATTTCAAATTAATACTGAGTTTAGATTTTATTTTATTTTACTTTTTCGGAATTTAAATGGTGATTTTAATTTAGTCTAAGTGGAGTTTAGATTGCTTTCTTTTGATATATGATTTCTACAAATTTATCATTGAATTATAATTATTAACATTTCTATAAAAAAATTATTATTTGAACATTTAAAAAAAAATATTATATGTGACAATATATAATAATCTTTATCTTTTACATTTTATTTTTTATATACAATAATATATAATTATATATAATATTGTAATTAAACTAATTTGGGAAAAGGTCAGAAGAAAAATATTATTAATAAATGTAAAAAAGCAAATTAGCTTAGAAATTTTAAAAAAAAAAAAAACAAGCTGAAATTTAACCATTTATACGTTATACATGAAATTTATGAAAAAAATACACGTACTTATTCAGGTTCACTTTGATAAATAAAATTTAAAAACGAACTCAACAAATATATATATATATATATATATATATATATAGAGAGAGAGAGAGAGAGAGAGAGAGAGAGAGACATTTCTAATAAACACTGCTGCACAGAAGGAATCCCCACATCACCGGAAGGGCAGAAGCAAATGGTGGAGAGATACGTGGAAACCCTCCTTTGATCCTCACCAATCACTTTTGTTTTTGGCCAAAACAAAACAACACAAACAAAAACCCTAACATACCACAAACATAAAATAAATAAAATAATAACGCGACAACATAAAAAACTGAAAAAATGGATGACTATGCTAGTGTCAGTCTCACTGCATTGTTAGCTGAATTTTTTTAATACAAATTTTATTTTATTTTCAAAATAATTATAAATATTCTTAAAAATTATTTTAATAATACTGTTTTATACTTTTAATATATTAAATACATTTTTAATTTAATACTCTCTAAGATTGTTAGAAACACATGATTGAAAGATACAACATTTTTCTTATTTATAAGATTGTTATCATTGACATTAATTAATTCATAATGATAATTTTAATATTTTATAAATTATTATAAAATATTGTTCGGCTTTGGTTTTCAAATTTGCGAGGATTTATAAATTACCGGCATTTTAATATTTGTAAAAAGGTAACACATTGTTTTTGTCATTTTTCTAACCAAATAATCAATAAAAAGGTGAAAAAAATGTTATTATTGACGCTGATATTTATTATGTTAAAGTAAGCGGTTTTCTTTTGGAGCTGAGAGGAAGAAGGGAGTACTGAGAGTGAGAGTTCAGAAGAGAGAGAGAGAGAGATGGAGATTGGGTTCTTGGGTTTGGGGATAATGGGGAAGGCCATGTCAATCAACCTGCTACGCCACGGTTTCAAGGTCACTGTTTGGAACAGAACTCTCTCCAAGGTAATTTCCCTTCCCTTGCTTTTATTATTGTAGTAGTTGTTGTTGTTATTATTATTACACAAAACTTTCTGGATTTTCAGTTGTTGTTTTTACTATTATTGTGCGTGTGTATCCTATCCTTGTGATGATTTCTTTCCATAATATTGATTCTTATTACGATTAAGAAAGTTTCTGTTATTTTTATTTGGGTTCTATAAGATAATTTTTTTCTCCTGTGCCATTATCATAATAAAGGAAGATATCCAGAAAGTCCAGTATTACAAGCATTTTGTAAAGCAGCTTAGAAACAAATGTAGATATGTGTGTTATTTAGATAATATCAGATCAGATGAGTGGGATGACAAAAAATTTTATTATGTTGAACACCTTACGTAAAGAAAATACTGCTTGTAGTCTGAATATTATGATTTTCTATTTTTTCTATACTATGAATCTCTGAATATAAGCATTCCCTTACCAACTTTTAATTGGAATACTCTGTCATTGGCCTAGTGTCATGAAAGTTGTTACTAATACTAACTCATATCTGTTGCAACCTCTAATTGTAGTGTGATGAACTTGTGGAACATGGTGCTTCTGTTGGAGAAACTCCAGCAGCCGTAGTCAAGAAATGCAAGTATACAATTGCAATGTTATCCGATCCTTCAGCTGCTTTATCGGTCAGTGGCTTTGAATATTATTTTTTACGCGCAGCTTTTTTATTTTCTCTTGAGTTCCATTTTGTGGTGATTTTCTAGGTCGTATTTGATAAAGATGGTGTTCTTGAGCATATTAAGGGAAAAGGTTATGTTGACATGTCCACAGTTGATGCTGATACATCTTCCAAGATATCTGAGGTTGGTATACCCTGCTGATGTTAAAATGTATTTCCCTTTCATTCAAAATTCATTAAATTTTATTTTGTGTTTGAGAATTTTTTTGCTTGTGAAAGAGAAACTTATTTCATCCTCTTGACTCCTATATTTAAGATTTCATAGCTGAGAATTGTTGCCAGAACCCTCCCTCTTCTCTCTTTTCCCTAGATTAAAATAAGAATAATGTATTGTTTATAGTTTACATGTTGGGGTCTTTTTATTTTTAGCATTAAGCATCATGAATTTTTATCTAATTATAAGTGTGATTATAATCGTTATTTGGATTTTAGTCAAAAGAAAATTCTGTTCTAAATGAAGTTTAGTTACCTGAGAAGTCTATCGTACCGGGAATTCCTATTTGGATAAGGATTTCTCAGCTATATGCCCAAGCTGGTGGTTTGCATTTTACGCAACCAACTTTTTTAATGGAAATGAGAATGGAGATGTCCGTAAATAAGTTTCCATTGACAGACCTGATTTCTGCAGGCCATCAAAGCAAAAGGCGGTTACTTCCTTGAAGCTCCTGTTTCAGGTAGCAAGAAGCCTGCAGAAGATGGCCAACTAGTTATACTTGCTGCAGGAGATAAGGTATTTTTAGATGTTCCATAATAAATGTAGATAAAATTATAGTCATCTTGATTGCATGCTGCTCTTCTGTGCTTTTAACAATTTGAGGGTTCAGACCTCTCTTCTCCATTTTATGTCATGTTTTCATGGCTGGAAAACTTCATAGTATAACATGTATAAGATACATTGGCAGCCCATCATTATTCCCAAACCTTTCAATGAATTGATGTTTATGATTGCCTTCTAAACCATCATGTTGACTTCTCAAAACAAAATATACTGTAGACCAGTCAAGATATTTGAGCAATGTTTAGATTTGTAAAATGCGATAGAAATGACAAAAAATATGTGAAGATGATATCTTTAAACTTTGAAAGCACGTCAATTGCTTATTAGTATCCAGATTAGCTATTTACACAAATCAGAACTTTCTATTAGAAAACTCAAAAAATAGTGTGACAGATGGGCGTGTAAGGAGCTGAGTTAGTCTTCTATTTGAGCTTAACTTATTAAATACTCAATCAAACTCATTATTTAGTTAAATGAACAAGCTTAAGCTTAAAGTTGAGCTTTTAAGTGACTTATCTCAAGCTTTGTAGGCTCAATATTAATAGCTTAGAAATAGCGTGCTTATGTATGTATTACATAGAAAATGCTCTCATGCAATTTCCTTGTCATAAACTAGTGCATTTTGAGGATAATATAAGTGTGCATTGTATCTGTGAATACTAAATTCCAGCGGTTGATTCGTTTGATATGTAGCCATTGTATGAGGAAGCACATCCAGCATTTGATGTACTGGGGAAAAAATCTTTCTTTCTGGGTGCAGTTGGAAATGGTGCAAAAATGAAACTTGTTGTTAACATGATAATGGGCAGGTAATTGTTTCCTCTTCTCTTTTTTTTTTCTTCTATTCTTTTTTATTTGGGAGTGAGGAGGGGGATTGCCCACAGCTTCAGTTAGAGCATTTTAGAATCGGCAAGTAACAAAAGTTGACCCAGATACTAGTCTTCCTTATTTGGTTTCAAAATAAAAGGATTCCAAGTCCATATATTCCATCATGTTTTGTATATTAATTATTCTCGGTTATCTCTGTTACAGTATGATGAATGCTTTCTCTGAGGGACTCACACTAGCTGAAAGAAGTGGTTTGAACCCTGGAACTCTTCTTGATGTGCTGGTAAGTGACTTTGAGTGACCAGGAAGATTCTTGTTGCTACCTTTAATCATCATTCCAAGCTTAATTAGGGTATATTTGTGTGCAGGATCTTGCTGCCATAAGTAATGCCATGTTTAGATTGAAAGGACCCTCGATGCTCGGAAACAATTACTCCCCAGCTTTTCCACTGAAACACCAGCAGAAGGACATGAGATTGGCTCTTGCCCTTGGAGATGAAAATGCTGTACCAATGCCTGTAGCAGCTGCAGCAAATGAGGTAATACTATTTTTATCATATTTTCTTTCGGTGACAAAAAATTAGACAATCAGAAAATGCTTCTTTGCTTCCCAAGACTGCTATCCAGTGAACAATCATAAGTGGTTCGCAAACTACTGAAGTGACAGCAGCTAAACAAGTATCCCACTTAAACACCCCTGTTTTCCTGTAAATTTTAGATGCAGCTATACGAGCAATGGATCCCAACTAGGAAATATATGTAACCATTCCACCAAGTGAGCCTTTGATCGATCTATACTGGAACATCAGGGTTGCTTCCATCGTCTAAATGTTAATGAATCAAAATTATTCCATAATGGAAAATTAATTCTGTTTAACTTAATATCAGTTCCTTGAGCTGCACATGCTATATGGCAATTTGATATTCTGATAAATTATACATATTGTGGTTTAATGATTCAGGTTATCAGAAGACATCCAGATATAATTAAAACTCTTTTTTTTCTCTTCATCGGTTGCATGTTGCGTCGATGCTTCGCAGGCCCATGATGTTATACCATTCATTTGTTTCTTTATTTGAAAAAGAAAAGATAATAAAATAAGATGGAGCCCATTTTATCTTCTATATTAAGCTTTTATGTTTAATGGCTTTTGTAGAGGTTTCATAAGGTACTAAAGTTTGAACTTTGTTTGTAGGCTTTCAAGAAAGCGAGAAGCATGGGATTGGGAGACCTTGATTTTTCAGCAGTACATGAGACTTTGAAAGCTCTTGACCATTCTTCTTGACAAAATAACTTCCGGAATTCAAACTATTGGATGGGCAACAGTGTAATGTGAACCATCTATTTATGAAATTGCTGTTTAAACACAGGTCTGTAGTTTGAATGTACAAGGACATGGGTTTAGTTCAACTCGTTGTAGTGATGATGGTTTTGGCCATCTGTTCATTTACATCAATGTTTTAGTTTATCTGAGTGGTTTGAATAGTTTGCCATGTGCATTTTATGAAGCTTCTTCTGGTATTCATCTTTGTTTCTGGTGTATCAGCCAATACTGCTGGCATCAAACGTTTGCTTTGATTAGGTTTAATTTATACTAATAATTGATGTAGTACTAAATCCATAACTTACTTCACAGCAAAATGTTAACTAAAACTCCCTCAAGCTAAAGCATATTTAATCATGTCTAATTTGCTACAAATATTATCTACCCTTTCTTATCCAAAATACCCTGATAAAAATATTTGCCAACTGCTTCCGAGGTCATGCCTGACTAGTAAAATTAGATAACTATTGAAATTTCTACTCTATAGTTTCACAATCTTCTTCAATAGGCCATTTCCATTCAAAGAAATTAAGATTAGATGTCACGTGAATGCTGAATAGTGGTTTGGTTATCAATAGTCTGAGACATGGCATGATATTGTGGTTTTGAAATTGACCGTGCCACTGTATTATGATTCTTGATCTTGCAAGGAACTAGGTTGTCAACATAAACGCAATATTGTTAAGTATATCTCTAATTTATAGGAGAAACATCCTAATTTGTATCAGGAAATCATCTATTTTAAGGCATTTCACAATAAGGGGAACGAAATCCTAGTAATCCCTTAAACCTAGTTATAAGGGGACGTTGAAGAAGGTATGGATGAGATTGCATTCCATTCAGTGATCCTTGGAGAAGAAATCAATTGACTAACCACATTGAAGGATAATTAGGGGTCAAGTTTTGGAGAGGCCGCTATCTTAATTTTAATTTTTGTAGAGCTAAAAGATCATCAATGAGTGTCTTGGAGTTGGAAACTGGAATAGTATAATTTAAGGATTATTTACATTATGGCATATACGTAGAGGCAGAGTTAATTAGTTCAAAGGGCGCACAAGTGCAACCACTCTGAAAATCGGCATCCCTATATTCCAGTTCTCTATTAGTGTTCCCTCTTTCATTGATTGTATCATTTTCACCTCCTCACCTCTCTTTAGTTTTATTTATTAATGTGCCTTCTCTCAACTTCTGTGCCAATGAGAAAAATTCAACCCGTTACGGAGTGCGTGTCTGATATTATCCCAGGTAAAAGAGGTTGTCTACTTGTAGAACATTGTAATACATCTTCATGATGGAAAAACTACAAAATAAAGCGTAGCTAACCCCATCAGGTTCAGTGGAACCTAGGATTAATAATGGTTCGGCCTTTGTTGATTGCAAGGGAGCCATGGAAAACAATTAATTTTATTTTGGCTAACATTTCTCTGAAGGGGAGAAATTGAGGAATTATGGCTGTTATTACTCGTAATCATAACAGCGTTGTTGTAGGACATTCGATGAAAATGGTTGCAATAGTTGTTTAAGCTCATTTGATCACCAAGTAATTAAGACAATCAAAGCTTGCACAAAGGAAATGAACATCACTTGATCATTGGAGCAATAGAGGATGGTGGGCAACGGATGCATGTTTATATTATTTACCAGACAATCACAACTTTCACAGCTAAATTTAAGGTGATGACATCTGTCGCAAACCATTCAAAAAGGTAAAACACATAAATCCGGGCTAACACGAAATTGACCAAAAAAGGTTTACTCAACTCCAAAGCATCCAACAAAATTTGTGACCTAGAAAATAAATAGTACAGGGAAATAAATTTTTAAGAAAATGCTTGTCTAAGAAAAAAACAGTTTCTACTTGTGCCGCAGTTACACTGAATCTATGATAAACTTTCACTCATCATCATCATCGTCATCTTCAGCACCATCAGCAGCAGAGTTGAGAGCCTGCAAGCGAGCAATCAACTTGGCCTTCCTCTCCTCATATGTAAGTTTCTTCAAGTTGTACCTGCAGAAATATACAGATACACTCAGGAATATACTTCAATCAGTAAACACTAAGGCTAAGTTACCAAACCAAATGATCCAAGAGTAAAGCAAAATTATATGAGCACATCCAAGATAAATAGAACATGAATAGCTGAAAATACAACCAAAGACAAACCAGTAACAGGATCAAATCAGTTAGCAAGAAAGCAAATGAAAAAATAGATATGAACATTACACTATCACTAGAATCTAATATACTTATGTCACAAATTAATTTTACCTCTTGTGTTCCTTTGGTGGCTGCTTCTCAGATTTCTTGATAGTAGGATCTGCACGAATCGCTGCATGAACCTTCTTGTACAGCCCCTCAATACCATCAGCATCTATTCCTTGCTTGATATATTCACTGAAGTGTGACTGATATTTCTCTGGTTCATCTTCCATCAACATCTGCAGAAAATATAACATATGCTGTCTAACAAATATTTGAAAACTCCTAATATTGCATTCAAAATAAAGAATGATACTGAAAAACATCAATTTTTCCCATGCCTTCATATAGGCAGCAACATGTCCACCAAAGATATATTTGTGATGAACCTCAGCATCAAGCTCTTTCTTCTCTTTGTCAAAGCCAGCAAACCTTTTCTCACTGTGAGGAATATCCAAACCACCATCCAAAGCTCCCTGTAAACCAATACAACTATTAAATTCCATCAACAGTAAAACAAAATCAAACCAGTTAGCAATGCAGAGTAATATTGAGTACCTTAAGGGCACCAAAGACACGATTGCCAGTTGTGGTTTTAATAAGACCAACATCAAGGAGAGCACGGAATGGTCTCCTGGTCTCAGCAGGTTCAACAGAAAAATCCTCTCCAGTAGCCTGAAAAAAAGGATACACGTAATTAACTTGAACAATAATTGAAAGATAAGAGAGAAAGCGAGCATGACCAATTAAGAGATACCTCAACATTGCCCTCATACTCCTCATCCATTTCAAGCATTTTAAGGACTCTCCGGGCCAATAGGAGTCCAGTGCAATAAGCTGGTCACATTTTAAGACATGCAAAGAACAACAGAGTCAACAGGTGGAAACACAAAAACCTCAAGTGAGGAAAGGGTAGGAGTAGGAGAGAAAACTCTCCTAAACAAAGTACCTGCGGCATAGTTTGTAAGGCCTACTTTCAAGCCATAGCACGGCAGCTCATGCGAGTATGCCGCAGCAAGAACAATATCGCCAGTAATGCTGGCAGATATTATTTGTGCAGTGATGTCCTTGTTGGTCTAATAACAAGGTTAAGGTTTGTACTCACAGAAAAACATCAACAGACAAATAACTTCAATTAATATTATCATATGCTCATTGCTCAAGTTTTATTGACCATCAATAAATAAAAAACATACACCTACAAACTAACATAATAGTAGGATACAAATCGAACCACAAAGCGGTATTTCGGGGTGTTGTACTTGTTCTTGTCCTGATTAATTAACCGAATCCTGGCTCGGTAATCAGTCTTTCCCGCTGCAGATTATGCAGTATATTAAGTCACCAATATAAACAATTAAACACCATAAAGCAAGTTAATCAAAAAAATTACCTCTTCTTCTCTTGAACTTCACTTGATATCTCTTGAAGTAGGCCTTTGTTTTCTGAGCCTTAACATAAGCCTTCAATATGCACCCCAAAAAAAGTTGATAATGATATTGTCAGAAATTGCATAGACATAGCCACATACCATGCAAAGTTTTGTTTAAAACTGATCCATTGGAAACTACCGAACACAACAGAGAATGAGTAACAAAAATGAGCAAACATAAAAGTGACAGCAAGCAACTAAACCGCACCAAATCAGAACTTTACCTTCCCCAAAATCCTTAATGCTCAAAAACAACATCTAAGAAAGACTACACGGGTAAAACAAGCACCGCAAATGGGAACACCACTAAATCGAAACAAGGACAATTAAAATTCAAATTCTGCTCTAGCTTAGGAGAACAAAGAAGCATGGAAAGTAAAAGAGTGCTATCAGACATACGCACCATTGCTGTGAAGCTCGATCTCTTCTCCTCCTACGAAAAGAGTGAGAACGAATTAGGGTTAGCCAATATTTGCTTATAAGTGTTTACTTTAAATGGGTCGGGTCGGGTTACAATGGGTCTTAAGGTTTCATGGGTCACGTGGATTTTTAGTTTGGGGTTGCGACAACAATGTTGGGCTCGCTCTCTGGTTTTGTTTTACTGATTCCTAGCATGATTTCGCTGCTACGTAAATTCTCGTAAAATTGTATGCTTATTCTAATTTCTAAAATTTTAAAAAATTATAGTTTTTAATTTTATAAAATTATATTTATTTTATATTTTATTATAAAATAATGATAAAAACATTAAATTTAAAAGTATAAAATAAAAAACTAATTAAAGAATTTTAAAATCTTCGTAATGAAAGTATCTATAATTTTAAAGACTGATTTAAGAAATTAATATAACTGTATTTACGGTAAATGAGTATTTAATATAGTAATATTTATTATTATTTAAACTTGATATCACATTAAATTGAAATAAAAATTTTGTAATATATTAGAGATATTATTAATATTATTAGTGAAACGAAAGAAAAAATAGTGTTACCAGAAACAAGATATCTTACTTAAATTACTTCTACCAAATCTAAGTTAAAAAGATAATACTTTTCTCGTTAATAGTTTAGAGTACAGTTTTGTATCTATTGAAATATAGAGTCATGTAATTTAGTTGCAACCCAAGTTACAAGATAGCTAGCCATAACTCATCTTTTTCTTTATTTTATAATAACTTTTGGCAATAAATAAGAAACTTGAAAGAAATGTAGAATGCACCATCCAAAGGATAAATCATGCTCATGCTATAGTGGATGCTGGAATCATGCCAGTGCAAATAAAAAATTGAAGAGATATAAAATACTTAGCATAATCAACAAAGAGTGCAAATGATCTCCATCGAATTCAATAATCGTAAATATATAATTAATGTTTATGACATAAATATATCATTAGCAATATAAACAAAGCAACTAGAGGTTCTGAAATATGTATACAAACAAATATATTGGCAAAAAATGTATTAAAACTTTGTCTGGATATTAATAAATTTGTATCAGCCAGCATCATTCATCAGAATTCCAAGTATGGCTTTATACACATTATCTCTGTTTCATTTATGCAAACATCAGCTCTGTGACTCTTGAATAACTCTAATGCAACAGATGACAAGCGAAAACAGCCATTCAAATATAAAATGGAGAGATTTCTGCACCCTTCCCTCAAAGCCTGTAAGCCATTGTCACATAGATTGCGGCAGCGATTAACATGCAACCTCTTCAAGTTCTTGCAGTGTAATCCCACTGCCTGCCATCCAGATATTCCCACTTCATGACACAAGGCTAAGTTCCATTCTTCCAGTAGTGGACATCCCTTGGCAATTATCCCAATAGTAGTATTAGTAACAGTTCTGCAGAGCCGAAAGTTAAGGATTTTGAGGCATGAAGAAAAACCTATTCCATGCAAGGGATCGCCCAAAGGAGACCAAATTAAACAGGAAACATCTAGATATTCTAGTCCTCCACCACTAACAATTCCCATGACCCCTTCTAGATTAAGCTTACATGACTCAGCCTCTATACATGCCAGAGTTTTTGAACACCCTTCAAAGCCAACACCGCTTACACCCGCACAGTGTGATATGTTAACTTCCTGAAGCTGGCGACAACCTTGTGTGAGAGCTTCTAACCCTTTGTCAGATATTTGTATGCAGTAGGAAAGGTTTACACATTTCATATAAAAGCAAGCATTGGCTAATGATTCTAATCCTTTATCTGTAACACGAACACACCGATAAAGACTAATTGATATCAATGAGGGACAACCAGTAGCAACCAGGGATAGCCCATAATCAGTTACTTTCAAACAACAATCCAGATTAAGTTTTCGCAAACTTGAGCCAAAACTTAGCAAGCGGGTCAATCCTGAATCATGCAGCCCTGTGCAATTGGACAGGGATAAAGATTCTAAGTGTTGAAATCTCCTCAGCAACCTATGGAGACGGAATGTGTGAATGTCAGAATCCTGTGAATAAAATGAAGGATTGAATATAGCGAGTGAACACTCAAATTGTAGTGATCGACTGTTGAAATTTTGAACATGGAGCCATCGGCGACAAGTAAGACCAAATGATTCACGATCAGTGCGACAATCTAAACCGTGTAAAATAATAGCAAGGCAATCATCTGGAAGGTGCATGATGGAGGTACCATCATTTGTAGAAAGATCTCCCATGTCAACCTTTTCAAGACTCTTCTAAAGAAGGCTGTAATGACCGAATCTTTATGGTGAATTTTCTCTGAGAGTTAGATGAAGTAGGAGACTCAAATCCACAGATAGCAGCTGATTCTCCACTATAGCCATAACCAACATGAACTCCACATTTACGACAAAGCAGTTTAGTCTTGGAACGATAAAACCAGAAGTCAGGGAAACAAGTTATATCATCAACCTGTGTAAATCGGCTGAGATCAACTGAAGCAAAAGAGATTGATCCTTTTTTAACAGATTTTGTATATTCAGATGCAATGTTAGATGTGATTCTATTTGATGATGTCAAATTCAGAGGGTATCCACATGAGCCACAACTGCAGTGGGCACCAAAATTCCAAAATAAAGTAACACATTATATAATAGAACATCAAAAAATGCCAATGCTTTTACAAAAACAAACTTGAAGAAACACCATCCCATTTCAAGTGAGAAAAATTCAGCATGCAGAGAGTTATGCTCTATGTGGAATATAATGTAAAGATCAAACTATCAGCATGTCCGGGAAATCATTCAGTCATTGACTCTTTTTTTTTCTTACATTTTGACGAGGTACCGCATATCAAATACCCAAACCCAAATAAAACGTGCAAGAATATGCACCACTTGACAAGCCAAAATCAAACAATTCACATATGCACCATATATCAAACATGAAATTCAGATTGAAAAATTTTCGTATTTGTTGACAACGGATCAAAAATCCAACACTGAAATTACGCTGATCAAGTGAAAAAGTTCGAAACTTGAACGTCGATCAACGCACGTAGCATATGCACAAACAAAACATTCAGTCATTCACATACCCAATAACACAGAATTACGCAATCAGGCATCAAAGAACAATGAAATAGCCAGCGACAATCAAAACCCAGAAAAAATTTCACAAATTTCGGACACCACGATACTCATCAAAAGCATATGAGAACAAATAATGAAGTGGGTATGAATTGGTGAAGAGAGAATTACCAGTAAGAGACATCAGCTTGTGACATAGTGATGGTCAGGAATGAGAATTGTCATGGTGCCTTCATTCTCTGATTTGCGAAATGAACGAATAGTTGCACAATTCGAACGTTCGATCAATTCAACGCCTTGCACTCGTGAATTTTGATGTCTACCCTCTGATTATCTACTTTCTCGTTCTCTCTCTATCCCCTAAGTCCACTTTCTGTACCCAGAACATTAATGTGCAAATTGTTTTTGGATTTTGTCCTAGAAAAAAAAAACAAAAGGAGGTGGCGTTTTTAAGGCATTCACTTTAATTTTGATTAAAAAAATTAGTAACAAAGAATTAATAAATAATATTACGTATTAAAAATTTATAATATTTCATGTTATTAATGTGTTAAACTTTATAATGTTTTATCATATATTTTTTTTAGTTATTATGTATTTTTAAAAGTTATAAAATATTATAAAATTCAATGATATATTAATATTAGATGTTATATTTTAGTTTAAAACATGAATTTATTCATCACTTTTTAATATGTATAAAAAAGCATATCTTAAAAATAAAAATTGTAACCAAAATTATTACATTGATAAGATTAAATATATATTTTTAATTAAAAATTACTAATTTTAATTTTTTAACATCTACTTTTAAATATACATTAAAAAATTATTTATTAATTTTTAAAATGTGCGGCGCTAATATGTAGCATAGTGGATACGGTAACACGATAACAGTAATTAGAAACAAAATATAAAAAGAAAATGTATCTTTTATTTTTTATAACGAATTTGAGAACTCTTCATTAAAATTAAAATGGAATCACAATAGATACTGAGCTTATTTGATAAGTTCTCTAAATAAAAACATTCGATATTACGATATTATTTAATTTTACAATATTTTAAAAAATTTACATTAATATTTTAATAATTTTCATTTACTATTTGATTTAATAGTATTTTATTATTCTTTAATTTTGTATTATTTATAATATAATCAATGGTTGAATAATTGATTTAGGGTAATTGAAATATTAAAAGTTTTTAAAATGTGAAAGTATCGTAGAGAACTAAATTTTAAGTTTTGAACATCTGAAAAATTGACAAAACAAAATGCGAATGATTACAATTAAAAAAATAAAATTACACATAAAATAATATCTAGACAAATGTGGAATTAATTTTTTAAATTATATAAAGACATGGACAAAGTTTGAAGAAGGAATTATACTAAAATCAGTAGAGTTTGATTTTGAAAAATGTTATTTGTTTGATAATTTTATTTTATTTTTATAAATTAAATAGAGATACCAAAAGTGATTAAATAAATGGTATGTTGAAAAAAAGTATTATTATAAAAAATCATTGTAACAATAAATAACTAAAAATAAATGACCAACTCCCGTTCTATCTCCCAAAGGACATGAAATTGCAATAAAATATTTTCAACTCCTGTTAATATATATTTCTTTTTAACTAATTTTCCTAATTTATTTTTAAAAAAAATATAATCTATATTAGGAAAATACTAATTATAGATAACTAGGTATTATTATTTTAAGAGAAGGAATAGACACAATTTTTTTTTTGTCAGAAAAGGAATACGTACTACGAGGAGTGAATGTTTTTCCTCAAATCACAGTTGGCCCAAGTCATTTGGACCGGCCAGAAAGGTTGCTTCAATATTGAGCCCATCTAGATAAAAAAGCATTGGGCCATCGGGGCCTGAGGCCCAAAGGTTCTATCCTCAATCCTCATTCATTTCCCTCAACAATGGCGGACTGAAAAGAAAGGCTCTGTAAAACCTAACCTGAAACGGTTCGCAAAGCGCAGCAAAATCCTAAAACCCCCCCAAATTGAGCTTAATCTCTCACTCCCCCTCTTTGATGGCAACGTCCCTTCTGAAAGCCCCAACCAATGCACTCCACAGACACCACAATTACACCACACTCTTCTCCAGAGGCCCAAGTGCAAGGAACACTGTTCCCATTACGCAGAAGAAGACATCTCGTTTTTTCCCTATAGTGTCAATGGTAGCAACCACGCCGGTTCAGACTTTCCTTGAAAAGTCTTCGCTTTCGCTCCAGAACACTGGTCTTCCAATAATGGTAATTTTCCAGCTTTTGGGTTCTTGTTTAAATGCCTACTTTTTTTTTTTCTCTTCTGGTAATCCAACTTGTTAAATTACTGATATTTCACTTTGCATTACTTTATGTACCGTGTTAAAGTGCAACTTGCGAGGGAGAAGCTTTTTTTTTATTTTTTTTTTTAATGTTAAGTGAGGTTAATTATTTCTAATGAACTCTTAATTGGACTCAGTGGTTAAAGGTCATATAAGATGTGATATAGTTCACCAAGTTGTTGTGTCGTGTTTTTGTATCAACCACTTTTAACTCACAGTCATGAAACATCTGCTTACAGATCATGTTTGATGATAGCTATGCACCTCAAATTGTATGGTTTTATGTATTTAATCAAAAGGATGGATGTTAATTTTAAAATATTGGGGTTTCCGTTTTAATCTTATTTGATTATATTGTTTGTTTTATAACATCCTATGCTCTGTCTCTGTTTTAACTTACTCCTATTCACTTATAGCGTCATTCTTTCCTTTAGTTTTTCTCCACTTCATAATATTTTCTTCTTGTGTCAGCTTGGACATTTCCATCCTCAGTTGACAGTTTTTTTTTTTACTTGAATATTCTTTTTGCTTCACTATTTTTTGGGGGTTACAGGGGTTAAGACCGTGAGGTGTTCGGCTGTTCCCACACCCCTATTGCTGTGAAACTAATTCTCGCTTGGGCATTGAGTTGGCCCTAGCCACAAAGTACTTATAGTGACTCCTATACGGAATATAAAGTCCACCTATGTGGAACTCAGTTTGCCAACATAACCATTCCTTGTGGTTTGAATTTTTTTTATTTTTTTAATATGCATGCTTTTATGAATCCGAACCATAACTATTGGTATTTCTGTCGCACTTTCTTGATGCCTTATTTTAAAAGCTTGTGCACATTTTTTTTTATTTAGGTTAATGCATGTACTGGAAAAATGGGAAAGGCTGTGATTAATGCAGCAGAATCAGCTGGCCTGCATGTTGTTCCTGTGTCATTTGGGTGTGAAGAGGAGTCTGGACAGACTTTTCAGATCTCTGGAAAGGAGTTTCTTGTGCACGGTCCTTCTGACAGAGAGAGTGTTCTTGCATCTGTCCTTGAGAAATATCCAAATTTGATTGTTGTGGACTACACAGTACCAAGTGCAGTCAATGGTATATATTTTGACGGATATTTCTTATCATTGGAATGAAGCCTAAACTCAATCTTCTCTTCTTTTTTTTTTCATCTTTTATAAAGTGAATTATGAAATCTTGCACCTGGTAAAGGAAAGGCAAAATCATATGTTACAAATTCATACATTTTAAAGTTTTTGTCATGATTTATGTAAAAATGAAACATTTTGTATTTTTTAGGCACACAGTTCTGTAAATCGTAAACATAGGAATTGACGATAACGTATTTGACAGCATAGAATATGTGGACACTACTTGGCCTTCTCACTGACCAGTTTATATTATGAACCTGCAATTCAAGACACGTGTCCTGACAGAAACACTGTTGGACTTTCGATTTTATGATGTAGGATTAGGATTATTTTACGAAGATTCTAATAGTGTTGGAGCTATTTATGATTTCATTCTTATATGCAGGCAATGCAGAATTATACAGCAAGGTTGGGGTGCCGTTTGTGATGGGGACCACTGGTGGAGATAGGGACTTGTTGTATAAGACTGTTGAAGACTCAAAGATTTATGCTGTGATATCCCCACAGATGGGAAAGCAGGTATATCATAATATCAGAGAACCTTGATCAAATTTAATCTCTTTTTTACAGTCCTGTATTTTGTCATCCTTATGTTGCTATACTTTTTTCCTTTAGGTTGTTGCTTTTCTTGCAGCTATGGAAATTATGGCAGAGCAATTTCCTGGAGCATTCTCTGGGTATTCCTTACAGGTAACTCTTTTGCTGCATTGACATTTTGGGTCTCGGGGAGGGTTTTGTTTTTGTTAAGGATGCTTAATTATGCTAGTACAACCTTTGAATTGTCTCTGCTTAGCCGATGTTAAAGTGGGAAAAAAAAAACTTTTTAAGGGGGGAAAGGGGGCACCGAGTCATCCTTTTCCCCCATGTGTATCGTTCAATTTCTATTCCTACTGTCACTAAAATGACCAGCAGAGGTTGTACTACAATCAAAAAGTAAAAATATCATTGTTTCTTAAACCCTTAACTTCAAATCTTTAATGGTTCTTTTCTTTTAATTAAGCTTCTGGCTGATGTTTTATTAAAATCTGATGCATTCGTCCAAGATTGTAGGTATTGGAGTCCCATCAAGCAAGCAAAGTTGATGCATCTGGAACTGCAAAGGCTGTGATTTCTTGCTTCAACAAACTGGGTGTGTCTTTTGACATGGATCAGGTGTGTTACCATCTCATTGAATGAGTTATTGTGGTAGTATCAAGTATGCTCTTGACTTTTGCTAAGCTTCTTGCTTGCTGATCCTCGGTTCTGTGTGTGGTCTGAATTTATTAGAAAAACATATATCTTAGTTTCAGCTATAGGTCACATTGGAGGTTTTTATGGTTTCTAATCACATGCCAGTTGTCAGAGAATTTTCATTTGTAGGACATTCAGTGATCTCTCACTTAATTTTAATATGATTTATTGGTTCTTAAGTTTTGTTGATATTAAGGTTGATGTAATGTGCTTAACTTCATGTTACCACTAAGTTGCCACTTCGTTCTTTGTACATGGCACCGTTGTGGTCTTTACATTAGAACTACATATTCTTACTAGATTTTCTTTTTCTTTTCTTCTTTCCAACGATTTCTTTAGATAAAATTTATCAGAGATCCCAAGCAACAAATTGAAATGGTGGGAGTCCCAGAGGAGCATTTGTCGGGTCATGCATTTCATATGTATCATTTGACATCCCCCGATGGAACGTAAGAATTTAACATCTTCATTTCATTATCATTTTCTTTTACATGTTTTGACATATTTCTTTTGAATAATCGTTGCAGAGTTACATTTGAATTTCAACATAATGTTTGTGGTAGATCAATATATGCAGAGGGCACTGTTGATGCTGTAATTTTTCTTGCTAAGAAGGTGCTTATACCATTTAATTTACTTATCACATCATCTAATTAACCATCTTAATGTATGATTAGTAGTGGTCTTCGCTTTTAAAAAATATAACTATGATTGATGTATTGCTGACAAACATGCTTGATTCATACAGATTGAAGCAAAGGATGACAAGAGAGTGTATAATATGATAGATGTTTTGCGAGCGGGTAATATGCGATGAATTTTTCTATGGAATCTGGATGCAAGATGTCAACTGTAGAACTTGCTTTTTGACATTCTGGTTTTTGAGAACCAACCATTTTCCATCTTCTTGCCGTTCTCTGTCGGGAAAGCTTTGTGAGCGTAATGTACCATCATGTATTATTTGGAATCAATCATAACTACATAAAATAAACAAGGAGCTTTCTGGAATCAATTTCAACCTTTTCGTTTAGTTTCTCATAAACTTAATAATCATATCACCTCACAATCCCGTTTCTTTTAATTTTTTCAACTTTTATCGTTATGAATATTCGTGAACTGAAATTGGAAACCTGATAGGTTGGTATCAAGAATTAAAAAAATTTCATCTTGGTAAAACTAACTTCTAAATCGAATTTTTATCTTGGAAAATATATAAGCTTTTTTACACATTTAGTGTCTGTTGTTCCAATTACTCCATTTCTTGTAATGTAACATTTTTTCTTTCACAAAAATGCTTCGTAAAACTGTATAATTCATTTTTGGTTAAGCGAATCTACCACATTTACGCCCTTGTGGATTATCCTATTCAGGAAGAAGGTCGTTCCTCCTTGAAGACAGAAATGGTTCTCCAACTTGAACATCCTTATCGTTAGGAACCTTCTTCAAATCCTTAAAGAACACTTCAACCTTCTTAAGATTCTTTCGTGAACCCTCCTCTTTCTCCTAAAAAAACACCAACTTGTCATCACCACCCTCAACCTCATCCTTCTTCCTCTTACTACCAACTCTCTTTCTACCCTTTCCCTTCTTCCCATCTTCATTTTCATTTGAATTTGACCGTCCGGTTGAAGAAGAGCGAGTTTCTGATCGACTCAGCTATATCCAAGCCTAGTTCGGCTTATTCGGATGTGGGGTCGTCGGGTTCGGGAGAGGGTTGAGAAGGGGCTTGAATGGATCGAATAGGTAAAGGGCAAGTGTGGGAGTTGGATGGACGATTGATTATCATTTCGTATTGAAGAGGGTATCGGGTGGGGATGGTTGAGAAAGGTTTTGATGTTATGGGATATGGAGAGAAGGGTCTTGAAATTGAAGTTGAGGAGGGAGCATTAGCCAGCAAACCCAATTGTGAAGAATGGGAGAAGAAAAAGGAGGAGAACGTTGATTTCAGCATTTCCAATCTAGTGCCAGTGCCCGGTGCAGTGTATGTATTTTGTGCTTCCCTGTGTTGCGGAGTGAATGGGTTAAGGAAATGAAACTGGAAAGGGGACGATATCATAATTGGAGGAGATTCCGATCACAGCCCAGGCCACGACGCTACGGAAAATATGTATAATCGAATATAGGGAGTCAGATACTCTGGGTACCTGCACCGTAATTTTTTGAATGTTCTAAAAATAATGACATTTTATTTATATGTAACAGCATTTTCAAAGATATTCAATATTTTACATGATATATTTAGCATTTTAACTAAAATCCTAAGATAATTAGGAAAAAAATGATTTTATAACTATGAGAATATAGCGTTTTCAGTTTCATAGCATTATTTAACTTGCCAAGGTACCAGTTAAAAAACTAAGAAATATAATGACGTGGGAGGGCAGTCTGTAATTTATATTTAAAAAACCGTATTGGCTAGTAAGTACCATTTAGGGTTTAGGGTTGTGTTAAAATACAATAAAATACTTGAAGGTGAGTACATTTTAATGTTCTCTACATTTAAACTCGTTAGTAATTTGTTTGCATGAGAAAGTAACCTTAGCCTTGTGTATATAATATTAGTCAGAAGCGAGAAATTGACCAGAAGATTCAATTCAAGCATGAGATTACACGCTCTACACCTGATACCAGAAATGGGTACATGTTGGTTTGAAATATTAAGCATAAATGATTTAATCATTCGTAACAAGTTGTGAAGGGCAACGGTTGCATGTTATACCAGTTACCAACAATCAAAACTTTAGGATAACACATCAACACAGGCGGATTTCATGGTTAACATAATCTTTTGGGGAACCATACCGAAAGGTATAACATAAATCCAGGCTAACACCAAATTGACCAAAAAAAGGCTTACTCAACTACTAAAGTATCCAAAATTTGTGACCTAGAAAATAAATAGTGCAGGCAAATAGATTTCCCAGACAATGATTCTATAAATGCAAAATATGATAGTTCTACTACTGAAGCAATGACACCGCATCAGCAAAGAACATTCACTCGTCATCCTCATCGTCATCCTCAGGACCATCAGCAGCAGAGTTGAGAGCCTGCAAGCGAGCTATCAACTTAGCCTTCCTCTCTTCATAAGTAAGCCTCTTCAAGTTGTACCTGCCGGAAAATACAGATACTCTCAGAAATTTGCACCAATAAGTAAATGCTGAAGCTAATCTTATGAATAACTGCAAATACAGTAATCCAACAGTCGGTCCAAATCAACTTGCCAGAAATCAAATGACAAACAATTTGCATTCATTACATTATTTCTATAATCTAATCTACTAGTTCAATCACAATCAGTTTTACCTCTTGTGTTCCTTTGGTGGCTCCTTCTCAGATTTCTTGATAGTAGGATCTGCACGAATTGCTGCATGGACCTTCTTGTACAGCCCCTCAAGACCATCAGCATCTATTCCTTGCTTGATATATTCACTGAAGTGTGACTGGTATTTCTCTGGTTCATCCTCCATCAATGTCTACAGAAAATATAAAATAGGCTGTCTTAACAAATATTTGAAAAACCCTAATATTGCATTCAAATTAAAGAATTACAACAGAATAGTACTAAAATATATCATTTTTGCCCATGCCTTCATATAAGCGGCAACATGTCCCCCAAAGATATATTTGCGATGAACCTCAGCATCAAGCTCCTTCTTCTCCTTATCAAAGCCAGCAAACCTTTTCTCACTGTGAGGAATATCCAAACCACCATCCAAAGCTCCCTGTAAACCAATACAACTATTCAATTCCATCACCATTAAAACAAAATCAAACTAGCTAGCATTAGCATTGCAGAGTAATATTGAGTACCTTAAGGGCACCAAAGACACGATTGCCAGTTGTGGTTTTAATAAGACCAACGTCAAGGAGAGCACGGAATGGCCTCCTGGTCTCAGCAGGTTCCACAGAAAAATCCTCTCCAGTAGCCTGATAAATAGGATACAACTAATTAGCTTGAAACTAAAATAGAAAGATAAGAGAGAGAGCACGGCAAATTCATAGATACCTCAACATTTCCCTCATACTCCTCATCCATTTCAAGCATTTTCAGGACTCTTCGGGCCAATAAGAGTCCAGTGCAGTAAGCTAAGACATGCAAGGAAAGAATGTGTAAACAGAAGGACAACTGAACACACAAAAGCCTTGAATGAGGAAATGGTAGGGGAGAAAGAACTTTCTCTTAAACAAAAGTACCTGCGGCATAGTTTGTAAGGCCTACTTTCAAGCCATAGCGTGGCAGCTCATGTGAGTATGCTGCAGCAAGAACAATATCACCAGCAATGCTAGCAGATACTATTTGTGCAGTGATGTCCTTGTTGGTCTAATAACATGGTTAAGGTTTGTACTCACAGAAAAACATCAACAGACAAATAACTCCAATTAATATTATGATATGCTCATTGCTCAAGTTTTATTGACCATCAATAAATAAAAAACAATAATAACGTTTCAAGGACTTAAAACCATCTCTTCATGAAAGAAAATTACATAAACCTACAATACAGGCTAAGATAATAGTAGGATACAAAGCGAACCACATAGCGGTATTTAGGGGTGTTGTACTTGTTCTTGTCCTGATTAATTAACCGAATCCGAGCTCGGTAATCAGTTTTTCCCTCTGCAGATTATGCAGTAAACAAAGTCACCAACAAAAACGAATTAAGCACGATATATAACAATAAAACACCACGAAGCAACATAATCGAATAATATACCTCTTCTTCTCTTGAACTTCACTTGATATCTCTTGAAGTAGGCCTTTGTTTTCTGAGCCTTAACATAAGCCTTCAATATGCACCCAAAAAATGTCGATACAGATAGTCAGAAATTACATAGGAATATTCAGCCGCATAACAACCCGAGTATTGATTAAAACTGATCCATTGGAAGCTACCAAACACAAAAGCTTAGAACACAAAATAGTATGGGTAATTGAAATGGGCAATCATGAAAATGACAGCAAGAACAAAAACCACAACAAAACTTTACCTTCCCCCAAAATTACCCAAAACCCGTAACCCACAAACAGCAATCTAAGGAACGGAACAAAGAGAGGAAAACTGTAAATGCAAAATAAGCACCACAAATGGGAACACTACTGAAACGAAACAAGGATAACTGAAATTCAAATTCAGCGAAAATACGAAACATGCTACGGAGAAGGAGAAGGAAAGTGAAGCGAAAAGTGGAAGACACGCACCATTGCTGTGAAGCTCGATCTTTTCCCAGGGGGTGATTGAAAAGAGTGAGAGCAAGTTAGGGTTTGCAAATATTTTGCTTATAAGGGGTTACTTTGAGTGGGTCGGGTCGGGCCATTTTGGGGTTTTAGGGTTTCATGGGTACAAATTGGTTTTGGGTATTCGTTCGAGAGGCTCAAATTGGGCTCAGCCGCTTGATTTTACTATTAATCCCTGACATGTTTAAATTATGATTCAACTATGATGTTCAAACCCAAAAAAAACTCTCATGTTAGTTTTTAAAATTAAATAAATTGCATACTTTTATGTAATAAAATTGTAAATGGTTTGAAATTGAAAAAAATAATTTATTTATTTATTTGCAGAGTTAAGAACTAACGGAAAAAAATTATAAAAATATTCAAAAACTAAAATATACATTTAAGGATTTAATCTTTACCTATTACATAACTTTAATAATCATTTATTTAATTGATCTAACAAGTAAAAACTTTTAACTGAATTTATGCATCTCGATGTTAGCGTCAAACATAATAATATGATGAGATATTATTTTTCACTGTAAGTTGTAATCTTGATAGTGGAAGAAGCTTTTACTTGTTAGTAGTTTTTATAATGCTCAAAACATCTTGCGTTGCATGAATTACTTTTACCAAGCGTGTCAAAAATATAATCACTAATATATATAATAAAAAATTAATAATAATACTTTTAATTAAAATTAGAACATTTAATATTATTAAAGTTTACGATACCAAGTTACAAAGTTTTATCGTATTAAAACTCAGAATATATTAAAACAAAGAAAAATGTTATCGATTGAATTGCTTATGCTTGATGATTTCGATTGACATAAGCTAATATTCCAAACGGCTTCTTTATTAATGAGCTAGGCCGTAATCACAGTAAACACTTAGATAATAACCTTTTGTTCGTAAATAACTAGATGTGTAAGCTTCATTTAAACATCTGGCGCTTTGATAATGCTGTTTATTTTCCAGTTGGTTAAACGAATTATATTTTAAAACTTGGACTGTTAACGAGTTTCCAAATGGAGATTTGTATTGTTACAATAACTTATCTTCCGTCAATGAACTTTTTTGGTTTTCAAAGGTTAAGGTAAATTTTGATCAAAACTTCATTTGCATAATGGGCGTGTACAGTTGAATCATTTATAAAATTAAACAAAAAAAATACAATTTTCTTTATAGGGAACTTTTTAAAAAGAGAAAATTGATTGCTATGTACCCAAAGCACATAAACAAAGCCCTTCCAATCAGAAGGCCCCAAAAACAAAAAATATTAGAAATGTCGTACGTTACACCAACGCTTTTCCCAATCATTTAACGACATTAATAGTCATACGTAATATGCAACCATTGTCAAAGTAGTGTGAGAGACACATGTTAGAAGGTAACCATAGCTCAGATAGCATCAGAAAGTTCACACCAATAGTTAATACCCAACCAATTATACAGCGGTTGACAACCCTCTATTAAAAAGTCTAAACTAAATCTCTAACTCCCTTCAATTTACAAACTTTAAAGTTGTCATCCATTTCTGTGAAATCTAATAGAATACAGAGTTTTTGTCCTAAGAAAGAAACTGACAGGCAAAGAATTAGTTCGGGTCTTGATGGATTTAGATTTTAAAATTTAGCTGATCCATCCCTTTGAAAACTGTTAGCACTTAGCTGTAATTTTGGACTTGTAATATGCCAAAACTACATAATGAGCCAGTGCAATGACTGGTTTCAACCAGCTGCCACAGCATCAGCTCGAGGATTTGTATCCAGTAGTTGATGCAGCTTTGCACCAGAGTTCGTTTTATTCTCACAGAAATCAGTCTCACTCTCTGCAGTTCTATCATTAGAACTGGAATTATTAACTCTTGATAGTAAGTTTTCTGTACTCACAGGTGTAGCCCTCTTGCTGTCAATGCTGCTCAAAATTATTTCTTCTGTTCGTCCCGGATCAGATTTTCCCAGTTTTTCCTGAGACAAAATTAACTAAGTATTCAATATCACAGAATGTTTATGAAATGCCACAGTTTAAAGGAATATTTTTCCAAATTGTACCCTCAATGCAGAATTTTCCATCCTCAGCTGCTCAGAACTTTCAGTCAATTGATTTATTTCTGATTTCAGTGACACATTCTCAGTCGATAACAGTTCAACTTTTCTTGCCAATTCTTCGGTCTCAGCCTAAACAAAGGAAATATGAATGTTAGTGGTGAACTTTCCTCGTGTCAGAACAACCGTTTTCCTTTTTAGTTATTTTATTCTATTTTTTGACTAACAAATTTATGCCTTTCATCAGACAACTAAAGAAATGATGGAAGATTTGCAAGTCAACAAAAGAATAATTTATACCTGCTTCCTCAGCCTAGATCTTCTAGCAGATTCACGGTTGGACTGTTTCCTCCTCTCCCGTTTCAGCTCACGCTCATTCTGAGGAATTCAAACATACATACATGAATTACTTTACCATCAGCAAAAGATGGAGGGTACCGAATAATTGCTCTAATGTGTTTCACAAGCATCTCCAAAGTACTAGAGTAAATATGATCTGAACCATTACGATGAACTATAATCTGACCATACCTGTAACCAAGCTTCAGAAGGCAAAACTCCACAAGGTTGTGGAGCACTTGCAGAATTTGCCTTAGAATGAACAGCGGAAGGGTTCCTAAGCTCCAGTGCTGAGGTCATACCTGAAGAAACTGCAGGTCCAACTAATTTTTCTGCAACACTCGTTGGGGTAACTGGCATAATCTTTTTAGAAGCTGAAGTCTCTTTGGAAACTGGACCATCTTGTATCTCAGTCTTCCCTTCTCCATCTGCTTGTACAGTTTGATAATATATAACCATCAACACACAGCTAACAACCTAACTCCTAAAATTACTAGCTTAAGAAACTTGGAAGATAAATATCACATTCTGGATGCAAGTATATCAATTTATTGATAATTGCATACGTAGTACACCAAAAGCATGACTGTATTAAGTCAGAAAAACAGGTAAAAGCCCATCCTAGTGTCAAATTTGTCAAACTAATCACAGAGTTCAAGCTTGGGTAATTTCATAATATTGTGCATAAATAATAGGATAGTATCAACTCATCAAGACCATAATACCATCCTCATGATCTGGTTGACATCATTGTACAATGATGACACTAGGTAGTATAATTGTGATTCAGGACAACTCTATTGTTCATCCGGATGTAACAGTAAATAAGAGTCATACCAGTAGTTGGTGTTCCCGTTCGGCTTCTTTTCCTTCTTGTTTGATTAGCCTGAGCATAAAATTAGAAAATAACATTGTCTAATGCTTCAATTTGTCAGATCATTTAGAATAAAATAGAATGTTGGAGCACATGGACAAGAAAAAATATGTTAATAGTGAGAAAGTTCTCACCCCTGCAGTGTTACCATCACTTCCATCACTTGAACCCTCAGCATCCACACTGTCGATATCATCATAAAATCATTCATTTATTCATATCAGCCTAATAGAATAATTGACTCATGGACCAATCTTCTATATGGAGACGGGGGAAGTAGAGTTCATTTTGGTAATGCTCAAATAGAAAGAAACCTATTAACAAACCTCTGTGACAGCCTGTTTTCAGCCCCACGCTCAGCACTCTCAGCATTGCAATTGCCTATTGACATTGCAAGCCCATCAAACCCTTTCAATTTCTTCATTAAACCCTGATCAGTATTTCCAGATAATTTGGTTGGTGTTTCCACACTCGAAGGGGTCCCAGCCTGCATCATTGCACCAATTTATAGTATTCAGAGAATTAATCCGAAGATTGGGAGCTAGGAAGGCATCTAAAGAGAACATCAAAACTTACAGCAGGAGAAGAAGGAACTCCTTGACCATGTGAATGTGGCCCCTATATTTTACCAATACAATTCATGAGTACAACAGAAAATATTCAATAACAAAGGTTTGTTACAGTAAGAAGATCAAGGAATGGACAGGTTGATAACAGCTGAAATGCACCCATGTATAAAATAAGTTTGAAAATACCGAGGGGGAAAAAGGTAATCACATCTCAATCTATTCCTAATCTTTCAATTTGTGGTTGAATACGTATAAATTATTACAAACAAAACACACAAACAAAGAGCAGACTTACAATAGCAACTGCAGGGTGAGTATAAACCCCTCCATGTGAATAAAATGCTGCATAAGGAGGCCCATAAGGTGGCATCATAGGCTGTAAGAAACAATTAGTTGGCAAATTATTCACCCCTGCCATCTAGGATGTATACAAGGAAGGAACATCCAACAAAGCACAAAAATGGTAATGGTAAAACAAGATAAATGTTTCTTTAGGGCGCTACCTGTGGGGGTCCCCACATGTATGGGTGTGGAGCATGACCAGAAGAAGCCACGGCTGAGTTGAAGTATGGTGGAATGTTGACTCTCGGCCCATAATACTTACATATGGCAAAATGGTTGACAATTCACAAGAGAGAAAACAGTTTTTATCAGATCATTGGTTTAAGAATAAGGAAAATTGGAAATGCATGGACAATACTTTTCAAATGAAAGTAGCTGATGTTTTCATAGGACTGTGTAGAAGCAGAATACAGATTTTGAGGCATGGAATAAATAGAGATGATGAGCATAATGATGATCTGATAAGTACATATCGATGTAGATTATAAAAGCATTCAAAAGAGTTAAAATATTCAGTAGAGAATCCAAATTTGGTGATTCAGACAGATTAAACCTGGCCGTTAGTGCAAAATTGACTAAATGTGAGTAACACTGTTTAAAATACTACAAATTTTCGCTTTTGTATAAAACTTAAAACTACTACAATTTTTAGAGCAGTTATTTACATTAAAGTGATTTTAGCTTAGCAGATAATTACAATGAAAACTTCAGTCATTGATGAATGTACAAAAGAAATGAAGGCAAAAGGTAGGTAACCTGCATGGCAGCCCAATCAGGGTAGACATGAATGTTAGGCTGGTTGGCCTGATTGGTTTGATCCTGTTATGAAACAAGGTAAGAACAATACTATTTAGGTACAATCTTCACGAATTGTTTCCACACACATGAATTCATAAACTGTTCTCAGCTTACAGTTGTTACGGGTGAAGAAGGATTTCCATTCTTAACGGGTTTCCCTTCCTCACTGTTTCCCATGAGGTAAGCTCCAAAAGAAATGCACCAAGTCAAATACTCCCCGACAAATTATTCAGCTGCATCAAAAGGAACTATGTCAGCTGCTATCAGCAAGAAATATGTGGAAAAGAAGACTAGGAAAATTCATAAACCAGGATTTGTGCACTTCAAAACCTACTCATTATCCTAGATAGATTCAAAACAGGTATAAATAAATAAATAAAGCAGAAAGGAAGATCAATTCCATGGTTTCAAAATTATTGCTTCATAAACCAAACATTAAAGGAGTGAGAGGTCTAGGCTAATAGGCTTCTAGCAAGAATACAATAACAGCGTTTAAATTGGTTTGCTATGTTAATGACTAGTTAGCATTCAGACAACATATTATTAGAAAATAATTTCAGCTGTTTGACATTATGATGGTGTAAGCTACTACTATAGAGATGGCATCATACAAATTTTACAATTTTCTTCCAAAAGGACCACAAACATAACGGAATCAAAGACTTAATAGTGTGTCAAAGCAGAATGGTAGAGGGTCAACTATGTCTTTTTGGTACCCCACAAGCCTGGTAGAAAGCGATGAACACAAACTAACAAAGCATAATTACAAATCGAACCCCAACAGAACAATCCGGGAACATAATGACAAAAAAGCCCTTCAAATAAAAAAAATCACTTTCACATGGGGTGAGACGACTATTGAAACTCCTAAATTTGCTACCTGAACCCCCATAGTTTTTAATTTACAGGTTTGAACCCTGATCCAAAACACTCTCTTCTCTTCCCTTGTTCCCTTGCTGCTATTTCATGCGGAAAAAATAAATTTACAATAATAATTAGAAAATAAAAATCCAAAAAAGGGAATCAAAACACAGAAAGCACGCAAATTCAAAGATGTTAACACATACAAAACAAGATCCAGGACACTCCCAACTCCAACCCTCTTGTTCCAGTAGCTACAAATAAAAAACCACCCAAATTCAAAAAAAGAAAACACCACGTTATGATTTTCGCTGTTTCCACAAACCAAAAAATAAAAATAAAAATTCAAACTGAACTAGATAATTTGTTCTGCCGTGCGTGCGTAGGTTTCTACCACGGTTTTCCCTTAATAATAAAACTTCAATTTTCCATCACCCCAAAAAACAAAATCAAATCTTTCTGAAGTTAACTTCAAATTTGAACCAACAAAGCACTGGAATTCCACGTACCTGAAAAACACCCAACTCTATCGTCAAGGGGGGTAAAAAAACGAAAGCGAAAATCCCCAATTAAAAAACAAAAAGGAGGAACAACAACAATTGGTCCTGGTAGCTTCGAACTATCCTCAAATTAAGGTTTGGAAAAGCAATTATGCAACTTCTCTCTCTACTTTCTCTCTCTTAAAAAACGAGGGAAAGAGCATGGCATTGAGAGAGAGAATGAAGGGGTGGTGAAAAAGGAAGAGGAGAGAGAGAAGGCAGTTTCCACGTCACCATACACGTGTCGTATGAAGAGGTGGCGTATGCGTACGCCGTATATACGGTGGGTTTGGCGAGTGTGGTGGTTGTTGAGCTGGCCATTTATTTATTCCAGCGTCATCACCACCGTACACGTGGTGATCTGTCAGGGGTCCAACCTAGTTGCTGTTTACCCTTCATGTGGGCTTACGTGGTCTTTAACATTTTAAATTATTTTATTTTATCGGTTAATTAATTGGAAGATATTAACTACCGTTCAATAAATAAAAGGTAATATTTTAAAAAAATAATTATCCTAATTTAAAAATATGAAAAAAATTAGAACGGAATCAGATAATTATATTGTAAAAAAATTATAAATATAAAGTGACGTGTGTTTTGATATCAAAACAAGTGACGTGTGTTTAAACCTGTGCGGTTTCTAATTAAACTAAATTTAACAAGTCCTTTGGGATCCACGAATAGCTGTTTTGATTTTTCACTCTTCTGACGCGCCACGTTGAGAAATTCTGATATCCTCTCTCTTCCCTATTTTGGTGCACAGAAAAGAAAATGAAAAAATACAAAATTTAATTTTAAAAATCACTGTAATTTTATTAAATTATATATATATATATATATCATTTTTTACATGATTTTATTTTTTATCAAAATATATTATAATGATAAGTATTTATATTTTTTAAACATGTTTTTAAGTTTAACATTGTAGTTACGGTTAAGGGTAAAATAAGTCAGATTCTCCTTAGGCCGAGTTTTTCATGTTAATTTACGTTAGACTTAGATCAAATTTGACCTATATATTAAATAAAATAATGAAGATATTTTAAAATGTTTATAATTATATACTTAAAAAATAAAAATTGTTAGATTTTAGATCAATAAAAAAATATTTATATCATATGGGATTAAAAAGTAAAACAAAACAAGTTAACCAATCAGAAATTTGTTTAAACTAGAAACAGTTTATTTACATGAATATAAATTATATGAAATAATAATAATAATAATAATAATATAGGTTTTTAAATTATAATTATTATCTTTTTTCTATAATACTTTTAAATTATATAATTTTCTAGTCTATATTTAAAAGTTTAAGCCCGATAACATACGTGTATACTTACTTATACTCGTATTAATCTATTCAGAAACAATTTTTAACTTATTTAAAATGTATACAATAAAAAAATTACATTAAGTTAAGCTTGAAATACAAACAAAACTCAAATCTTATAAAATAGTTTTTTTATCAAATAAATATGTTAAATTAATACCTTGAAAACTTCTTCGAGGAACTGTTTGTGAGTTTTTCGTTTTAATCTTTTTGGACGCATGATAGCAAAGACCATAATGTTTATGCATGATCATTTATTTTCTTTTCTCTTTATCTTTTTTAAAGCCTTAACCTATGATTATGCTATGGAGTACTTTCTAAACATTATTTAGAATCTATAATTTATTGGTTTTATTTCAAAATATATATACTTTTATAATGTTTTAATTTTTTATATTTCTCTTAACCATATCACTTATCCTTTTTTTTTAATTTATGTCTCTAAGTTATAAAAAAAAATATAAAAATGATGAGAGAGAATAAAATTTCTATTTTAATATAACGTGGAAAGTTGAGAAACTGAAGCTGGTAAAGTTCACTCATTATATGCAAAATGTTGTATATCTAAAGAACTATGTTTAAATTAGTTAAATTTAACATATTATATTTATATATATATATATATATATATATATATATATATATATATATATATATGTGTGTGTGTGTGTGTGTGTAATGACAAAAAGGTCTAAAGATATTCATTTTTAATAGCACGTGAAATATTTTTCAGATATTTAGATATTTATGATTCATTAAAACAGAAGAAAAATAGACTCATGCATGCTTATTTAAATGCTTATGGTTATCGTAGGAACTTGCAAAATGATATGCATAGGCCTTAAACATCTTGCATCTCATGACTATGATATTTGATATACATACAAGCATCTAAACCCTCTTAGCTTTCTTTATTCAAATAGCAAAAAAAATAAAGAAACTAGAAGATTGTTTATGCCTCGTAGACACTTAGGATGTTAGGCACTTGGGCCATAAGATGCTTAAATATAAAAGAAATAATCAATATTCTCTTTTCTCTTATTGCACCATCAATATTTGGTCATAAGATGCTTTTGTTTCGTTGCATTTAGACATCGTAGTTGAATTTGATCTCATGGGTGTTTATTTGACTTTGATTTTATTTTCACGAAATTTTTTGTTCTGCTTACGTTTGATTTGGGCTTTTATTTTAATGGAGACATGAAATTAGGAGTAAACATGGATATCTAATTATTTTTATTATCATTTTGTAGTAAACAATTTATGTCTTAAAATAAAAAGAAAGAGTCTTTGAATATTGAGTGATGGATACTTTTAATATTTAACAAAAATTTCTAGAAGAATGTATTGGTTAAATTTGATTTTAGTCCATATAAATTTCTAAGGTATTAAAATCGAGTTAAAAAATATTAAATTTAATTTAAACTCAAATTTAAAAAAATTAAATTCTTCATTTTATCAAACTAATTCTAATGATCACTTAATAACAAAAGAATATATATTTCATTGTATTATATTAATAAATATTTTAAGGTAGTACACAACGTAACATAGTCAAATATATATTATGTCATCATTAAACAGTATAAGACATTATTTTAAGAGCTTTGAAATTTATAGGAACTATAACTAGTTAAAAAAAAAAGTTTGACAAATAAAGTCAAATTTAATCATACTTATAAAGATTGAAAACATATTACACCTATACAAAAATAATAGTTCAAATAATTATAAAATAATATTAATAAAATAAAATTATTTATTGATTGAAGATAATTATTGTTATCTTTATATTACATTCGTCATTTTTTAAAATTACTCCAACTCCATATTATTATTATTATTATTATTGCTACACTAATTATCATGTTGGTTGACACAGAATAATATTTTGTGCAAATTTCATAACTTAAGAATAAAATTCACCACAGGCAGGCCTTTTAAGTTTATTATGTTTTAAGTTATTTTGTTGTCTAACCATATTTTACATGATTTTTAATTTAGAATTTAATTAATACATACATTATTTAAAAAATATATAATTTAACCAAATATCTTTAAGGATAAGGTGAGATTTATATACATGGATTTTTCCGACTCCAACAATTATCAAGTTAAGCTTAATCTTTCCATGTCAACTCCTCCCAAACCTAACTCGTTATCACGTTTAATCATGTACACATATATACACTAATACATGATATAAAGCACACATTTTTTTAATATATATATATATATATATATTCTTTACAAAATGAATGATAAAATTATGCCACACACATGACACATGTAAAAGTTTCGTTGAATCGAATTAATTTGTAAAACGACATTTTATACTCAATCCAATTTACTCGAAAAATATATTCTGTCATTATTTATTTATTTAATATTTTTTTTATAGCATGAATTAAATTAGATTAATTCGTGAATGTTTCATACACAGACTAACTCTTTCACATCTAATAATTGAATTAAAATTTAAAAAAGCTCAAAACCAGGCTCAAGCAAACACGGTAAAAGGACTCTTACTTTCCGACGCGGAGAGCACTCCATGTCTCACTCAGCTTTCAATCTTCACCGTCCATTTTCTCTTTGTGTGTCCTTCAACACCACTACTAAACTTGTAGAATAATGATAATACTCGTTTTATTTTAAAAATTTGCATTTAAAAAAAATTAAAGCATTAGTAACTGTTTCATGTTTTAAAAATATAGACTTGTTCAATTATTTACTTTATTTAACCAAAATCTCGAATAGTTTACTAATTTCACGAGGATAATAAAATTAACACAAAATCAAACTAAAAAATAATAATTTCAATTGATAATAACTTAAGAAAAATAAAAAGTTAACATTGAAAAGGTCTATTGAATATTTATTTTAGTTATGGAACAAGCACTTTAGAATTTTATTATCAACATAATGATATGAAAGGAGGTGGGTCGTGCTCTGCTACCACTGGCAGAGTGACACGTCATTTTCGGGTCTGTATTCTTCTCGTAAAAAATGTTTCACAATAAAATAATAATAAGCCACGCCGCACCGTATCCCTGCCAGCGAGGAATTTCTGGCGCAAAAAGAGCACGGCAAGTGCCGACGGCCAGGACAAGACATATTATGTTATTATTATCATGTTCAAAGATTTTTTTTTTATATCATATTATTAAATATATTTTATTATTTTATACTTAAAAAAATTAATTTTTAATATATACTTTTTTTTTCCTAAGAAAAATTTGGGCGTAGACCTATAAAAGAAAAGAAATTAATATATATTCTTATTAATGTATACGTACAGTTCATATGGAAGATCGGTAGAAAATTTGTTCATTGGATAAAAGTATTTATAATATTAAATTTAATATATTCATTTTTAATTGTTGATTGATTAGTATGAAAGTTGCAGTATAAAAAAATACATTTAATAAAAATTTTACAAATATTAATTATTATCAATTAAAATGCTTGACTAAACTCTTCATTAAATAATGTAAATATTTAAAATTTTATATAAATTTTGAAAATTAATCATTGTTTTGTATATCATTTTATAATGTACAATATATTGTTTAAAAAAAATATTTCCAATCGTATCATATGGTTCAAGGATGTTTTAATGAAATTTAATACTTAAATAAAGTTATTAAAATATTAGCTAACTAAGTATGATAAATGACGTCATTTGATTTTGTTTATTACCAATTAAGCAATTAAGTGGTAATAAACAATACATTTTGAGAAAATAAAAGAGAGAAATAGAAGTGAAAATTGAATAATTTTTTGTATTATTTAGTATAAAAAAGGGAAAAATGTTATTTTTATCAGTTACTTGAGTAGAAAGGAAAATAAGAATTTTTTTAAAAGAAAATATAGCTACTCCTAGAAAATTGTACATAAGAAAGTAAAAAAATG